AATTTCATTTTTATGTATAATGAATTATTGATGTTTAATAAACAACCAGGTAGAATAGTCGCGAGATGATTACATGGTTTATAAAACCAATAAAGAAGGAAATGAATTAAAAAATTGCTGCATTCATTTCAATGAAAGTAAAATTTTAATCTCATTGTCAGTTTTTTAATTGCATGATATCTGGATTAGTCCACTCTCCATCTTTCTTGTCGTTGCATACCAATTACCAATTACACTCTGACCTGCTCTGTTTTTTACTAAACACTAGTCGAGGTTTAAATTTGCACCTGTAATTAGGCGAAATCAATCATTAAGATGACTTGAAGAAAGGAAAACAACGTGTGGAGTGTGGATCAAGTTATTGTCGAGTTCTAAATAAAAAATGAATGGTGATCTGCACTGACTGATCAGTCGTTTCGTTGTATGTATAATGAGCCGTTAACCCACATTTAATACTTTATGATGTTGTACTTGTAGATCAACTTAACCTTCGATAAAAACTCGCTAAAATTAATGCCTAGTTCTTGTATGATTTTATTTTCGATATTATAAAGACAAATAATGCTGACACTTCAACTTTACGACTGGTGAAATGCAATTTTAAGAAAATTATGGAAATTTTGTTAGTTAAAATCTTAGGCGCAAAAAAACAATTTAAACCATATCACCCAATTACAGGTTTTTGCAGATTTTACATAAAACACGACTTGCTAATCATTTCATCATAGAGTAAATCTCCACACCAGTCAAGTCATCATGCATTCAGTGTCTGTCTAGCTCAATAAAAGTTACAAAATAAGCTGCTGCTGAGATAGAAACAAGCTCAGTGGAACAAATCCAAGCCCTAGGGTTAGTTTCTGAATTATTTCACTGTCAGTATGCTAGACGTATTTATGCACCTTCGAGCATCATGTGCATCTTGTTAATCATGTGTCGGTCGGACTTGGTTCATTTCATGCGATCAGTTTATGCATGCATAGAATAGAAATTTGAATCATTCCTTCCCATACGTGTACAACTTTGTCTGTGTGCTGTCTTGGGGATATTCTCAGTGAAAATAAACACTATGTATGTGCACATTCGTGTGTGGGCCACATTCGTCAAGTGTTAAAGCGCAGCAAAAAACCAAATTCATATTCCGTTTCTTGCCAAATGAAGTGCTGCAGTTTTTACACCTTTTATTTTACACCCCCGATTCTCTCCTTCCTTGACGTCCTGCAGTATCTCTAAAATAAAAGTACAGCATGACCCACGGCGTTTGGAAATTGGTCATGAAATGACGAGTAGTTTGTAGGTTTTTGCTCGACGGGTTTAATTTTCCTAAGAGGTGAATATAGACACTGGGTTAACTTGTGGGTCAATATACTTACGAGTACGTATCTCATTACGCACAATTTTATACAAATCTCCCGAGTCGTCACATACCAATGTGCGTGCATGTTTAAATACCATTCAAATTTTTACGCCAAGTGTTTCATACAATAGAAGTATATAATATTTTATAGATATCATCCATCCTGTTTAACATAAACTTTGTTCAATGACCAGTGGTAGGAATTTATTTACGATAATTGCACCTTGTAGGTTGTTTCATGACAGAGGAAAGTAATATGGAAATGACTTTGCAATTGCTCGTCGTATTGACATTGGACGTTATGGACATTTCTCTAAGCTCTAATCTGCTCGCACACTGTGGGAATGCTAATAACAAAGGAGTGGCGTGGCGATCGAGATAGCACGACAAGAGTATTGGCCTACACAGTACGGCACCAAACATTGACCATAATATTCTCACTCGTTTGATGAATGAATGAATAAACCCAACTTGTAAAAGATGGTGTTTGAAAACTGCAAACCTGACTCGGTTGAAGTAATTGTGTCAGCAACTTTTTTCTAGCACCAGTATTTGTGCATATGTACGCATTGACTCATTGTCAGTATTTAAAATTCAGTGGATGCGTGCAAGTGCGAATTATAAATGTTGACGGGATGGGTTTCTCGTGTGGTGGTACTAACAGTACAGTAGGTTCTTGTAACCGCAGAAATGAGTCTTCCTCACAACTTGTTGACAAGAGTTTGTATTAATTAAATGTAAAGAGAAAGATTCACACACTTGATTATATACGAAATATTAAATTATACCGAATGGTTTAGAAAACGAACCCATCTTTTCATTCAAATTGTTAGCAGCTCATGAGTGAGTGCAACCAATAAATCTCAGACGACAAGCAGAGAAGTATATAACTCGGCTTCTTTATAAAAATAGACGTAGACATTACAGTAGTAACACTGATATGTAAGCAGTAAATAAGTAGTAGTGAATTATTTGGGACAGCGTGTTAATCATCTAATAAGACAACATTGGCGCACATACGTAGATGGTCCCAAGCTGAAGAAAGCTGCCGCTGGTGAAATTGTCATATTCAGTCAGAGAGGAAAGTGACAATGATGAACAACTGATGAATTGTATTTATGTGATGTCCATTTGTTTTCTTCAAATTTACTTCAAATTTGTATGCTTTCAATTTTATTTTGCCATTCATAATTTTAAAATGAATGATATTCTCTTTCTAAAAATTAGTCTGTCATCAATTTTGGAATCTTTTCTATATTCTTATCCATAATAAATTATTGCTAATCATAAAGGATGCGTGGCTACCTACGTACTAGTTATTTAATTCTGAAATTAACCAATGTTTAGTGAGACTTGTGCAATTTTTCTGCTTAATGAATCATTTAATTTAACGAAATTTTAATTTTATAAGATTATTGAAAATGTGTGGGATTAGTTAAAACTTCGACCCATTTCCCACAAATTCTTGTGTGCATGCTGATGTGTACCATTTCACAAGACATTGTATGTACAAACTTGATGAAAACGTTAATAATTTTAGCAAACAACTGCGAAGGTGGTGTCAAGTTGAATGAATGAGAGACGTGCATAATATGTTCACGTGGGAGGAGAAGTGGTGTCAACTCCGTAGAAGAAGAAATCCACGAGAGTTCAGTCGATGCTATTGCTTGCTTCTAAATAATATCGAAACTATATTTTATTTAGTAATTACTTTTAGTTTACCAAAGCAAAACAAAGAGTGGTAATTTCGCACAATCATTATGTTAAGCATATTGCTAGCGAGTAGAGGTGTGTGTGTGCCTAATAAATTCAGTCCCGACTTTCCCTTCGTTTCTTAAATCTAGCTAGAAATCGAATTGTTTTGTATTGCGGTTTCTATCGGCTGAATTCTTATACATAAGCGAGTGAGTAGGACATACGTATGTAGCCATGAATAAGCAACAAATAATAATAATAATTAGTAATTATGATTTAATTAGCACTTGTTCCTATATATATGCATTATCGATGTTATGTATTGGTCGTCCCACAGACTTTCGGGATCATTTCATCTTGCCAATAAAACAAATCAATTAGTGTTTGGATTTGAATTGGAAAGTGTACATAATGCAAACCTTTTAGTATAATTCTAATGAAAATTAATTGTTTTATTGGTAATGCTCACATGTTTTGGACTGATTATGACGAGCTAAAGAACTCAAACTACTAGATTTATGCATGTGCATGATGTTAAATTTCGCATATTAATATTTTCTAGCATCTAATCAAGTTGAGATTTATTGGAAAGTATTGCAACCAACTATGTAACTAATAACTTGATAACACACGGGTCACACTTTGCACGGTTAACCATCGTTGGACTGTCATTTTGAATAACTGCAATTTAATTGGTAGGAGAACAAATTCAACTGAGGATTATTAACGCGTACATTACTCCCTTTTCTTATAGCCTCGTTGAACAGACAGACACAAATTACAAATGCGAATTTAATAAGGATTTCAGCGGCATAGTGCTGGTACGGGAACCCATTCACAGGTTTTTATTGTGTAATAAGTTTCCGCTTCACCGATTCCTTTGACTATCGATTTGTGCTTAGCTCAAAATTTACGAAAGAGATAGCATTTCGAATAATGTATTGAAAAAAATTTAGCAGCTATAATTCAGCGAGTGGAATGAGTTGCGCATAAACATTTTGCATTTATGCATATAGTTTACGAAAGCGGATGTTACCATTTTAATAAGATCATGTAATGACGCTGGGACAGTAGAATTTACGAGAGGGCATCTCTCTGCGCGCTTAGGTTTTTTGGAATTCTGTAATATTCTTTTACATATTAAATGAAAAATGTGCATTGAATGTGCATTGAACCCATATCGACAAAATTCAATGCTGGGTCACTCATTCTAAAGTATTTGAGTGGAAAGGTGAAAACCACCCGATCAAATGCAGCACGTTCTCCGTCATAATGAGAGACTTAAAAAATGTCAACTAATTGTACGTATGATTGAATTAAAATTAGATGAAGAAAGCATCGAACCGTTGAAATTAGGTCTGTCTAATTCTTCATTATTTGCAGAGATTACGGATGGTTAGTTAATCACCAAATCGTTAGAGCGAGCCGGGGGAAACCTTGCACGAAGTATTTCAAGAGAAATTTGTAATACAGATTAGTAGTTTTTTCATGTCTCCGTTTTCATTGTGCGTCCTCGGCTTTGTCATCGAGTTGTATAAACAGATGCAACAATGCTTTCTCGCCTGTTTCCATAAATTGTATTGCGTCTTAAAACCTACTGCTGCTGCATCTCAGCGTGAAATTTGTCACTCAGGCGTGGTTATTCGAGTGTGATGATATCCACGAGCTTGATTGGGATTGCCGACTCATTTAACATATAATTTGTTTTACGTTTTAAATAGATTTAAATCAGATTTGTGCAATCATTATTATTAACGGGGAACAAAAGCTTGAGCATTAAGCTATGAAAAGCATGCATATTAGGTCTCTCAGTATTAAAACTGGATTAACATAGAAAGCATTACTGATTGCCTTGAGTGTGATGAAAAACATAAATATTGCATTATTTTTAATAATTAAACTAAAAGTAAACATTGGGCAATGATTAAATTGTATTTTTATCTGTTTTCAGAATGAAGAAAATCGATGGCTCTTGGGAAAACACTTCATCTAAAAATAATTCAGCAAGGAGTCGTATACATAAATTCTAAATATTAAGGATTGAAAATTAAAGCAAACTCATCAATTTTAATCTTGAAAAGGCTTTCGAATTCCATTGAAACAATTCACCTCATTAAAAGTCAGCCCCACGATCGCTTCAATCAACCCTCAATTCTTCAGTATTACCCGAAGCTATTCAGAAATGCAGATAAAGTTGCAATATTAGTGTCCCCAGAATGAGGGACTACTTTGATCCAATTTATTACACCAGCAGCGTAAAGGTAAGTTGTAATTACTATGTATTTTTCTACTTTTACAAACAAACCATAGACAAAGAAAGAAGCTGCTGAAATAATTAATGAACAAAGAATAATGGCCAAAACCAGATACGATGATCATGAAAGTGTGAGAATCTGTTGTTGAATTTCAAGCTGTAACCTTAAAAACTTCACCTTCGCATCCAGTAGTGCGGAATACCGGTGTGTGGTATTATTACATTGTTTTTGCCATTTGGCTGGTGTGGCTTCCTCAACATCTCGCCATTACAACGAATGGTATTTATATTATTATTTTTCTTGGGCTGGGACTGGCACTTGCACCGTCTTAAGTAAATCACTTCCGCTAAAGAATTACTCACTCAATCTTCTTATGATCGTCTTAGCGGTAGTACCCAAAATCTGATGTTTTCAGCGTCAGTAGTGATGATTATTTCCTTCCCCATTTATGCATGTACTTGATTGGTAAGTACAAAAGTGAGTACCTTAATTGCCATTGACATTTGTCCAGTGTCATTTTAACTCTTTGTTTTTATTTGACCTATGTATGTGGCACACATTTAACCCAAGTGCAGATCATGGAATTCCGTATTCCGTATTTGGAATACGTTACCGAAGGACTGGGAATTACGTAATATGTCTTATGGTTTGTTTCAATCAAAAGCACGTGACTTTGTCACTGGTCAGAATTGTGACCAAGATGTGCAACCATGATGTTGTTGTAGTTATTAGTGTAGTTTAGATGAATTCATTATTGTATGTGTCTTGATCTGAAAAGCAGATTTTTTCTGATGATTTGCGACATTTTAATAAACTCCAGTAAACAGTAAACAGTAAACAGTAAACATGTAGGTAATCATTTATCGTTCACATGTACAATCAAAAATTAAAACAAACGTTTAAATACATCAAAATTACAGACTTTAGAAAATAACGGGGGCATTTGAATCTTGTTCTTCATACATTCGTATGAGCAGGCATGATTTGTACCGACTTTCTAAATGAATACATAATTGGATGGGACGTCATATTCATTCAAAGGGTAGTGTAACAACTACAATGGTTCATCGTAATGAATAATGACCATAATAATCGACATATATTCAGCTTGGCCACGGCCAGACCTCGGAAAAATGGTTAATTATGCATCATTAAGCGCATGATGAGGTGGAAGATGAACGTGGAGGAAATGGACGCAAGTTTATTTATGAGTTCGTATATGGACATCGTTGACCCAGATTGCACTTTTCGAACTTTAAACAAACTTGTATTTAAGTGTCATAAATCATCATATTTCACTTTCCTCGTCTTTCTTTCACGCCTGCATCCCTCGGGCCTTATCTTTTTACCCGTGTCTATATTTACACTGAAGCTGATTATTTCAAATTGGAATTTAAAGTAGGGAAGGGTGGGTGTCGTACGTGTTTTACACCTGAAATAATAGCGTATATGTACAGATCCCATGTCATAAGTGAAATGTTTATTGTTGTTTCTTCATATTCCTCCAGTAGTTCGTTAACTTTAGACATGTGTCGAAACAGAGTCATGTTGAGTTATGTAACAAACTGAGAAACGTGACCATGCATCCGGAAAGAATTATTCCAAGCATAAGAAAAAGTCTTAGTTTTCTGAAAGATTATAATTTACTTGAGACAATGCACATTTGATCGTGATCACACATACCATAAATTTTCAACACATAACAATCACATGTGACAGTTGTAACAAATGTTAATGAACTTGAATTTTGGAATATTCACGGAATATGTGTGTACGTAGCTAATCGTGCATGCGTGACAGCTCGGGACAGGATTTTGGAAAATAAATAACGGCAGCAATGTTGTTAGATCCAAGCATATCAATAAAATTTCTTGAGATTGTATCCTTCAGATTTTTATGCTTATTTTGAAATAATTGAAATATGTGCCAAATGAATCGAGTAGAAAAGGTCGTCACAGGTGAATTGATGGAAATAAAATAATTTAAGGAATAAAATAATTTAATGGGAAATGAATTTTTTGGTATTTCAATAGTTAATAGGTTCATGAAAAAATATGAAAAATATGTATTTACCTCAAATGATGATGTACAGATAGATTTGTGTTCTGCAGTTATCATTGATCTTGGCCTTTCAAGTTGGACACGGTTTTCAATTCACGAGCCCATTGTATCTTTTGTTTGTTGAATGCAAACCATGATGTCGAATATTGCGCGATCATTCCATCAAAATGTTATCGCCGAGTAAATCTATAGCGGTCTGAGCTTCACTGATGCACTTTTGTGAGACCACAGAAAAGAAAAAAACCATGAAAGATGCAAAAGTGACATTCCACATCAGCCAGCGTACACACAAGTCCTAAACATAAAGGAGCATGACATGACACGCAGAAAATAACGTCGAGGGTTTGCTTAATCCTATATTTTTGCAGCAATGATGATGATTGTGGTGTTGTCATTTTTAATCTTAATCTTGCGACTCGCGTCGGGATTCAACAAAGCGATTAAATTTTGAATCACTCTTGATCCTAGTTCAGGTAGATGAAATGTGAGATTAGTTAAAGCCACAAATCGTACATAATTCAATAGATTGAAAAATTTTAAGGGTTTCGAGTTGACGATAGAGTTTTGTCATTTACCGGCAAAGATTTATTGCGACAACTAAAACTTAGGCCCCATAAACACGTACTTGCTAGTTGGCTATAAGATCTTTATAGTTACACCCACCGATGTGTAACTACAAGTTCGGATCTCTGAATACGCATATGGCTGACGCCAATTTTTTTATACGACTTTGCTGAAAGGGTTGAGTAACATTCCAACCTTGAGATTTCGTACGCAGTCCTGGTTAAAAGTTTGAAACTAAAGCAGTGAGTGATGTGTGTGGGTTTGACAAAGGATACGCTGGCTTTAAAATCACATTATCCAGGACATAAAAACAATTCAAGTCGGTATTACATACTTTGCAAGACATTAGTTTACAGCCAGTTTCGTTGGACTTGTTGAACGTTGATGGTTAAATCTGTGTTGCGAATTGGGTATTTAGTGTTATTATTCTGTTTAAGGAAATGCAAAAGCACATCGCAAGATTTATGTCGTTTTTTACTGCAAGTTTTGGTCATACTACGAGAGACACGCTGATTTTATATTTATTTTCCTTATTCTTCTTTGAAATCTACCTGGGAACTGGAAGCCAAGAATTGTACATGCATTGTTGCATGTGCAAAATGCGTACCTGTATAAGATTCGAGCTAATGACTTTCATTTATTTCCAAATTATGAAAAATTGCTTTTGATCACGGAATAATGTAGCACCTAAGTAAGATCATCTGTGTGAGAATTTTGTGTGATTAGTTTTTTTGTGAGTTAATGTCTTTTGGTTTTGGCACCTGATGGAAATAATTCTTTTTATTGTATTTCATAGAGAATGTGCATGTATACGAATAAATGTGGTTTTGTGGATATATGTGTGTACCATTAGAGGCATATATATTAGAAAACATTGTGGTTGGACTTGTGCATTATTTGAAGGTATTGACAGGAGATTGAATAAAAGTTCGCATACATCGTTTACAGGTTAGATACATGTATGTATATGATTCTTGTTGGCCACTCTAATTTTCTGGAGATTATCTCAATTGTATATGGTTGTTTAATGATGGAAACAAAATTCGCTGCAAACTTGTAAAATTGCAGACAATTTTAATCTTCAATGCAAACACGAACATTTAGAATCAAATTAAAAACTCAATTATATCATTATACGGATAAAGTTTTGTAATATAGCTTAATTACCTGTGTTTGGGGAATACTTTTTTTTAATATCATAAACAAACACGTACGTATCAAGACAAAAATTTTATTTCATTTACGTTTTTGAGTAAACTCCTCTAAATAATTAATTCTAAACTTGACACATATGTATGAATGCACAATATCTGACATTCAGCTCGCCTTGGTCGTCTTGAAAAAGAAAGAAACCTAAATTTGAAACCATACATCGGTGTTTTCATTAAATTAACAAACAAAGATCTAAAGAGCGGTTACCCATTTGTTTTACCAACTCCCCCAAACCGCCCTTCTTCACGTTATTAGATTACACAAGAGTAAAAGAATGTGGTAAGTGAGGCGAGGGAGGATAAGCAATCGTAATAAGGAGCAGCAAGCGAGGCGAGAAACGGTGCTTATGTGGTGCAGGTGAGGAGAGGGGAAGACGCTGGTGTTATGTTTTGCGAAGGTTTCCTTTTCATTTCATCTCATTCCTGAACAGAGCGTGGTTCGACAGGTATGTCTTCTGTGCCGTGATTGTTGGATGGAGGAAAGCACCATTGTTGGCTCACTGGATTACAATTATACTTATTTACTTATTGTTGTAGTGTGTGCGGTGTAGGAGTTCTTCTTGTAGTGCGTGTAATTATTTCGTCACAAAAGAAGTTCAGTGTTACATTTGCATACACGGATCTGCAATTTTTATCCGTCAAGTATCCGGTAACGCAGTTACGGTGAGATTTGATGTGCGTGCCAAGTGTGTGTTTTGTTTGAGGTTGACAAAGAACAAGTGCATCACTAAAACTGGAGTGTATTTCGGATTAGTGTGCTTCAAACCAACCTGAGTTTCAGTTACATACATTTCTGGAAGCATTTAAATTTAAACCGGATCTCGGCAATTATTGCGAAGGGATGACATGTAGGTATAGCTCTTTAATATTCTCCATGTTAAAAACTGATTTGTCATATTGTGTCAAGTGAACTTTCGAAAGGAAATTTGGTACTTAATATTCAGCACAGCATTAAGAGTTTACAAAAACCATTCAAGTTTCTCACTCTAAAATTTTTGTCTCTCTCTCTCTCTCTTCGAAGATGAGTTACTTCAACTCTTTATTATTGCGTGTAAACTATAAATGCTTTCATTCAAGTAAATCTAACACGGTTTTGGTAGCCGTTCTACTTATAAAGTTTGTGAAAATCTAGGCTGTAATCAAACAACAAATTAATAATTTATGCAATTGCATTTATAAACTAAATTATAAATACTAGATAAAATTATTTATTTGCATTCTTTCAAGACTTGTAGTACTTAAAGTCAGACCGCTTTTAATAAGTTGTTATTTTGTCAAGTACTGTATCATAAGATAATCAGGGACAATAATCAAATTTAAATTGTAATTTTAAGTAGAACTTACCAAACCACTCAACGTGAGACAAAAGGTCCATCTCGTCTGTAGCTCGTGTTTCAACAATGCTAATTTTAATCGATTACTGAATTTAAACTTGTTCGTGTAGACATGTGTACCTACTTGTTTAGTATTTATTGTTCCTTCCTTAGGCTCATAGTTTATTCGTAAAAGTATAAATTGTATTTACAGAGATATTTATTATTATACGTGCATATGCAAATTTGTATCAGTTTCGATTCTCGAATCGGCAAAATCTTTGTATTTTTTCAAAATTTAAAGTTTCCCTTATCTGCGCGTGTATATATTTATGTACATAAGTGCATGTTTTTCTGTATATCTGGGTTATTATAAAAATGATTTTCTTAATTTGAGCTGTTCAAAGTTCACATTTCAAATGCATTTGAAATCACATCACGAAAATGTTCACTAATTTATAATCCGCCACTGATCAATGATTGTCATTGTTTCATCAAGCTTGGTTTTACTTTACTTTCTTTTCTGCCAAAGAGTAACCAAGTTGCGGATAGAATTAATTTAGGAGCCCTTGGTTGAATGCAAAAAAGTGCAAATTGCAACAATGAAAATGGTCCTTGTGAATGCACTTTAAATTTAATGACATTACAACTACTTTGCAACATTTGCAGCAAGAATTGAGAAATCAACGTGGTCATGATAAATAAACTCGTAACTAGAAATATTGGTTACTGCAGGATTTATATGTTACCAGATGCATTTCACTCAATATGATGTGGTCACCAATCCAAGAAAAATAAAAATGTGTATCTTTTATTACGATGGGTCAATTTGGGTCTGCCTGAATGTTGGCTTTGATCCTTTTGTGCTTGTAATAATTCAGAATGTACCATTGACAGTAAAGTTGCTGCATTTTATGGTCTTTTTCCTTTAAATGTGAATTAAAACGGACCATACACTTATCTACACTTGCATAGATTTATATACTTATTATTGACTATTAACCAACAATATCTCATATTCTCTCAAGAGTTGGGAGTTGTCGACTTGACCACTTTATGCATACGGAACCTTACGAGTACAAAAAAGTCAAGTGCAATTAGGCAATTATTCATATTATATTTTTTATAACGTATTAAATCACAAATGGATCAAATAAGCTTGCAATGCGATTATCCCATTTGGATTGAGTGCAAATAATAAATTCGCCAGCGAAACTCTGAATTCTTGAACAAATATGTATGTAACCTTCACAATCCACTGATACTGTACTAGCCCTGCCCAATACGTACATATACATAACACCAATTTCAAATTCAACATTGTTCTAGTGAACTTCGGCTCTCGTAACATAATGGTTGTTTACAACAAGTTGGACATTTGACATTTGGATTAAAAGTCGAAACAAAAGAGCGTAATTAAGATTAACCCAAAGGAGTCCACTCACGCAGGTTGAGGATCACCCTAAAGGGGTTGATAACAATCACTGCACATTGTTGATCTCTGGTGGTCAAATTTACCTTTCTGAACTCTGTCACTTGCATTATTACTTTTCTTTCGAGTACTCCAAGCGCTTGATATTTGACTCCTACAAATATAGTTCAGTTAGCTAAATGTGGATTGATTGACACGGGCACAATATAAAAAGTCACTCAAATGTGTAGCAGGACTTAGAAACGTCATTTGATTCCCTACATATATGTTATTAATGATGTCTCAATTCTAATTTGAACACACAGTCGATGGCCTTGGTTTTATGTCATCGATGGAATAAGTAGGAATAATCAATAGGAATCGGACTTGATTGCTTTGTATCGTTTTAGATTCAACAATTTATGCTTTTATGTATCTCTAATTTTCGCTGTTTCTAATGAACTTTGTGAATGTCACTCTTGAGCAGGAACAGTTCAATAAATGACAGTTTTGCAATAGTGGAATTCAAGTTCAGCCGATGACTTGTCAAGAAAGACTGTTTCCAGAATAACCTTGCCATCTTTGATGAATACAAGTTCCGTATTCCTTCTTGATTTTTGGCTGTCGTCGTGAACTTTATAAATTTTCTATTGTGTGGATAAAAATTCATTTATTTTAATGTTTTTTCTACAATTAATTAAAGTTTAAAAGTGTTGACTTTGGCATGGTCATGCAAATCCAATATTAAACTCGTGACAAACATGTGGTTTACCCTGTCAATTAATTGCAGATTCTCTCGAATTTGCCTGCAGTTTCTATTCAAACGATAATGATGGATGATTACAGGTGCAATTATTTTCCCATAAATTATCGTTCAAACTCTTCGAGCCACGTTTTTGGAATAATATGCATGCATAAACCTCGCTTTGTAGTAGTTATCATATGTCAATCATTCATGTCATAGACTGTATTTAAATTTGCATTTGAATCTGCGTTAGGTTAGCTCAAATAAATGAAAGTCTGTCCTTCAGTTCTATATAATCTTTTAAATGGGAAATTTTATGTGAGATTAACACAGACAGTGAGCTAAAAGTAGAGCACTTCTGCTCCCGGCTAGAGTTTAAGGAATCTTGCATTTGTTTGTATAATTTGTTGAGTATATTTAGTGGATGAATTCTGTAAATGCTACATTTTCTAAAACTAACGTGTTTGTCGTGTAGATTTTTTCAATTAAATGTTTTGAAGAAAATATGTATGTATGATACCAAAGCAAGCATGATGGCCCTAATTTTTCACTAATCATACACGTATTTAATTAGTGTAAACCTGTATACATTCTTGATTTGACAAATGAAATTACAATTTTATTGAAATAAAAATTGGCTAGAATATGTACGTACATTTAGATTTTGGAAGAAACTCATTTCCTACACAGATAAAATAGACGATATCATTATGCTTTATAAATTCGTTGGCTAAATACTTCTTGTATTGAGCAACTCCATTTCTTGTGAGAATTCCTTGATTTCTTAGATAACTTTAGCTTTTAGTAATTTGTGTTAATCAAAAGCACCAATCAATATTGTGTTACAACGCATCTTTTGTATTATTATTTAATTTATGTGAAAATATGCAGGAATTACACCAAATGATGTAATGCATACGATCACATTAACTGAAGGTCTCTTCTTATCCTAAGCATAGCAACGTTGCAAATCGACGAGTCTGCAATAATGTGCGTACCTGCTGCATAGAACGCAACTTGGCCAACACACCAATAATGTCATGAATTTCTCCACCCTTTATTTGTAGAAACCCTTAAATTAGACCACCGTTCCCATAAAATCATTGCCAATAACAAAAGGTGTACTAAATGTGTCATTGTTCTCTTGGGCTTATCCTTAGCATGAGCATTAGAATATGCATTTAGCGTTATGTAGGATATTGACAATGCTCACATGCCATTGACTCCTCACTTGTCGTAAGGAGTTAATGTTTACAATTTGCATAGTTAACTAATAATTTTACAGTAATAATGGACTAAATATGCATAGAATATCTGACTATTAGCACTGAATGATTATGTTTATCTGTATAATATATGCACTCTCGTTGCACTGTATTTACTACAAATTATTGTGATCAGTCAGCATATTGTTGGCTAATGCTGCAAGTTCTTGACTGCAAGCACTGTGTTGTAATCTGTTCATCCCTGCAATCATCATAGCGAACAAAGTCGCACGATATGTCAGACAATGAAAATAACGCGTAAAGTTCTAGTTCTCAGAACAGGCTGATTTTGGAGGACACGATTGTTTATAATTAGAATGTTGCGTCCTTTCAACCACCAACTAAAATTTATGAACCATGGAATAATTGAAAGTTTCTTTATTTTCAGGGACCTGAGCCCTACCAGGGTAGTCGACCAGTCAAGAAGAGTCACTCTGTGGTTGGTCGAAGCAGTGGGAGTGGCAATGTCATTGGTAGGTTCTTAAAATTGGGAAAGTCAAAAAGTGATGTCCACGGAAAGGGTCGGCCAGCATCTGTCATCGGTGACCTGGAGGAAGATTTTCGTCTTTCTCCATCAGTGCTAAATCGACGTGGCCCAGTTGAGAAAATGGTTCATAATTCGCGAAAGGACGTTTCGAGATCTCACTCTTGGATTTATGGTTCCGTTAAGTTGCCATCAGATTTGCCATTTGGATATGGTTATGCCAATGGGTTTGGGAGTGGTAGCAGCCCCTCCGGAAGTGACAGCAACAGTGGGGGAGCTGGGTCGCCTGGGAACCACACCCACAACGTGGCAGCGTTGCAAATTCCCCGGTGCCAAGTGTCGGACTATTATGCATCAACGTGTGAGTGCTCGGGCGAGTTTGATTTTCTTGGGAGAAACAGCTCGAGTGGGAACAAACCTTGTAAAGCATGTGCATATGAATGGGCTTTGAATGGGGGGAAGAAAAACCGAAAAGGGGATTCTGCAACGGAGAACAGCGCAAAAACATTTGCCAATAGCGTGAGAAAACTCACGTGGAAGAGCTTAAAACAAGCAGTTAAAAAACGCCCAAGTCTCGATTACATGAAGAAGCAGGGAGAACTACGTGTGGGTGTTGGAGGAGGTTATGAAAGTCAACAAATCCCATTTTTCTCTCCGGGGGCAGAAATGGATAATATGGACCCCAACGGGATCGATGTGCATAGTCGAATGAATGGATTTTTTAGCTACTCCTCTCAACATGCATTTTCCGCAGATGACCTCCAGCCTAGTTATTTTTTCCCAGAAAAGAAAAATATGTATGCAAGTTGCACAGATATTTTTAGAGATAACAATAACGGTATCTCGGGAACCACGGCGTCGGTTAGAGTTAGGCCAAAACCATCTCGCCAATCCTGGCAATTTAGTAACGAAGAAGCAGGACCAGTGCCCAACTATCAAGATAATGGCGTTTATCATTCTGAGTGGGATTTGAGGCAGTGTATTCCTTACGATGTGTGGGTCAACACGACGTCAAATGTCAAGCCAAGGACAACAATTCCACCACAAAGGCCCAGGGCCCCGATCCAAGCAGACTCCACAAGTCGCAACAGTTCCCTTTCCAAAAGCACATCTGTCCCGTACTTGTCAGAAATTAGCGGACCTTCCCTTAAAGGACGAAAGGAGCACGTTTCCACTTCTAACCTTAAGGTCAAGTCGACTAGTTCAAATGCTGTCAACCAGCGCTATAATTGTGCCAGTGATACCATCAGCCTTCGAAGTGTTGATTCATCGGCGAAGTCTATAGGCTCCGGATCATGCAGACAAAACAACGGGGTTATTAAGCGGCCCAGCATCTTGTCCACGGATGTGAATGCCTACCAATTGTTGAAAGCTCAGACCAAAACTGCCAAAAGTCAAAATTCTTCCTCTGCTCAACCCTCCCCTGCAATAATTGACGACGGTTTAACCAGTTCGAGTGATGACTTGAGTGATAACGCCTTGACCTCCGACAGTCGGTCGGTCGGTATGAGGATCGCAGGTCAAAAAATGTACATGCCACCAAATAAAGGAGTGACGCAACCATCTTCTGCAATCTCGTCATCTTTTTCCAACGGGAAATGTAATGGAGAGAATAGAATGAACGGAGCTGGTAAAAATTTGAATAAAAGAATCGCCGTGAGACAAGGCAGCCTTTCTTCGGGAGATGAATGGTCAGATGAGATGGAGCAACAGAGTCTTATTATGAATAAAAATAAGCACGTGCCAATGAGTCGTGACCGAAATTTGCAGCAATTTCCCGATAAGGCAAACAAAGACTTAATAATCAATAGCAGTTCTAACGGGGATAGACGAAATCCAAAAACTGGCCAAAACAATAATAATAAAGCTCAGCAGCAACAGCAGCAACAGCAGAACCACCAACAACGTCGAGGTGGAAATCAAATTGGGACGCGCACTAGTCTTGATAATGGTATTTACAATAATCACCACCAGGAAAGTAATGACTGTCAATCCAATATCAATATTAATAATGATAGCATGATTGTAAATTCTGATAAAACAGTCAGATCAAACCATAGCTTATTATTTACGAATACCAGCACCAGCAACTATGATAATCAATGTCAAACACAACGTGACTGCGACGACGAAGAAAATTATCAAGTCGAGTTTGAAGAATTTGCTTTCGAGGACAGCGTTAAATCGAGTGATTCGACCATGGAGTCAAAGCAGGCAAAGGCACACCTCACAAAGAGTGGCGATGATCTTGCTTCTAAATATGTTAACGGAATGGGTGGCCGATATGATAACATGACTTCAAAAGAGAAACAGCGCACTTTCATTAAAAATGGACAAAATGCTAACAAACGCTCTCCAACCTGTGTTTCCACACAAGTTACAACGGAAGTATCACATGCTACTTTGGAAAGTAATTATTCAAACACTAACAAACCAAACAACCATCCCAGCAAATTTAGTGCATTACGCAGAAGAAAGAGTAGAAATGGCAGCAACAACCCTGGCAAATTGTTGAGAGAAGTCATTTATGAGGAAGAAATGGAACATGACCACATAACACCAAAGGAAGTCTCGACTTCGAATGTCCCATCCATCAGTGCCACCTCTAAATCCAACAAGAATTATGCCGTAAAAATTGTCGTGCCTGGAACAGTGACCGAGTATGTAAAACCCATTTTAAAAAATCGCGAAAGGATTTACGATGCACCGATGAATGGTGGCAGCAATGAAAATAATAAGGATCATTACGCCTCCACCAATTATGGGGCTAACGATGGCATTTATTTCGACTCTTCCGTCTCAACGACTTCCACGCTGAAGAAGAAAGTGCAGTTTGATCAGGATAGGGTGATTGTGTGTGGTGGTGACAGTGGCCCCGATTCTGACGACTGTGGGATTGACGAAGGCCAGGATTACTATGACCATAATCAAGAGAAATCCGTGGAAGATGAAGGTGGTGATTACGATAATGAAGAAACAACCAGTTGCCCAAATAATAATGACGAGACTAGTGGCGTTTGTAATCAACGAAATGGGGAGATTCCTAATCAAAAACAGCATCAAAGTAATAAGGAAAGTGGAAGTGTCGGTTTAAAATCCAATTTATCAAGAAAATCAGCGTTAAGTGATAGTCATGATAATTCAAGTCAAAATCAATCATCGGCAGAAATTAGACAAAAAACCAAATCCACTTTTGAACAGGAAGGTGAGCAATTATATAATACTGCTTGTTTCAAGCTTTCGTAATAATACTGGTAAATGCCAAGATAACGATTCATGTATATTTTTATGAATGTATATTTGTGTAGTTGCACGGAAAGCAGCTTCGTTTGCCAGGAGCAGGAAACTCGCTGAGGAGGTTGAAGCCAACAAGCTTCACAATAATAATCCTACTGCCGATACCACTGCCGTTGTTGTGTCCAATAACGAGGAATGTTTTGATCAAGTCAACAACCTTGGTTCTCAAGCACTTGATGAGGATCAGTCGCGGTTCACATCAACTAATAATCCGGCTTTTTCCTCTTCTTCAACGAGCCTGACAAATAGGAAGAGCAGTTTGAAGAGCAATTGGAAATCACCCGTCATCAACTTATCAACTGCTTCCCAAGGAACAACAACTACTACAATTCCTGATCCTACTCAACAAATCCTGCCAAAAAGTAGAGATATCACAATTGCAAAGGAGCGAATCTTTGTCAAAAACTCCAAGGCAGCGTCTCATGGCGTTGCTTCTCAAATAATGAAGGCGAAACGAATTCCGCCTGGTGGAAAATTAAGCCCTGCTAACGGTAATAAGCATCACTATTTTTTTATAGATATTTTTTGATACAATTTGCAATTTAAAAACGAAATACGCTGCTTTTATCTGTTGTCCTATTACTTACCACTCATTTTCTATCCTTATTAATCTAACAAGCCGACTACACATGTATTCCCAGCACTCAACACAATGACATATTATTACATGCACACCAGTGAATGTACTTAATAGAATAGTGCAAGTTGATTGCTTCACATGCTCACCTTTTTTATGTGACGAATGAGACGCGGATGAAATGAACGCAACAAACATTTTACTATGATTCCCTCAATTTATGCTTCACTATTACATAACGGAGTCTCACACGTTTGTGCAGTTTTCAACACATGCATAAACTTATTATCTGTATTATACTGCGCTAACTTACAACAACATAATCTACTCAAATTCTCCCCGATATCAAATGAAATCAGACGAGCATGCAAGTGTCAAGCAATGTTGTAATTCAATGCACCCGTGCATCATTACTTGCAAAAAGTCATAATTTAACTTGAGTATTAAGTAATTTATTTCAAAAGTCGTAAATATTTTGATGATGCAGAGTTTGTGAATCTACTCACCTATACCCAAAGCAATTGCATAAGGCATAAAATTAAATTTGAGTTAATAGAACCGAAATTATTCGTGAATAACCATATTAAAATTTAATAAATTTGGTAGGCCAATCCCACCTTAATCTTGCATATCAATTTCTAGTCGACTCTATGTGTGTAATTAAAAAGGGGTATTCTCCACTATTTCAGTTTAGAGTGGAACTGTAGTGGGGAAATTATATAATTTTTCCTACCTTGTCTCGCATAAAAACTAGTGTGAAGATGTACTTATGTAGAGACGCAGGTACTTACGTAAGGGCTACTGCATACGTGGTGCATATCTCACTTGTACAATGTCTGATTAACATACACGGTTTAATTACCACATCAAAACCAGGTGCAGCCGCACGACTGATTCTTCAAAATGGTTGGCAAGAGTTCAGAATATCTGCCAAGAACTTTTGTCGGGGAAATGCATTGTTCATCGTCATCTCACAGCTATTTAAAAGTGAAACTTGATCAAATCAAGGCATCAAACTCATGATGTCGAATTCACACAAAAAATGAGCAATTCACGATGCTCATACTGGGCCAACGATGCAATCATATCGTGATTCTGTTCAACTTTGAAGTAGAATTACGTAGGATAACTGTTTCTGCAAACATTTCATTCTTGTCAGGGTTTTGATCACGAAAAAATCCCAACGAGCATTTGGTTTAATAAGATTGTAGGATTGATGAGAATACTTTTTCATTCCATTCGTCATTGTTATTTATACAAAATGATGACACTTGACAAAGTAATGGTATTGTGTAGGAAATTGAATTCATGTTTAAGCCGTGCACGTAAGACGTTGGTTTGCGCGTACGTAATTGAATATATATGCACATTTACAGTCAGCGAAAGTACTGGTAATTCAAATCAGAAATGAAATAATCTGACCATTAAATCCCAACATGGTGAGTTTAAACTAAAAATAGTTTAGGCTAGCTTAAAACTCGCTAAACTTTTTATTCGTGGCGTTCAAACGTTTCAATATTAATCCAAAATTTCTCAAGTTTAGTGCTTTGACTTAGCCAAACTACTGTCGAAAGTGAACGCAGAATTTTTTCAGATATTGCAATTTCACCGGTGTAAAGAAACACGGAACAGGAATTTAGCATGCTAATAACCACGAGCTCTTGACTACCTAAAGTTAAAGTAGGAAGTACGTACGTACATACCGATGAATAACAGAAATAAATTTGTGAACTGCATGCTCGTTTGATTTCATGGCATTTTCTACGCGACAACAACATCTTCGATTATATTCCTGTAATCATGCCTTAAATGAGCCTGCTCAACAGCCGTGTAAAATTGCTACTTAGGTTTACAAATAGCGTTACTTTCATTACTGTCATCCCACCATATTCTTCATTTAGGCTTACAACTTTTTAGTATCGGAAGACAAATAAAATTTTTTCACTGTTACTCCGTCACAGTCATTTTCTTAAAAATTCTCTAATTCTATTATTTTTACAGACTTTATGAGGTAAAAACTTGTGATAAAATCAGCCATCTGTGTTCTATTACATAGTGTTCAGTAAAGTCTCTAAATTTACAGGTGAATATGTAGTTGCATCAAGAACCAATAATGGTTCGAATATGCAAACTTACTGTAATGTGTAAGACTTCAAGTCGTAAAGGCAAACCAACATTTATAACGAGCTGATCAACTTTAATAAAATTGACACAATCTCATTTCTAATCCCTATAATCCGTCATACACGTTGTAGTAAAACAAGGCTAAAAAATCGCGTTTTGGGTTGAGGATAACCACCCTTTGCATTTCAGGTAGTTGGGCAAAACGGCGTTATCTTTCTGTCACCTATAAATTATATTTAGATAAAATATAATTATGAATATCTAACACACAAAAATTATTTATATAACACGATACACTCGGTATTGGCATTGCTTTTGTCCTAGATAAATACTTGCATTGGTTAACATTGAGCATTATTCCGTTAATTAAGTAGCAAGCCTGTAATTAGTATAACAATAAACTTCAAATATGTAAGCACCAAAATAAAAATGACCACTATTTAATTATGCATTGAACTGAATATTTGGCCCACGAGAGCCGAGGTTCATTAATTTGATGGTGGTTTTAGACTACGTCAGCAACATTGATCCCGCTATTTGCCCAGTGGCATCGATTAAAAGAAAATATTACGTAAGAGTTGAATGGGAAGAACTTAAAATTGGGTGAGGAAACCAAAGAGCGATGTTCCGTTAGTTCCGTTCGCAATTTCCATTATTTTCCATACTCAAATCACTACTGGCACAGATCCTCTTGTTCATCCTCGGACACGTTTTGTCCCATTGTTCACATTTCTCTCACATATATGAAAAAATCAAGCGTGTGCACATCACGCCTCGCCACATTCGCTCTCCGAGCATAAAATTTGTTTGACTTTTGTATCTAATAAGGAGACCTAAGTGCATACATATGTGGTGATGGAATGCAATAAGTATTTGTATAGAGGTAGCAGCGGAGACAAAGGATCTTGCTTGGCCATTCAAGTGAGAAGGGCGTGATGCATTGGAGGAGACCTTTCTTATCAATCCTTTAATCTTAAATTAATGCTCTAATTGTTAGAGCGTTAACATCGAAAGGCTGTGTGCGAATTTCTGAATAATTTGAACTTTACAAATAATTACAATTACTTATTAGGACAACGGACAAATAAACGGGACTGTGTGTGCATGCATGTGAAGGGAAAATACTAGCTCAAAATTCGCACTGTACAGTTTTTGCCTATTATTTATTTTTTGTGCATGGCTTATTCTATTCAGTAACTTGCCGTAAAACGTTAATTACTTACTAACGCCTGTAATAAACTCACTTATGCATGCGTCGCTTGATTAAATTGAGCTTTTTTATGAACACTACGCATTCTGTCAGCATTAATTAGCTGGTATTTTCTTCCATTTCAGATGCACCCTACCAGCCAGAGAAGATCATAAATCCAAACTCACTTCTTTTTAACGGTTAGATTATGAACACTTATTGAGAACTTATGTATTACAAATGCACACCCATTTCTTAGAGACATATTTAGTAGCGTATTAACGGAATTTGTAATTAAGGCACGACATGTATTCCTGATTTTCCAGACACCACCAGAATTCGGCTGAATCAATCGAGACCATCGCTGAATGAGACATTTCAATTGAACTTATCTACAAATGGCAATACTAGCGGAACCCTCACCAGCGGTTCATCTTCCTCCACTGGGGGCAGAGGGATTCGGCTCAAACAATCGAGCTCATTTAGAACATTGGGCTCATCGCCGTTGCGTCCCAGGGAGCCACCACCACCACCTCCTCCTACTGCTAGCGCTACTTTAAATACGAAACAGACCATCAACACCAAAAGTAGTTCAACCTCATCGAAACGACTCCAGATGAACATTTCCTCGTCAATTTCAGGCCAATTAGACAAACTGCTGACCAAATCTTCAAGCACGAATCAAATCTATGGTAGCAACTTGAGTTTGAATGGAAATCGATTACACCTCTCAAAATCTCTGATTTCTCTTCCGATGGATTTGCAAACAACTTCAAATCAAGCCTCACGCGTGATAAAAAACCAGAACACACACGGGCAAAAAGCTAATGCAAGTCCTATTAGTAATCATAATAATAGTAATAAGGGTTCTGGTTTTGAGGCAAATGGCACAAAAACCTCAACTCGAGCTAGTCTAAAGAGTAATGTTGATTGCAAGAAAATTGACGGTAATTCAAATAGTGGAAGAAGTAAGAGTTTGACTGACAGGTGTGAAGCTTTGGATAAGATGCTTGGCAATAACACGGCAGGAACCAATACTGCACTCAATAATTCTGCTTCCTCAGCTAATAAAAACGCCAATAATTCTCGCTCTAATCTGCTGCACAATAAAAGTGAGGAAATTGTGCAGACGAATCTCAGCCAAGGGAAAAGGGGAAATCTCAAGTCGAGTAGTAGCGTTGCGAATGCTGCCAAGCCAAAATCTGCTTTAGCAAAATCATCCGAAATAGCGAAGAGCATGAACGGTCACAGATCATCATCATCACAAGCAGCCGATTGTCAGAATGACGAGCACAATATTGAAATTGTGACAAAGGAGAATGCAGTTAGTGAAATTCGGATATACTCAGTTGGCACGAGTGCCATTGTTATCCCAACAGGTAATGGCATGGCTGCAAACAATGAGCCTCCCACCGGCAGAGACAGCCAACTTGGTGGCAAAGGCGAAGTCAGTAAACAGGAAATGCATTATGCCGCAACCGACATTTGTTCTCAGCAGAGGAATAATGCTAATAGTGCACAATTTCTTCGGCAGCCGCCACCTCCACTGCCCCCCATTTCACAAGACGCTCGCATTTCCACACAGCCAACGCGACCTCAATCCACTTCCGTTGTGCTCATCGTTGACAGTTCCAAACAAAACAACGGGCTGGGTAACGGCAGCAAGGTCACTGAACAATCCTCGCCTTTGACCTATAGCCAGCCCATTGACTCACTCTCTCGTAACAACATGCCATCCAATTACCCACCTTTACCCCTGCAGAGAGAGTCTCACAGCGCTCTTCCCACCTCCAACCCTTACGATTCTAATCCTAATGCAGATGATGAACCCATGTACGATGATGTAATTCACCACCAGCAGCACCACAATTCAACCGCAGACAAACCTAATTCTAATCATAATCTTAATAGCAATAATAATGGTTCTTTGGGACGCAAATTTTTAATGGCATCGCTAAGTTCAATGAATCCCATCAGAAAGCAAGTTCAGGATAATTCTGCAGAAAAGCATGTCCCAGTAATAACAACAGGACACGTTGTCTCATCGACCTTACCGTGCATGGCCTGCCCACCATCCTTGCCACCTCCTAATCTGCCTTCGAAAAATTTGTCAGAATTTACCAATCGACCCGTCATAATTAAGGAGGATGAGGGGGGACAGCCGCGGGGTTCTTTTGGCGAGATGACAAATGATCAAAGTTTAGACGAAGAGGTTGATAATCTCTACAATGATATCTCTGAAGGAGCGACAAGCCGTGGGGCCAAATCTCTGCAATCCTTCGCCAGCAGTATGAAGGGTGCTTTACTAAATGCAATTAAGAATATGGATTTTGACAGGCGATCAGTTATCAGCAGTGGCAATGCGTCCAACCATTCGGGTGGCAGTCAAAATCACAATAATGTCAAATATGATTGCAATGATGCAGGAGAAGGAGAGAGTTGTAATCTTGACAATTTCATCTATGATGACACGCTGTCTTTGCGGTCAGAAAATAGCGACACCAAAAGCAGCATCCACAAATCTTTCGGTTCCAGTCATTTCAAGTCATCATTTGACTCTTTTTCTCTAAAAAGCAGCAACACGTCTCACTTTCCTCCACCACCTTCATCCATTCGAAGCAACTCTTCTACAATCAAACAACTGAGCAATTTAGAGGAACAGGATGAGACTGACACAGATCCACTGTATGATGACGTCATTAGCTATTCCTTGGTCAAGTCTAAAAATGGGGTGGTAATAGACACATCGCATTCATCAGACTCAGGGGCTGAATCAGAGGATGCCATTCCGCCCCCACTGCCTGCACAAGGACCACCAAAGATATCAACAGAACTACCGCTTCTCACCTTCCCTCTCTTGCTTAACAGATCCAACAATTCTACTCTCAACAGTACGAATAACAACAGCTCCTCACTCAATGCAGAGAAAATTAGTGGTGACATTTTGTCTCCTTCGTCGCAACAAAAAAGCTACCAAAGCCTGATAACCGGAGCTGGGAGCGTGAAAGCCGATGTTGATGCAGTGATTCGAACCAGATCACTCTTGAGCGAATTGAATGAAAAGCTATCTCAGCTCAACAGCCTCGCCGAAGAAACAACTGCTAGCTCAATAGGCTCAAATGCGGGCGATAAAAATCGTTTGGAATTTTCGACGTATTCTCCAACTAAGAATAACGTCTCATCAAGTTCAAGCTCTGGAGTTGAAGAGGATTATAATTCCGAAAAGAATTATTCCTTTTCCAACAGTAGCGATGGGGCATCAGGATCTTCGTCCTCTGCTGAGGAAAATTATAAATTGGCACAAGTAACAAAGTTGGTGGCGGAAAATATCACAATGGCCCGAGGAAAGTTTCTAGATTCAATGAAGACCAATTCGTTGCAATCTAATCTAAACTCCCCCGCAAATCTTAAAAATGCGATGCTATCTTCTAATGGAACAAGTCGTCCTGTCAGCCGTGATAGTGGGAGTAGCCCCAGCGCTAGTGGACCACCGATGGATGAACCGATTTATGAAGAAATTGGAGATATAAATCGATCGCACTCGCCAATTTATGCTGATGCATTCGACGCTAAGAGGATTTTTGATGGTGGGGCGTCCAAAAACGAAATACTTTCTTTTTTAGAGTCAATTCGAGATAGGCTCACTTCTGATTCAGTAAGTTGTAACTTTTATTTTCATTATTAGTAAAAGTAGGTGACTGTGCGCAGTTTCAATCAAACTGATTTTATCGATATATTTTTTAACAAATATTTTTGATTGCCAAACACAATGGTTATTGGACACTTTTTAACCAATGTTAAATCGACCTTCAATAAACTGCGTATGTATGTATGGTAAATTGAACGCGATTTTCGTGATATTTTAATTTAGAATTCTTCCAATGGAAGTCAGTCCTCGTCAGTCAGTTCTAAAAAGGGACAAGATTCAAATTACTTGGTGGAAGAAAATCTTTCCTCGTCCATTGTAATTGGAGAAATCTGTCATCTTCCCACCCACGCAGAAGAGGATTCCGAAGAGATTGTTACTCAAAACAAACTTGTGCTAAGAAAAATTTGTCCAGATTGTTGTAAGTTATTCTATAAATGCATTATGCTACTTCAAATGGTATGAAACTTAAATATTATAAATCAAGTGAGTCTACAAACAAGATAACTAAGTATCAAGAAATAATATAATTTATTAGGTAGTCAGTAATTCATCAATCAAACAAAACATATTTTAACTAACGGGAGCAATTATTACAATTCATCGTCATTTATGCAGGAATTTGAACATAAAAAATAGCCCATACAAAATCAAATCAAATACGAGAAACTAGTTTAGAATAAAATGTCGGGCTTTCCATTGTCAAAATTTAGTTGACTCATGTCTACCTGTAATTGTAAACCTGTCTTAATTGAAAACAGTGAGAAAAGTAGCTCCGGATGTACTACACTGTCGAAATGATGATCGATTTGTTGGGTCAATGGATAGATCCTTCTTCCGTTAGTCTCCAATCCCAATAAAGTCGCAATGATTGTGGCGCAGGTCCCCAAGTACTCTGCTTGCAACGCAAGCTTGGTCATCTCCGTTTCATCTTCTAAAATTTGTTGGAATAAGGGAATTATTGTGTCCTGGAATGGGGTCATCGAAGTTTCCATTGTAGAGTGAGAGCTGCTACCGGGATAAATTCTTCTGGGGTTTAGAGCTGTAGACGCACCATCGTATAATCCTCCTTGACGATTATGTCCAATATAGCTGTATGGTTTATACAGGTCAATATTTGGGGGGAAATATTTAGCTGGTTGAATTTCATGTGATGATGAAACGGGTGAAGTTTTGAAATCAATTCCATTGTTGTTGAGGAAAGTGTGAACTTCATCCCAAAAATCAACATCCACCTCCATGAAACTAATTTGCTCCATAAGTAGGACTATCGGGTCGTTGTAGTCTTTGTATACGTAATTGTGGAAGAAAACCAAAAGAGATGTACCAACCTACATTATAAAGAAATGCACAAAAATTATTTTCCCTTAATAATTACAATATGTGTATAAAAAGCTTTTTTGTACTATAAACATTTATGCCTTACCCCTATAATACTGTATTGACGTGTTGATAAAGTCGTTGGAACAGGAATTGACCGATCAATCACAAACAAGGGCGGCTCACAAGGGGAAACAAGAAGTTTTGATAAATCTTCACGCTGGGTCATGTAACGATTGATAGTAGCGTAATCTTTTCGAAACCAAGATGCTGACATAACTTTATTTATGTCAGCCTCTGAATATGGGGACATCTTTAATTTTGGGCAATAAATAATAATTGTGGGGTTATCGTAATTATTTATATCCCGCAATAACATCACTTCCTGTGACTTTTCCGAATGGAGTCTGCATTTGCCCACTGTTTGGTCCTGTATAAGTAATTTATACATTAATAATAAATTCAATAGATGATTTTTTAAATATGCTTTGATTACCTTTGAAATTGTCCAGCACGAACTAATACAACAAATCTGATTCGATCCTCCCTTCCATCCAAAACTCTCGTTTTCTTTAACTTTGTAGAGGATGTTCCTCCGTTTGTACCATCTAATGCAGACGTCATTCCCGATGTGTTGAATAGGCGTAATTGTCCCGTCTTGGTGAGTGAAGCTGCAAATTAGCGGAGTCAATCTGTCTCCGACTTCCTCCATCAACGATAAAAATTGCGGACTTGAATCCATCGTCTCGTCGGTCTCTCCTGGATTTTGACCCCACCGTAAATGTGCTTTTATAGCGTCAAAGATTGACTTCGGAACTCCTTCTGGTCGTTCTTTCCACTCTGGTGAAACTTTTGAGAAATTAACAACAAATGGTCAAATTATAAATAAAACATTCTTACAAGTATGTACTTTGCTAAACGAAAACAATTTTATCATAATATTTGAAATGTTTACCTTGTTGCTGTTCCAACCGAATGACGTCATCACTGTCATTTGCTTTGTAAAAAAGTTGGAATTCGTATTCTGATGGATCCTTTGTTTTCAATTCGTCGGGTGCAGTAAAAATTACTTGCTGGTTGTTAAACTGGACTGCTATCTGATCCTGTGACAAATTTCGAGTTTTTTCCAGCAATGATGATTGTCGTCCGGTTTTCCGTCGTGTTACTGTGACCGGAAGCTGTGCACTTTGTTCCGTAAAATTTTCCGCCATGATGACGGATGAACGTGCCAAGCAAGTGTAGTAAGGTTTGACTCCAGCTCCAACTGTGAAATGGTTGCAATAAACAAAAATTCGACCCTTATTTATATTTGTGCGTAGCGTCTCCACGCCACGCTCATGCTCTCACCCCATTTCATAGGTTGAATTCTCTCCAGGTGATAATGCACATCGTTATATTAACATCGCCCATAAGTCGTTTGACTATCTATTCTATAACTATTAAGAATGGATTTCTCGAGGCAGAACTGCAGATAATCTAAGTTTGAGGGATAATTATGAACAGAATATACATTTGTACATATTATTGAATTTTTATTAAGATGATGTCCCCGTGTTTGTCCAGATTGTAATGATGTCCCCGTCGACGACAAGGATGAGGAAGAACGGATCACAATCGAAGATGACAAAATTTCACAGAGTTTGTGTCCTTCTTGTAATCGTAAAAGAAGTGAAAGGAAGGAAATCATTACTGAAATTTACGAGACTGAAATGAAGTACGGACGAGATCTGCAAATTATTTTGGAAGAGTTTTATAAACCAATTCAGATTGCTGGTAATTTTTTTTCATTTTTTTCTGGTAACCATTGAATGTTTGCTCATACATTTTCCTTAATTTTTCACCGGATTGAAATTTTGAAGCTACATCAACTTGCTAACATGTTTTTATAATATTGTGCAGAATTTCTTTTTCCGGTGCTCAGCGTTATTCTTTCTCTACATTTGACCTTAAATTCTAATATCCAACGTTTTATTTGTACGTTAAAACGTTAATAAAATTCACGTGAACTTTATTTTGCAGGACTTTTGAACAAGGAACAATTGGACCAAATTTTTCTAAACACAGGAGAATTAAGTGAAATTAGTTCCCAGTTGACCATGCTTCTCAAAGCAGAGATCACATCTGCCATTGTCGAACGGAAAGATGAAGACTTGGCCTCCGTTAATATTGGAAAAATATTTTTGGACATTGGTGAAAAGATGATGATGGCTTTCCAAACATACTGCACACGTCAGGTAATAATGCACTTTGCTTTCAAGTGCAATTAAGTTTTAATCGATTTGACAGAACGTGTGAAAAGTGCATCAGGCGAAAAAATTTATAGAAAACTTGTTTAGCTATTGGGTCACGTCCATCGAATCTAACACACCAAGCAGAGCATTGTGACAACAAATGCCAATAAATAGTTTTCAAGTGTACAATGTACATGCGTATTAAGAATTAAACTTTCATTTTCACTCTAATAAAATCTGATAAGTTTTTTAAACTGTCACAAAAATTTGGCAAAACTACCATTTACTACAATATTACCGCAAGGAAGCTTGTAAATAAATTGTGTCCAAGACTATTGAAAATTCAAAGCACGTAAATCTTTCAATGGCTGAGTGTGCAGTAAGTCTTAAGCTGGGGTGGGAATTCGATCTGACCTCATTATCATTTGCAGGGTATGCACACATACATACGTTAGTTCATGCATAAGTAAATTATCACGAACAATTACTCGATCTTACACGTCCCCATACAACATTTGCTGTAAAAGGCGATATCAAAGACTGCCTCCAATAAAAAAAGTAACTACCAAGTAACTACTAAAAGTATTTATCAGCAGACGTGCTTACATTAATTTGAACCCACTGTCCATTTCATTTTTGTTCGTTATACATTAAATGAATTTGAGACACGAACAACCAACAGCAGGATTGTCATAAATGTACGATATGCGATGCCGACAAATTTATATTTTCACAAAATGAACTGATTTGCGCTGTTTTCTAATTTATTTAACCTCTTGCTGCTTCTTGGATAATTGACTTTCCTTGTCATGAAATCAGGGAGTTGATTGCATTATGTTTTTGAAATTAAATGCCAAACTAGAAACTTTTACGAGCCACGAACACGAAAGAAGTATTCAATTGTAGTCTTAACATAATTAATATTTCGGAATTGAACGAGTTTTATAAATTTTTACTAAACAAAAATATTTGCAAATGGAATTTAGACTTGTACTGATTTAATAACGTTGTAAATTTTACACCTGATTAAGAAGAATGTATCAGGAATCTGGAATTATCTATTTATCAGTAATCACGTCCATACTTTCAATGAACCAAATGTTTTCGTTAGGCTTAGGATCTTCCTTAATTTTGTTTGGAGTAATAGTCTTTGCATGCAAAAGTACCTGCGTATGTACATACGTACAGATTTTTTCCCGAGTTACATATTATTATCTATGTATGTGCATACAAAAGTCTCGCCATGATCGCCATGGTCGCCATGATTTATTGTTTCAACGTTGAACGTGTCCAATACCCAAATTATATATAACGATAAACGTTATTGTTTTATTGCTTGTTAGGCAAATGCTGGTGCCTTGTTGGCGCAACTTGAGAAGGAGAAAGAGTTGTTGCGAATATTTCTTCGCGTTTCCCAACTTGAGAACATAGCACTGAGAAGATTCAGTTTACCAGCGTTTTTAATGGCAAGCTTTTATCAATGTTTACAATTATGCCCTTCTCAATTTACATGAATATCCTTCTTGTTGTGACTTTGAACTTTTGTGGATCATTTATAGACTATAGTTCAACGGGTAACTCGATATCCACTTTTACTGTCGCGACTTCTTAAAGCCACTCCTTTGGACCATTTTTCGCGAGACGACCTACAATCTGCTCATGAGAAAATCGAGTATCACTTGGAGCATATGAACAAGGTTGGTAACAGAAACACAGCAACTTGTTAAAGTCAAAAGAACAATTGCAGAGTCTCATTTTTGTTACACATTGTTATCTTATTAGGCAACCCGTGAAGTCTCTAGTGTGAAGTTGTGGAGGCGAATTTCCATTATCAACGGCAACAGCACACCTTTGCCTCGGAGATCAAATAACGACTTGGAAGGAGCATCAGTTAGCATAAAGAAGGTGAGTCCGTATTAACTACATGTAGATGTTACATAATTAAGTCTAGTGCTATCTAATTAGGATGTACATACATATGTACGCAACTATGACATCGACTCGTAATTTCAGTCGATCAATAGCTTTGACCTATTGTTAATTGTGTTGCTGTGAGCATGTAATACGTATCTTTTAATGTGATTGTCGGTGCTGTAATCAGTTTAATGATCACAGTTAAATACTTCGTTGTGAATCTAGCCGTGGGCCGGCGTTATGCAATTTTCACAGCATCAGATTCATTCCGTAAGCTATTCATAACTTTACTTACCTTGCCTCACTTTTGACTAGCAATGTCGATTGTTGAGTGATACGCGATGCGTGCGCGAACAAATGCACACTGATGCACGATGCATCTGCATATTCACTCACACTTACAATTAGGTTGTTTTATAATCAATTTTGGCATTGTGATTGTCGAACATAATTGTGAATTCAAATTTTAACGAAAGAGATTCTTCTAAGCGAGGCGATTAGCATTGAGAATTTACACGTATGGATAACAACGATGACTGTATTGAATTCGTTGTCATTTCAAATCGGTGCATGTCAACTACATATAAACGACTGGTGATTGTTGATTATCTGTAGTATGTGCTTACACATATGAGAATTGTAATTTTAATGTACTTACACCCTCGTGTAAGATGGACTCGAAAGTATTAATTAGTTTTGGATAGGTTACTCAATTCGATTATTACTGTCAATTTTTAAGGTTGTTGCACCATATTATGAAACTGCATATACATAAAATTCAAATCCAATAGTAAATAGCTAATTATACATGATTGCTTATAAATTATTGAGATTATTTTCATATGAGTAAGAATATGCATACAGAAATAATTCAATAAATTTATGTCATTTGTAAGTATCTAAGAGTTTATAAACCAATGAAGTCTGTCGATCTGGTCATAGTTTATATTCTAAAAAAATTGGATACGTTTAGAGAGACTTATCAGAACGGTTCTATTGTCCATGCTTCCGGTTAAAAAGCGGCCAATTAAACTAAAACATGACCCAGTACTTGTGCTGACGCTCGTACGACACCATTAATAAAAACCTCGATCAATCAATGTTAATGAAAACACGTACAGATATTCACAATGAATATCGGATTAAAAATCGTAACAATTTATATAATTGAGTGTATAACATTTCATAACATTTCAGATGTCGATTGACGTTCTTGACTGGACCAGTCTCACAGACATAACATGTGTCATTGACAATCAGCTTGGCGTATTTCAATTCAATGGGAAACCACTTCGAGGAATCTACGCTTGTCTTCTTGTCCGAGGAAAGGTATTGTTTGCATAAAGTCTATTATTTCATATATACATGAAATTTATAAATTTATAAGCATTATTTTGAGCTCAAATAATTTTTTTATTGCAGGACATGGAAGCATTATCCTGCAAAATGGACAATGAAATGTTTTTCCCACCAGCCGAAGATATTGTAAAGGAAGTCAAGCTAGTACTAGTCAGGGTGAAAAATACGAGATTCTGTCTGCTCAGGGTATGCAAATTACCAATTAAATTAATACACAAAAGGTCTAACTATACTAAAAAACTAAATTAGGAACCCTTGTGCCTTGCCAACTGTGTGGTTTCCCAAGGAGAAAATGAGTTCCAGGATTTTGTCGAGATTAACGAAATTACGTCCAAGAATACATATCACCTACAGGTACGATTATTAAATATTTCTGTAAAGAATATTCTTTGTTCAATGCATCCACTAATTTAAATTATGTGATTTTAATTGGTTTTGTAATTGTTACACTTTTAGGGAATTGATAAACAGGCCACTTCAGCTTGGCTAAAGTACCTTCAGTGTTACAGTCTTTGTGTCGGGCAGTGGAGGCGACGAAGAGGAGCACTGGCCAACATTATGATGAACGGAATGTTGAAAAATTTGTGAACTGACCTGTTCAGTGTCACTGACAATAAATACCATAATTTCAGCGTATCTTCTCTTACTCTATCTTAATTCTGAAGAAATGACTCTGACGACAGAACCAATGATTTGGTGTCAAAAAAGTCAGAGCACGATTTTTGTATTTTTAGATGTTTGTATTGCCATAATATAATTAAATATTTAATAATCTTATAGCTTATCTACATGTAAGAGGATATGTCAAATAATTAATGTTTACTGACCGAACCTATAACATAACCAATAATTGGTCAACTAAGTTTTGCAGACTGCGAACCTATTTATTTCATTTAATTTTATCCCATATATGTCAATTTAACTGTATATACATATATACTTATTCTATTCATTTTTACGATTTTTACAAACATTGAATAAAACTCGCACGCTTTTATCAGTATTTGGTGTACTACATATCACCCTTTTAAAACCATTTTTGGTGCATTTGTCGTGCTAATGAATAAGCATATGCACCTACTTACATGACATAGACAAGGTCGATCAATATTCCTTCATGATCAATTAATTTTCGCAATTTTATAAAGACATTATTAGTGACATGACATTTAATTCATGAGTTTTTGTTCCAAACTTCCAAACTTTCTTGCATTTGATATATGCATTACAAGACGTATTTTTACTGTTTGTGGTTGACTAATTTACTAAATGTGAATACATTTTGACAAATTCTTTCCTTATATTTTTATCTTGAGTGGGGACACATGAAACCAACTAAACTGATGGGGTTCACACTTTTTAAAAAGAATTACAAGAAGTTATGCTTCCCAGACTTGACTCGTAATAAAATGAAATGCGATACCCTTCCTTTTCGTCTGCCAGAAGCAAATGCAATCTCCATTGTATTTTAAACACCGTTTGATATTTCTGAAAGGTGATCCACCGAACTGGTTGCAACTTTCCCATAGTGAAAGTAATGCACTGAGGTTGAAACTCTTTTCATGAAACGCAAAGGTCAGTTAAAGGATCATATTCACTCTCCAAATGTCCTCGTAGTATGCAATGCAGTGCAAATGTGTTCTTGCATTCTACAGCAAAATCCTCCAGTTTGCACTTTAATTTTCATTATACTACTTCCATATAAACGTACACCAAATATTAGTTGTGAATCTCATGGTTGACAGAAAATATTTCAGTAGTAGCTGCATACGTAATGCATAGAACCAAATATTCCATAACTGGTTAGGATTTTGCATAGCTATGCAACCAATATATAAGTGACATTCTTTGATAACTACGCAGCCCGATTAAACGGTGTGAATAATTTAATACAAACGAGCAGAATTACCGTGATAATTTTAAAATTTTAAAAATAATTGTTTAAAATGCGGACATTTCTTATCATACTAATATTGGTGAATTATCTGCGGCCAACGGTTTCGATATCTTCTGAGGAGGTAAATATCTTCTGTTTTCATAATAGAGAGTTAATTAAATTTTTTTAAACTGCGGATTATTTTCAGTTTATTTTTGACGATGAGGACAGTCAGAACAAAACAGTTTCAGGTAGTGCATGCTTCATATTCATAAAATTTCTAGTTTTATAATATATCAATTTATAGAAGAATTTCTACTCTTCACTACGAAACCGGGCAGTGCAATAGAGAAAACTTTCGTCGATGGGGATGATTTCAGTGATCATGGTCCATCGGGAAGTGACGTTGAGAATCTGAGTTGCGATGAGCACGCTATGAAAAAAGTTGCAGAGCTTCATTGTTTTAAGGTAGTTCGTAACGCAATCGTAGATTTGTAATTAATTTCTTGATGTTGTTCGAATTGAAAATTATTTTCGTTAGGGTGCACGAGGAGACACCGGACAGAAAGGTAAGTGAAAGAGTTTTATAATTGGGAATATATTTTTTATTTGTTTAATTTTTTGTGGCTTTGCAGGTGATCTGGGACCAATGGTTTGTAAATTAATTTAATTTGTAAATGTACTTTCTTGTGTGCATGTAATATGTGTGTGCTGACTCTTGAGATAACTATTTTTCTGTATAGGGAGCTCAGGGCATCATTGGAGAGAAAGGTCTAAAAATTGTGATTAAATTGATTACTTGACTGTTTTACTTTATTTTTATTAATCAGGTGAACCCGGTGTAACAAAGGAAGGTCCCCCAGGTTAGCCACAGTTAATTCTTATTAACTGTTGTTTTGAATTTTATCTGTTATTAATTTCAGGCGAGAAAGGCGATCCGGTATGTATGCATCTTTATCTAAATATCATGAGCGACGACAAAATACTTAAACATTTAATTAATTCGTGTGTAAATAATTTAATTCAGGGTGTTAATGGAGAGCATGGTCGCAAAGGTATTTTTACTAGAATTTTGGTACTTAAGTCTGTGGAAAAAAATGCAAATGTTACTTAATTGAGATAATTATCAATAGGACAAAAAGGGGAATCCGTCTATAATTTATCACCACTACATGGTGCGATTCTTTTAGCTAAAGCATGATTTTTGCACAAGTATTTTAATAAAGTATTCTTTTTCAGGTCGCAGAGGTTATTGACAGTAAAATTTATTTATTACGAAATAACAACTGAGTAATTACTAAATCATTTTGATTTTTGCAGGAGCAATGGTATACAACAACAGGGCCGAATTATTAAAGGTAACAAGTTTTCATCTTGATTTTCTAAAAATGAATACGTAGAAACGTAAGACATGCAACTAATTTATCTCATGCAAGTCCTTCTGTAAAACGAGAATAATGCAATTTTAACATCATAGATTCAAAATTTAAGATGTTTATATATTTACGAAATTAAAGGAAATTACCAGTTGAATGTCCTCATTGGTTGTAAGCTTGCTGCAGTTCCCCAGCAGTTTGGGTTGCATAACTCTCCACATTTCCGTACCCTTCTTGCAGGCGCTTGGTCACCACGTGGGCGTATGGAGACGCCGAGTTATATGCGGTCACCACGCCAGACTGAATCCCACTGGCGGCAGCACCCGCAGCTTTCGAAACTCCAGTTGCTACATATTGCAATGAGTCGAAAAAGTTGGCCGATGCCACTCCAAGAACCAAAATAAAATTGAAAATTTGTTTAAGCTGCATTTTATCGAAGGTGTACGAGATGCGCATAATTTTGAGCTGCTTGAGGTGACTAATTATTTAGTCCTGCGAATGCCCCCGCAGTTATAGGAGTCATAACATGTATACATCCTTAATAAGAATACAATGTTGACTAGTTTTAATGTAAACATGAGCTTTCTAAGAAATTAGCTGCCCACCGTCAATAAAACTATTCATGTCATTTCATTCATTCCTTCATTCCACAAATATTCTATAGCTTTATATGAATGCTTTTACGCAGATTGAGAAATTCACCAAGCCAGGAGCCATAGCATATGTCAAATCTGACGAAAGATTTTACGGAAAACTTGGAAATGGTTGGGCACCTTTTCTCGTAAGAAAATTTATATGCTCAGCAAAATTATCTTGTTAATGCTGTTGATATCGACAATTCAACGTTAAATGCCTGTTTTATGTGCATATGTACATACTTATGTATATACATTACACTATATAATACAGATGGGAGATATTATCGGGAAAAAAGGTACCCATGACTATTCTGCCTGGCAGCGTCATCCGCAGATCACGTATAGATCTTCTCGAAAGTCATCTTTATTTCGACCCGCGACAAGAACGCATAAATCTGAACTTCAAGTAATTTGTTTGAAATTATAATAATCTATTTCATTCACACTTTATGAAAATTGAATACTAACTGAGCATGAGTCATTCTTAAAAATTTACACATTTGTTGTATGGTTTCTCACACAAAGCGTCGCACTGTGTACATCTGCATAAACAAATTAGTTTAATTCGCAGCAGTTCTACATTAGAACATATTAAATTTCTCGTTTTACTATTTACATTTAGATAATTTATGTTAATCCTTGTCTAAACACTGAATTGCGTTGCAGAACACAACTCTGCGCCTCATAGCTCTGAACGACCCGTGGACTGGGAACATGAGTGGCATCGACTTCATCAACTACGAGTGCCAAAAGGAAGCTTATGAATCAGGCGTCTCAGGTTTATTTAGAAGTTTCTTGTCGTTTCCCAAGGACAATGGAATGAAAATATCAGCCATTGGGAAAAGTCCATATGATCGGATCGTTAATTTGAAGAATGAAACTTTGTATAAAACTTGGAAGAGTATTTTCAAACGCTCAAAGGTTTCCGAGTCCAGTAAAACAACATCCAACAACGGCACGTTATTTCCATATGTGTATTCCTTCAACGGAAGGAATGTCATTTTGGACGATCACTGGTACATGCCCATACATGCATACATACGTATTATATTTGGAATTATATTATTTTTGTACAAAAAATCAAGGAAATTGCACTGTTTTTAAATTCTTTGATAGGGATGAGAACTTGGCTTGGCATGGCAGTTTTGAAACGGGGGATGGTTCATTCACTGGTTCGTGTAAAAGCTGGACTACAAACGCCTCCAACATGACAGGACTTGCAGGCGATTTCCTTTACAATCACATGTTGGACCAAAAAAGAATCCCTTGCAACAGCAGCCTCATCGTGTTCTGTATCGAAATTTCGCAAAATTTGGCGAGGAAACATATCTCAAATTTATTGGATTTGCCAGAAGACTCAACCAAAAGTGTTCATTTGTCGGATGAAGAGCACAAATTGGTTTTAGAGAAGTATGATAACGAGTGGGACGAGTTGACAAAGTCCGACCACAATCGACATTTTCACTAAACTATACATTCTAGAACTGTGCATACTTTAATTGTGTATCAATGTATTCAATGTGTTCAATGTTCTTCGGAGCTACATAATTAATAAAAGTTGTTGTATCTAAATGTCATGTTACGCCATCGTATTTTAAGGACTTGACACCTGCGACCTACATATTTTTTTGACAACTAACAATGCACATGTCAGACATGTTTCGCACGGATCTTGTTGAAACCAGCGCTAAAATATCAATGAACTAAACACAAACAATAGTTAGTATGACATTTGAGCACTTCTGCAGAATTCGTGAAATGGCGAAGGTTTTAAGTTGGAGAACACGCGTATTTTCACCATGCGAAACTATACGGCCGCTTTCCGATTTTCCCCTGCGCTTCTCTTCGCCAGGTCATCCGTTTTCACTCAAAATTGAATTAATTAATTTCCTAACCAAGTTCTCATCCGATTTTTTATATTTGGATTTGACACAATTTTTGAACCTTTTTAATATTTAACATAAAAATTAAGTTGCTATCATTGGAATTTTTTAAGAATTTGTTGAGATTTCAGAATAGTGGATTCGATTTTCCTTTTTTCACATTGCATATTTATATTTGTAAACTTATTTATATATTAGACCATAAAAAACCAAATATACCTAGTTCCCTATGTGTGATAAGGGCTAACATTACACAAAGTCATAAGATTTTTGTCATCAAAATCTTTAAAGCACGCCAAGGGAATAAATAGAAACATCGAATGTATTATTCTGAAACAATTTTGAAAAATAATATCCACTTATAAGTTAGTTGAATCCATTTTAAATATTAAAAAGTGCTCAAAAATTATGTAAAGTCCAAATATAAAAAATCGGATGAGAACTTGGTTAGGAAATTAATTAATTCAATTTTGAGCGAAAACGGATGACCTCGTGAAGAGAAGCGCAGGAGAAAAGCGGAGAGGTGAACTCCATATAGTTTCGCATGGTGAAAATACGCATTTTCGCCAACTTAAAACGTTCGCCATTTCGCGAATTCTGCAGAAGTGCTCAAATTTCATACTAACTATTGTTTGTGTTTAGTTCCTTGAGATTTTAGTGCTAGTTTCAACAAGATCCGTGCGAAACATGTCTGACATGTGCATTGTAAGTTTGTTGTTTTTTACTCACTTCCTATCTAACTTTTACTATATTAGGATAATTTACAGCTTCAGTACGTTTAGTAAAGATACACGCTTGTCAGTTGAGCAAATATGTAGGTTTAATGTTATTTAGTATGACATTTAGCGTGGCGTCGTTATAAGTACATATTAGGGTTTGTAAGTGCAAACGTCACTATGTCTTCGCCTTCCTCCTCAAGTTTATTATCATCTTCAATTTCAATTTAAGTATGTGTGACTAGAAAAACTGCTTACGTTTTCGCAGTGACTTGTAGACAGGTCAATCTAAATAAAAATTATTTCTGGCAATTAATAATAATGATTTATGCATATGGAGTACATGCGTATACACTTATTTGCAAAGTGTAGCTTCCACAGTATAAGTAATTGGTCCAGTTTAAAAGTTCGAATATATACTCGAACTCAGGTTCTTATTTCAAAAAGATAGTTTATCCAGTTTTACGACATTTTCTTACCCGAGAGGAATGCCTTGAAATTCACGGCTATAAATGTTTTACCCTTCGTCGACTATTCTGTCACAAACATCACACATCCGTCAACCAGACCTTCAATCTTCCCCATGGAATTTTTTCACTTTCGAGTATGACACATAAACCGTGAAACAAAAGCACGTATCACACATAGAACTACGAGAATTAGGATATGACAAGATTTATGCTGGAAATTGCTGTTGTTTCTTGTCTAAACTTTAATTAGTGGATTAAATTTTGATGAAATTGTGTGCTCCCATTTGATTTCATGGGTAATTCAACGTGCTATACTGGACTGGACAGCGTACATACGTCTAAAACATGAGCAAGTTTATTTAGCATGAGATTCTGATGTCATTCATTGAACATAATTCAATTTTTTTTATAATGTATCAATTTCCAGCAACGTACACTACTTATGTTTCAAATGATTTAAAATTCAAGACCAAAGCATACATATATTAACTATGTAAGTACATATATGCATTTCTTGTTTACATGCATAAGTACAAAGATATTGTACACAGATAATCTAAGTCGCACTTTAAAAGCTTCAAGAATGTACAAAGAGTCTCCTGCAGCAAACAGCTATAAATCAATGAGCTTGTTTGGCAAATACTAATTTAATTTAACAATCTCTTCGTTTTGCAGATTGAAAAAAGCTCAGTCGGCAGTTTAAGTAACAGGTGGGGCTCTTGCTCGAGCAGAGTACATTTTGGGCATTTTAATTTCGACTCTCCGTCTTCACATGCTTAATTGTGCACGATTCCAATAATTTGAAAACTGTGTACGACCAAGCTTTTCTAGGAAATTAGTATGCTGTCATGTTTATCATGTTCCTCACGAGTGAAACAAAATCTGATCAAGTAGTGCCTTCTTCAATTATTCACTCTCCGGCCTTGCACTGCATATAAACAAATGGCTACATACATTACGTATTTAAGTGTGAAGCAGTCTCAATAACCCGTGAGCAACACTTTTTCTCAAGCTGAAGGCTATCCAAAGCTATCACTCATTTGTACAATTTTGCTGTGATTATTTTTTCCAGAAATATAAGAGCAGAAATCCTAATCCTAAGTATGGCGTTTAACTTTGGATTAGTAAAACTCAATGCATAACAAAATTGAAAATTCTGTTACCCCGAGAGGCAAACATACATATGCACATTTGACATTTTACGACTTTGTTTACAAATAAATTACCTAATTTTTAGTCTAGATAATGATTTTCAAAGAATAAAATTCTCGCTAGACAGCTTTATCGATATCGAAATTTACGGACGAAATCAATCTCAGATTTGACCCTTGAAACTATCAAAACTTCCGAGTTTAATGATTCAACTCTGATTATAATACGTATATTTTAGCCTAAACTATTAAATGTTCATCCTGTTCCATTTCTCATTTCCGTCAACAATAGCTATGCAAAAGTGAAAATATGTAATGAAAAAGCATAATACATTTATTTTATCTTACGGCCAAAATAAAATGAACCGACCAAATGTAGCTTCTTACAACAAAAATTTGAATTATTATATTGAAATTTTTCCAAATACATATTCCTATCTCACTTATTACAGAAAATCAAAGAGCATTTCTATAAAAACACGATCATTCCATGGCAAAATACTCTGGTAACCCGATACAGAACCTTCATCTCATCCAACCAAGTGATTCAGCATTATATTAGAGGATTACTGAACAAAACTGCCAAGATAACATTACAAAACATGATCCGAAAGATTTCCAACTTCTTCTTGTTTACCAACCACCAACTACTTCTGCTCCGGTCTCAAATCTGCATGAGACAAGACAACAACAAAAAGCACAAACACTACAATATCTGCCCCACAAGATCCACTTGTGCTGACTGCGAGAAATCTCTTATTTTCTTAGCAAGAGTTGAGCGGTTGAGCCTCAACCAACTCGGTCTCACTTTCCTCACCAATTTAATCAAATCAGTCAGAATTAGGAGCCCCACCACTGCATGCACTTTCACACGTCTCTTTCTTCAGCTTTGATCCCAGCGAAACTGTTTAACTGGGTACTTAAATTAACTCACAATTATTAATTACACAATAAAATTAGCCCAAGTTCACGATGGGCTATACACAAGTAAGAAGTGAGTAAATAGACTAATAAATAGCGTACATTTTTAAGTGAATAAACTGGGAAGGATAGATATTGTTAAATCCGTATTGTGTACATAAACTTGGCTCTAAAATGAACAAACGTGCAAGATATTGGGTTTCGTGACAAAAGGAACATATCACGGATTTGTAGTCTTTTAATTTGCAATTCCAATTGTGTGTTTAGCAAACTATATAAACATAAACTATAAATGATTCGTTGAAATTGTATTTTCAGTTGTGCAAAATTTTATCCAAAACGTGAAAAATTTTATTTTGGAAAAATTAACTTCAATTTTTGCGAGTGTGATTTGTAGTGAAATTAAAAGTTTAGTTACGTATAAAGAGTACCGTTTATTAGAATGTTTACATATAATCGCTTTCACTAATTAGGATTGAAGCAGTCATGATGAACATTAATGTCTTTCTCTGTCTTGCCATACCAGTCTTTGTTGGGCAGGTGATATCGGCCAGGTATTCGTACACTTTAAGGGTAAGTGACAATGAAATTGATTTTAAAGTAAGTTAGCGTTTATTATTAGGGTTAATAACTTATGAAACGTGTCACGGCATGTCAACATTTTCTTTATCAGGCTGCGTGTGTTGTTTATATACTACTTGAGGTCAAAGACAATTGAAAATTAAGTTTTGGCAAATCTCGCAGATTTGAAACTTTATCTGAAGTCTCGTTAAATAAATTACAAGAAATCTTTGAAACTAAATGTACAAATTTGCTTTACCTGACATTTCCTCGTCCTTATAAGGTCGTTATATCATCCATTGAAGACAATCTAATTCAGAAAAACTCCGTAAAAGGGAGCATTGCAATAAATATTGGGCCAGGCTGGCATTATTAAGCATTATTTTTCTTGATGACTTCTTCCCCGTTTACATAATTTGCAATCCTGGCTCACCCACCTCTTGCTGAGTGATTGTGTTCACGTTACTCAGGCTCATCACAAATCTTAATAAACTTGGAATGAAAAATATTCTGCAAATTAAAGACAATTCCTTTTCGGACCGACAAAAATGTGTTTTCCTGAGTTAATTTAATGCTAACTTAATTTTATTTGCTGTAATAATTAATTGTAAAAACGAAAGAGTTTTTTCCCATGCACGTTGAAATTTGGGCAATACAGAGAGCAAAGAGACTATTCAAGTATTGCTGGCATAAAACTGCCTAGTACTATTTGAATTTGCATTTATTTTTGGAGTACATACAAATTAGCACGAATATTTTGACTATTACATGATTATTTATTGATAAAAGTAATTTTGAGCTATCTACTACTCGTAATTAAAATGATACTGAAATTTTGAGGTGTGTTAATGAGATCGCAAAGTATCAACAATACAAATACATCAACGACCACCAGTGACATTTAGCGAACAAAGCAGATTACGACGAGGAGAACGTTGCATTTCTTGTCATATTTCAACCTTCAGAACCAGTTCGAGTAGATTGCTCATTCCTACCTGTCGGGATAAATAAAGCGATGAGACAATGAAAGGTTAATGAAATGTAAAACGCTCAAAATAAATCCTGGGAAAATGGCTTGCACAGATATTTGGTATTGTAATTTCCAACAAAAATGAACCAAAAGATTACAGAGTAAGACAAGTTTGTTTTTCACGTGCTTATCTGCAGAAATTTATTCCAATTACATCATTATTATGTATACAGTATGCATTGCAAACTTGTGTCATGTTTCACCCAGTTACTTATTTGCATATCCAAAGTGTTAAATTGTTTCATTAGGATGCAAATTCTTTAAATCCGGATTCATCAATGTCTGAATAATAATAGGATGAAAAAAGTATTTTCTTGAACTTTTAGCCGAATGACGACTCGAAATGTGGGTGCAACTATACCGAAATTTACAGCAACTTGCCTTCTTTCATGAATGTAAGCATTCCATACACTTAGTATTTATTCACGTCTTCAAAGTTTCGTATTAGTAGAAATTTGAAAATTTTCCCATTTATATAGTCGATCTCAAGGGATGAATCGTTTAGTTGGGTGTTCAAGGGAAGAGATGGAGAAAGGGGGTTGGAGGGTCCAATGGGTCCTACAGGTAGCACATAAATTTGTCAATATCAATGTGTACCGGATACATAGGATAATTTTTTATATGCTTAATTATTAGGTTTGCCTGGTAGAAATGGACGTGATGGAGAGAAAGGAGAACCGTAATAGTTGACTCCAATTTTTAAGTTTAACATTGAATGATGACAAACTCTTTTGAAACGTTTATCGATTTGGAATTGCAGCGGACTGCCAGGCGAAAGTTCTTATCGTAGAATTGCAGAAAAAGGAGAACCAGGAATTCCGGTACTTAACTATTTGATTTGCCCCTACGTACTTCTTAAACACATTGATAATGCACGTTCGTAAACTTTGAAAAATTACTGCATTTAACTATTTACCTCAAATTTTGATGCAGGGTCGCAGTGGTTTAAAAGGAAGCAAGGGAGAACGAGGGACTCCATTTACCACAGTTTTGCGTCAAGGAAGCTACATTGAAGTCAAAGTAAGCTGTCTGCAAATTTCTATGCATTCATTGTAAAGGGTTATCAAATATATTCAATAAATCAACTTTCAGGGCGAGAAAGGAGAGTCAGGAAGGAGAGGTTAAATGAAAATCTTTGTATTTTTATTTTGTTCAATTCTGCTTGAAAAATTTCAGCTTTATAAACTAACCCAAACGTTAATAAGTAGTTTATCGTATGTGTTCGGCCTAAAGCCAGGGTAATCAACGTTATTATCTAAATTGTACACACCTTATTTAGGCCGGAGGGGGATGAATGGAGAGCCGGGAGCAAAGTAAGTGGCATGTTAATCATCTGTATTACATACCAATGCAGCTTATTTAGTGAAATTCAGACCCATATTGGTGCATTATATATACGAAGAGGGAGCCGAAAGTCAAAGCATTTGCTGTCAAAGTTAATTTATCAAAATGATCTTTTAATCAAATCCTGGTCGTTTCCTTTTTGTTTAGGGGAGAGCGTGGAATCAGCATTCAAGGCGAGAAGGGTGCCAAGGTCCGGAATTGAGATTACCATATTCTCCATTTCTTAACTAATGACCCATTCATATCTTGCCTTGCGAATACATTTCCTTTTTTTCTTGCAGGGGGAACCAGTCAGCCTTTCGGATCTCGAGATGCTAAAGGGCTCCAAAGGCGAGAGGGGACTTGTTGGAATGCCCGGAGCGTGTTGCGGAAGGATGGGCCCAAGGTCAAATTTGAGAGCGGATGGCTCTGTTTTGGTCCCACTGCCCGGTCCACAAGGCGTCAAGGGTGAAAAGGGAGGGGAAGGTAAAGAGATTTTTGTACAAAATTAGCAAACATTAAGTGAAGTGTGTAAGCAAGTAACACGGAATTATTCTAATCTACCCGTAGGTCCACCAGGCAGTCCTCCAGAGTTCACAATGGTACCCGGAGCTAGCGTCTTTAAAACGGAAGCAGACATGGTGAAAAAAGATGAAAATTATGTTGATCTGGCATTTTATAATTTTGGTATATTTATCAAAAAAATAGAGACTCGTGAGGAGTCGTCCAGGTACGCTTTGTTTTGTTGAAGAGGATGAAAGGGCTTTTTTCAGAGTCAAAAATGGTTGGAAGGAGATTCCAGTAAGTCAAAGCTCTATATTATCGTATTAAAACTATCTGTATTTATTTATTAGATGGTAACTTATGCGTGTAATAATGATCATATTTGCATATTAAATTTGCAGCTCGGGAATTTGAGACTTGATAGACCAGACCAATCCCAAGCTTATTCCGTCGCAGAAAGTCAACCGCTTGATCCCACACATCGACACTATGTTAACGATGTCGCAGAAAAACCTTATTACAATGAGAAAATTAGAGTATGTCCATAAATTAAGCATGGGATGTAAGATAGATTTTGAACTCGTTTCTTCATTTTTTCAGAATTCAAATTATTTGAAAAGATACAGGCATGGAAGAGGTCAAGTATAATCAACCTGGTTGTAGCAATATTGGAATCAATCTCTGAATTATTTTTTTGATTATGTTTTAACTACATGTGATTCATAAATTGTCAAAAACATTGAAACAAGCTTGGAATTTATCCTTAATTATATACATTTTGAAGTTGTAAATATAAAACTGGTTTAAAAATTAATTATGACTCTTTTACAGACGAAGTTTTGCTTAAATTCTCCGGCAACTTCTTCATAACTTCCTCTATTGCATCCTAACAGACGAAGAAATTTGTAAATAAAACATTCCAGCATAATTATAATAAAAGTACTTACCTGTAACCTTGCTTGCTTCACATTTACACTCCCCAACAACATTTTCCCCATGCTGATCACTGGAATTGGTGTTGTGAAAAGCAGCAAAAGTGGCAACAATGCCCCCAACGCCAGCAAAGGAATCCAAATCAATTTCAACAATCCAGTTAAACTGCCAAGTGCTCCTAATCCAATTGCCAATCCAACCCCAAATCCTTTTAATGCAGCTTCCTTGGCTTCGATATCATGCATGTATTCCTCATAACCTTGTTGTTGTGGGCGTTGCACGTAGAACCCACTTCCTTGTCCATTATTGGGTCCAGTATACATGTACGGAATACCGTAATGTTGATGTAATGGTCTATCCTCGTATAAATGCTGGTCATCCGAATCCTATAGAAAATATAATCATTGCAAATTCACAGACCAATAACGAGTTGCACAATTACGTGTAAGAACAATATACCATAACAGAATTGCTCTCTACCATTCTCATTTTTATCTTTCCCGTTCTCACAACCGGATGCGATTTACTTCTCAACGTCGACGTGGCGGCGGTGATCGGCTTAAAATTATTGAACGTAACGCTGGAATACTTTGGATTCTCTATCAACTGACGACCCTCCGCAGCAGAGTGGTACACACCCACCTCGGTATCGTTTATCTCATAGTCCCCAAAAACAAGTTGACCACAAAGACTAGTCACTACTACGAAAGGAAGAGCTAGAGATGTAATTATTTTAAACAACATATTTTTATTATTTTTATTTCCAATAATTTAGTTCAGGTAAACCCAACTCTAATTCAAAACCACAACTGGTCTCATTTGAAAACAAGTCATGCCATTTATACCTGAAAAGTAAACTGTGTTGCTGATCCGAATTCTGCAAGACAAAGGGCATTATTTTGTACCAACCGATTCGGTCTAGAAAGACAAAGAGCAAGAAGAAAGCAGCAAAAATGCGTGAGCGTGAGATTTTCACAGGTCACTCGAAAAGTAAATCAATTCCATTTTACACACACATATCAGCACAAAACACCTTGAGACTAACCAAATACAAGGACCGTCTCACCTTTCTCTGCACTCGTTACTATTTACGTGGTCATAATTCACATGAAATCGTCTCATCCCAAACAACCGCATTGAATGTGTGACCTTATTGATTCCCTGTGTCTCACTTTGGTCACGATTTGGGATGCCATGAAATTATGGGGCTGAGATGAGACGGGCGATGAGACGAGACTTCATCGAGCAGAGTGTACTTGCTCGTATTATTTCGAGTAGAGCGGATCTTTGGGAAATTTTACACGTAGTCAAGCAGTGCAAACTGCAATCCACCACCACCACCAATATTATACTGCTGCTGCTTATTTATATTCCGTCATCTGACAATGAATGAGTAGCAACTATATAGAGCCACCACCACTTTACTTTCACAAACAAAACTATTTAACGTTATAGCTCCCATAGTTAAACACCTTCCTTCATCATTGCCACATTATTAGACTAGAGAATAGCTAGTAAAGTGAGTTACAATTATTATCAAGGAAATCAGTGATTTGCGTCACCAATATTAATCCCCAGCAGCCAGGCCAATTTAGCAGTATTGCTAATTTTTAAGTGCAATTGTGGATTTAAGTTCGTTTTTAAACAAAATTTCGTAGCTAAAATTGAGAGATTTAATTGAATTGAAGGACAAATATTGAAAGTTAATTTAGGTCAACTCTGAATTTAAATATCAAATATTTTTAATTACCCAAGCAATCGGGAAATACAATTTATTACACATTATTGTTGGAGACTAGAGTGAAGGTAATTTACTCGAATTTGCAATTATTAGTATGAATTAAAATGAAATGTACACAGTTTGTTTTACTTACCAAATAGAAGTTCTATTTGCTGATCGAGCTGAAGAAGAAACTAAAGAAAGATTGATTTGAAGTATCCACGTGAAATATTTTTGTGATTATTACTATCAATTAATCGAAATTTTGTGTGGGGAGAAAGTGTGCCTTTTTTGGTGCCGTGAGAGCAAATTATGAGATTGAGATGAGTGTGACCCGGAGACGAGTCAGTTCGAAATCAGAGGACACGACGGAAATAGACAAGTTGCTCCCAGCCGCCGGATCATCCAAATCCTACACCAATTTGTGGAGGGACGAGGAGGACAAGGAAAATAACATGGGTCGCGACAGAACTTCAGAATTCCAGTCCGCTTTGCGCTCACTCCAGGGTCGAGCCCAAATGCGACAACCTAACGCCCTAAATATTACCAACAACAAAGTCAATCGAAATCTGGATCAGTACTCCGAATTTATGAGAATCGCAAAGTATGTATGTTGGTAGTTTTCTGAAACGCTTGATTATTCGTACCAACGGTTCAAACAAATGCATGTGTACAAGTCAAATTTTTATTTATTAGATCCATCGGTGGAAATATCGCAAAGACATACAGCAAATTGGAGAAACTCGCACTACGTAAGTGAAAAATAATTTAAGAATAACATCATGCAATTCTTATTGCTCATTTCTGAAATGAATTTATTTTTCTGCAGTCGCAAAACGAAAATCTTTATTCGACGACAAATCTGTTGAGATTCAAGAATTAACATTTATCATCAAAGAAGATATAAATGCATTGAATCAAGATATAGCTAAGGTAAAATGTAGATAATATTTATATATGAGACGTGTCGGTGTCAATGCATGTGTTAAATGTTTCATTGTGTTTGTTCAGCTTCAAAAGTTTGCTCGAGGAAATCAAACGGTTAATGGAAAACATCTCCAATCACATTCATCTGGAGTGGTTGTAGGCCTTCAATCTAGATTAGCTACAATGTCGAACGAATTTAAGCAAGTCTTGCAAGTTCGTACGGAAGTAAGTTTTTTGTTCAACCCGATTCGTTATGACTGCATAAATTTCCATCGGGCTGACACAATTCATATTTTTTTGCAGAATCTTAAAGAACAGAGGTCTAGACAGGACCAGTTTACGCAAGGCCCAGTAACGTCTACGCTACCTCCTTCTGCGTTAACTGGATACTACAAAGGTACTTGTTGGAAATATAAATTCACTATTTGAATTGGTTTATAATAAAATATGTAAACAATGGAAGTTCAATTTTGTTTTATCAATAGGATCTGCATTAGTTCCGGACGATAGTTACGCAGGAGATGTAGCAATTGACATGGGAGGAGAAAGCGGTGGTGCTGGAGCGTTGCGGCACCGTCAAGCCCAACTTTATGGTCAAGACGAGACTGTACGACAAATAAAACGAAGCATTTTATGTTATTGTGGCGTGGAGAATGTAACTAATAACTCTAATGCTGTTTCAGGAGTCATATCTATCTAGTAGAGCAGAAGCCATGCAATCTATTGAATCCACTATTGTCGAACTCGGTGGGATTTTTCAACAGTTGGCTATGATGGTCAAAGAACAAGAGGAAGTTGTTCAAAGGATAGACAGCAACGTTGAAGATGCAGAAATGAATGTAGAAGCTGCGCATACCGAATTGCTAAAATATTTTCGCTCAGTGACGTCCAATCGATGGCTAATGATAAAAGTTTTTGCACTTCTCATATTCTTTTTCGTAATATTTATAATATTCCTAACATGAAACTAAGTATGTGAGAATGTTTTACTAAATTTAACTACTCCGACGCATGTTTTCTATACAAATTTCCAGATACCATTGTGCTATAAAAATTTATAAATCAAATCATTCCTTTTTAAAAATTTACTCGGAGCAATTTAGTTTATTTCATGCATTCGTAATATGCGTTTGCATATTACATATTATTATTATGAAGGAGGAAAGTAAACTTTTACTTGTCAATCATACATTATTTTGTCGAATGAAGCATTAAAGGATATCACTATTTCTGTATTTGAACGTTCTAGTTTCGCCTTATTTTCTTGAATATGTTGTATTTAGCAATATGTTGTTGCAAGTCATTTATTGTTATTATTTATATAGGTTGCCACGGACTGTCGAGTCATTTCTATCAGTATAATTTTGTGTAACTGCTCGTAAACACTGGTAATCCGAAAGTACATTTGCACACTTGTTTGTACACTTATTTTAATAGAAACCAAGCAAGATCAAGTATGAATTTGGACATTGAGAAAGCATTATTTGACATTCCGGAAGGGGTGGAGTTTCCTATGGAGCTATGTCATCATTTGCGGACAAAGCTAAATGTATGCCGTACAGGAAAGCACCCAGAGAAAGTATTTATAGAATTATATATATGAACCGTGGTGCTGATTGTTTTTAAAACGCTCTAGAGTGTCATTGAACAAAACTGCCAGTTGAAACGCCACATTATCTACTTGGACAAGGAAGTTATTGAACTACGGAAATCCAAACTTGAGCAATTCCAACACCAGAAAAACGAGTTGAAATTGGTAAGAAACCTGACTTATCTTGTCCCATGTAATACATATGTATGTGATAAAAAACAAAAGGCTGCAAATAATGGGACAGTGGATACTATGCCGCCTCAATCTCTGATGGCATCCAAAATCGTGGAATTAAGCAAGAAGAACAGGGACATGACTGCTCAACTGGAAGGTGCAAAAACCAAGTTGAAGAAAATCATGAGTGAAAATGAGCAGCTTCTTCAGTTTCAATCTGATAAAGAGTTTGAAGATAAGGATAAATCAGAAGCTGGTAAGCATTCCACTAATGGAAATCATGAGACAAATGCTATTTGTACATGCATAATATTGATATCAATAGTTGATGAGGACGCTGTATCTGTCATGTCTTCTCCGAGTCAGGTTACCCATTTGACAAATAAGATGATGGAATATCGTCGAAAGTGTCACCAACTTCAAATTGAACTCAAAACTGCTACCAGAGTATGAAGACGTTAATATTTGACTGATAAAATATAATTTGTACACTTAATGCATGAATTTATCGCATTTCAGGCATTAGCCCAAGAAGTCGGTGACTCAGCAACTCCTCAGTCCGTTCTTAATTCTGTTTCTCAATGCTCATGGCGTGGTCGGCAGCAGCAAATTATTTCTTTGCAGCAGAAAGTGACAGATTTGCAAGCAAAATTAATGAATAAACCGGAAAATTTCTGTGGAGATGGGCCGTGTTTTTTGGGGGATGGCGATGCATCCATGTGTTCTGAAGCTTCTTCTAATATTCCAAAAAAATATGGAAGCGTTACAAGTCTCAGCATTTCTTCCAACTATGCACCATCCAATAGAACTGGATTGATGCAACAAGATATGAAAAAGTATTGGATTTAAAATAATAATTTTGTAAGAAAATGAATTCAAATGTCTAAACTTTCTTAGACAGGAGCAGATTCGGAAACTTAACGGTGAAATAGCACAACTCTCTCAAGACTTGAAAAATCGACAACAGGATCTTAAAGCCAGCAAAGCTCGTATTCAAACGCTTGAGGCACAAGGCAAATCTTACAGAAATCAAATTGATTTAACTGATGCTAAATTCCAAGAAAAAGAATTAGAGACTAAAACTATTTGGGACGAAATGAACCAATTGAAACAAGAGCTTATCAGTGTTAAAGATCGCGAGAAACGGAATCGAGATAAGACCAGTTTAGAAGTTCAGGAGGCGACTAGATCCCTTACCAGGGTAGCTCAGATTTTGTTTTAAAAGTTCCAAAATTATTTTTAAGCCCCTCATATGTCACTGAGCATGGTTTCTAAAAATGATTTTTTTGGGAACAAAAGGAGCGTGCAATAGTTGGCAGATTACAACAAGTAATAAATGAGAAGCAGGAGGCTATCCAGAAAGCTGACAGTGAAATCATAGAGCTTCAGAATAAATTAGAATTATGCTGCTCCAGCAAAGTGGCTGGTGGAATGAATGCGATCGAGAGGTTACAAGAACTTGAGCTTCAGGTATTTACCACATTTGTTGATACATATTTCATGTCAAAAGTATTGGAATATTTGTTAATTAAATTATATATTCTACAGCTTCGTCAATATTCCCACCTCTTGGCGTCCAGTGACAAGGAACAGAAGCGTCTGATTGAGCTTGTTGATAAAGGGGTTGCGGAATCTGAGAGGGATCGTAATAAACTTATCAAGGCCCAGCGAGAAAGTAGTCAAATTTACGTAGTTCTCCAGCAAGCTAACAAGTGCATCGACCAATGTTTGGACGCTGCTAACGTTACCGACTCTACTATTCTACAGGAAGTTGAGAATATTCGTACCATGATTCGTGAGCTACAAACTGGAGAACTCTACAGTTTAAATTCAGAATCCAGCACATCTGGAACGTCTTCAGTGAAAAAATTAAAAACAAGGTCAGTAGGACCCACTACGCCTTGGCTATTTATATATACCGAATTAATAACTAAATATATATTCAATGTTTAAATGTTTTTATAATATAGAATTGATCTCCTCAACAAAGAGATTGTACTCTTGAAGCATAATTTGCAAGAATTGACAATTGTTCATAAAAATGAGATGTCCAACTATGCAAAAGTCTATGAGACTCTGAAGCAAGAACTTATTCTCGACAATATTAATATCACGTCTAAGGGAAAGCCAAAACAATGACATGGATATGACTTTGGAGTACATGGCAAGGAACTCTTTACAGTAATTTTTTAATGTTAATTTAAACTCAACACAATAAAATTTTGGATTTTTGACATTACACTTTTGACACTGCAAGTATGTGACAATCCGTTAATTTGTTGTTATATGCATGTATATATAGCACGATATGTTCAATTAAACCGTGGTTTTTGTTAAACATAATCCACTGGCCTAGACAATCAGCCTGCCTGGATTATTATCAATCTTCCGTTGGGAGTGCGACATATATATAGCTTATCCACAGGAACACCTGCAGGAAGGAGGACAGTAGATTTGTGTCGCAACGGTGGCACTCCATTCCGAAGTGGTCGATATCCCTCTACCTGCATAAATAAATGCATGTATACGGTATTTATACCATTAATAAATGAACAATTGAGCATGCTGCAGATTACCACCAGTTTGTAGCCTTCATGTAATTTTATGCGAATTTCACAACTCTTGAAGCCACTCAAATCCAATTCCCTTCTAAATTCACCATTGCATTTCCTGAAAACATTAATCATGAGCTAAATATATTAATGGAAGGCATTATTATTTTCTGTGCCCGTTAATATAACGCAGAAAGATTTCATGGATATACATACTTCAACACTGTGTCGTCCCCAAACCAATTTTTAAAATTGTAAAATTCATTCGCCTTAAAGTTAAATGTCACGATTTGACCTTTGACAACGAATACTTGTTTCATGTAATCGGATTTGCTCCTTGGCTCTTGTGCAGTAAGGGGTCTCCTGTTGTGGGGCATTTGTTTGGCCTGTGTTAAGAATATTTATACATAGAACTACTTGCCCCAAATCATTTCCCTTTTGACAGTGCTTAAAATTACTTACTGAGGTTTTAGTCGATGGCAAAAACCTTGACCTGTTTGTGCTAGTTGAAGAAGTAGTAATGGACGTGGACGAAAGCACGTTATGATTTGCGAAATATTTCCAGGACGGTCGTTTAGATGCAACTCGACTCGAATTCGTAGTGGTGGCGTCCGTGGATTTGCTTGCCAGAGAAGATCGGGATTCAAGAGGTTCGTAATTTGTTATCGTTGGTCTGCTACTACAAAATTGGATTGGCATTTAAAAGATTTACGGACCCAGTAGTCCTTGACTAATAATGCTAAAACTAAAATTGGACTAATTCGAGAATTACTCTTGCTTGGTGCAGTTGCCATTGATAAAATACATGCAACAAACCTATTTCTTGAATATGTTGCTTCTTCAAATTCGTCCCATATTTCTGAAAACTTGCCCCCATTCTGTGCAAGTTTGGATATTATTTCGCTTTGATGTTTCTCCAGATGAGAGCTAAATTCTCCAGTCCTATAATTACGATTGTCCAGATCCAAGAAAAGGTCGTCATAATTAAAGTTCTCAAAGTCAGGAGTTGTGGCTGGGCGAGGAGGGTTTTGGACTTGTGACAGCTTCATTATCCCAGACGCCTTCTTCACCAGCTTATTAATGTGTGGAAGAGCCTTATTGGAAGTCAGCTTCAATTCCTTCACCATTGATTCATATACATCTTCAACCGAGGATAATTTATCGACATTCCTAAGACTTTTATGACGCCGGTCATACACACGTTGTGACAGTTTCTCAAATTGTGCGACGCCAAAGTAATCATTGTAGTTCGTTGTAACTGAAAAGTTCCGGCCTTTAACTGTGGACATTTTGTTTGTCCATATACATAAAATTTTGAATCAGACTGGGTTTGGTATTGGTGATAGTGATGGTGAAACATAATATGTATAGCCAAGGCGGTGTACAGTTATAGTAGTTATGGAAAGAAATATACCTCTTTAATATTATATGTAAATGAAGCAATGGCTAATAAAAATACCACCACTACAATTAAATCTTTTATCAACCAAAAAATCGGATTGTGAGCATGACATGAACTATAAAAAGCGTATAAATAATCACTGTCACCACTCCAATCATAACATTGAAGTTATACAATCCTGACTTGTCAATAAAGATTATTTATTATATATTAAGGAGATTCATTTAAAAGTATTTTCGAATTTTATCTCGTATATACATACTTCTGGTTGGTAGTATTCATATTACAAGAATATAACAAGTGAAATTGGTTCGAGTAGTGTGGAAACTTTTCAAATGATAGTATCTAAATCCCTGGCGTACTGTAAGCCGTCTTGAACGAGTTGATATGACGGAAGGATCTCGGTCTCCTCATTTTTCTTGGGGAAATACACGTAGTCGTCAGCAATTGTCCAGTTTCGCTAAGGACAAGCGAGATTTTTTAGAGATTGCCAATTATCCTCGGACATACATATGCAATTTGTAGAGACAAAATTTAATAATATTTCACTATTTATGTAAATATTTTGTGCACCTCTTTAGCAAATTTGTTCATATCTACTTCGCTTATGTAAAGAGATTTCGAGGCAGACTTCTTGTCCAGCCGAGCGTAGGCCTTTTCCATCACATCAGCAATTATAGTTCTGGAATTCTCCACGACACGCTCAATGAAATATCGAAAACTTGTGGACTTTAAACCGGTCACTTTTAGATCGTCTTCCTTAGTAGTGAGCAAGGCTGAAATCTGGCCAAACAAAGTAATAAGTAAAATGCTACAAATGGAAGAGTTATCGAAATGCATATGGGACAACTAAATACATAAATAAATTGATAAACCGTGAATTCACCTTGTTGTATCGGCCTTCGGTTAAATATTGTTCAATTTCTACAGCTTTTTTGATGTAGGGATCATTTAAGGCTTTCTCCGTATTTGAGTGTACGAATAGCTCCAACTCGATGTGAAAATCCATGATGCGATTTTGCGACAAGAGTTTCAAGAGATTCATTCCAAGCATTTCATACATATAGGCGGACTCATTGCCTATGCTGAAAAAAAACATGATTATCCCTCCTCCTCGTTAATTTAAAGTTAGTGCTTTGTAGTTTTCAGTGTAACTTATGTACTTCAGATCAAAATAATAATGTTTCAATTGGGCGATGTAGCGGTCAAATTCCTCAGAATTGTCACTTTTTTCCACAGCCATTTTTGCAACGCTCACTCGGGCACCCAGCTCGAGAATATCACAAGCAAGGGTAAGCTCATTTCTAGCTTCTCCCTCAGCCAACGCCAAGGGCACGTAAGACTGCATTTTAGCCAACAGTATCTGATCACCCAGATATTAAATTAGAAATGAAATTAATAAACTATCAATGTTTTGCGTTCCAAATACCTTGGCCTGGTTTAGCAATTCATCCACCTTGTCGTAGTTTCTGGCTAGTCCGATGTTCCATTCTTTGGCCAGTTTTTTCCGAATTTCGTAGACAGATTTAACCACATCTTCATGCGACTCACTTTTATCGCCCATCTTTTCCAAAAATGTACTCCTTAAAAGTCGAAAACTGATTAGAACATGTAGTATTTTCTCAGACAGCGATTCTGAAAAAGGCAGTAAATAATAACCACGCAATCGTGGAAGCTTTGATATCGAAAATATTTGATTCAAGGCACGTCGAGTTACCATGGCACCAAATTTCGTCAAATTATGTCAGCATGAATCTCACGATTAACCTTATAAAAACTAATTAATTTTGACCTGGATACCATTTAAAAACGGAATTAAAAATGGTTTCTATTGCATTTGGGGGCGGATTTACTGGGGGGCAGAATACCATTGAGACCGACTTGTGGGGCGGTGATAAAATCAGTTGGGGACTGAATTAATGCAAACCGATTTTGAATATTCTACTGATGCAGTTATGATTTATTAGAGACCTGGAACTGATTCGACAACAAAAATTATAACATAATACATTTTTAACATGAAATTGCAACTGAACCAAATGAACACACGATATTAATTTTGATAAAAAGATCGGATTTGATTTTGATAGTACTACAAAAATAAACTAAACGAATAAATCGTCATCATTCATGTCATCAATTTGATGACACTGATTTTGGGATGCATTTTATATTTTAAACAAGTTATTAGCTATAATTTTGTCCTTCAGTGTTCTGTGACTTGTTCCGATCGGTGGTGACACTATTGCGAATATATTAGCTAAAGAGAACGTTGTGATAATTTTAAAAAAATATGAACTGTATCATATTTACAACATGATACAGGTCAGAGGTCAACGCCGACCAATTTATTAGCGGCGCCAATGTTGGATAATTTTTCGGGGGCGCGGCGTGACCTCTGATGCACTTCCTCCGAGTTCCTCCCCCCACTACAACTACAACTCTAAACTCTAAAAAAATTAGTTCAGGCTTGAAGAAAAACCAACGACAAATAAGGAGGAAAGAATGGAACTGAGAAAATTTTCTCGGTCATTTTATTTTTATTTTTTCCTACACCTTATTGATGTAGCCCGGTCTCAACGGAATTCTGTAACCATACACCTTATTGGTGGAATCCGTCGCCAACGAGAAAAAGTTGGCCTACACCTTAGTGGTGTAGTCCGTCGCTAAGGCGAAAAATTTGGCCTACACCTTATTGGTGTAGTCCGTCGCCAAGAGATCGAAATCGCCCTCCACCTTATTGGTGGAATCCGTTTTTAAAAGGTTAACTGACATCGTTTCTATGGGGTGGTGCCCCATAGAATGATATAGAATGATATATGTATAGAATGATAAAGTGTCAAATAATATTGCATGAATCTCTTATCCCTTGAATTCCTTATCTGTATGCGTATGTATGCAATATGAATGTAAAATTCTCGACTCCATTATGCTAAACAACCAGGAAGGATTTCTTACTATATTTTTATTGACACGTTTTCATTAATTTTATTAAAAAACACATAAATAACATATTTTGAATTATACTTTCTGCATTTAAAATCTTTAATGAAATATCATTAACCACATCGTTTTTTGACGTCTTACACAAGCACCATTCATAAACACAACAATTTTAGCAAGCACCACATAAATTTCTCGCAGGATAATGTAAAAGTAATTAAGATATCTGAACTTGAAGTAAAATAGCTTAGCATATACAAAAATACACTCAAAATTGCATTAAGTGAGTAGACAACCCCTCTGGATAAGATCTTACCCGATCATTAATTACACTTTCTCTATAAAAATACAGATACTAGATAACTAAATATTTCTGACTTTATTGAAAAGATTTATCAGTAAAAACTTTATAGCCTAAACTACAGGCATGTTCTACAAACTATGAAATATCTAATTTGTTCTATATCAACACACATTTCTTATGCTAAATGCTGCAAAACAAAAAACTTCGAGCAGTGATTAGATTACCCACGATAGAATTACTTACAACTCACATAAGTTACCTACATATGCAAAATATGTGCATGAAAATTAGAGACAAACTCCAAATTTATATACTATGCTACCTATTTCTACTATATTTGACTGTGTTTAATAATAAACAGACTAAAACTCAAGCTGCAACTGTTGCAAAAACAGAGATTGGCTAACTGAACACAGTCTCATATGTTACATATAAATTTGTACAAGGTTCGAGAGTAATATGCGTAATTCAATATTTACATCGTTAAATTACAAAGGATTATTCACAATTTTAGGTACAAATATCACCTCAACAGAACAATAGTGAAACTACAAAAATGCGTGCCAGCAAAAAAAAGTGTTCTTGTCAATTACACTGTACAAGGTTCTGTACAATTTATAATAAATTTATATTTTTAACTATTGAAAAATCTGCAAAATATTTATAAGCAAGTATTGAAGTAGTAAAGGTGGTATGGTTTACAAATTTACAGCATTGGCTGTTCAAAGCAACTAGGATTGATGTAGTTTATCAACTCATTTTCACTCATCTGCGTCAACGCGTTGGCAATGGAGCCAGAATGTACTTGAAAGTCTCCATTACCTCCTCCAACCATATATCCGGTTTGTGGTGCCAATCCTGTAGGCACAGCCGATGGTGGCTGACTGGAAGCAACGCTCGCGACCGTATTCAATGGAATGACGTTCAATTGTGGGCCAATTGGAGAGCTTTGAGTCTCCATTTTGATAATGTCACTCACCTGACACATGTCATTTGAGGCCACCGACATCGAACTCCCTAGACTTTGGCAAGTCACTGTGATTGCGCTGTTTGAGTTGGTCTGAGGGACTGAGGTCATTGTTACTTGACCGGGCAACAATTCAGAAAGAATTTGGTGCTCCACATTCACCAATTCGACACTGCCTTGACGCGTTAGCATCGGGATGGCTGTTGTTGGTGTTATACAGCTCAACGAAGTTGTTGTCGGAGAAAATTGAGATGCAGTATTGACACCTTGTTGTTGGCCACTGAAACTCATTTGCGATTGAACCATATTGCTGTTGGTACTGGTGCTGGATTCTACAGTAACAGCAGATGGGAATTGCAGATCTAAAGGAACCGTCGCAGACATGGACATGGCGTGTTGCTGCTGCTGATTAATCGAACTGAAATCCTGTTGCATAATTTCGGATTTGATGGATATTAAATTGTGCATCTCAGACACGGAATTTTGCTCCGTTCTGTGTTGGCTCACACTTTGATCTAAAATGCATTGCAACTCGTTGACAACTTGTCGCTCTTGGGCAGCTTGCGCGGAATGGATGCTTTCTCGAAATGAGGAAGTCGGTACGGTTGTTCTCGTTGGCGATGTTGGAATTGGTAATGATGCCTGTGAGACGTCTGCGAGAGAGCAATAAAATGATAATCTCATATATGTAGATGCTCCTTGTTAAGACGATTAAATTGCTACAACAATTCAGTGCCTCTTACCAACTTGACTTAAAGGATGACTCAAACTGCTGCAATCCTCATTTGTGGTGGTTCCCAATGACCCAACGTTCTGAATGTTTATCGACATCGGCATCTGGTTATCTGCATTAGCAAAGAAATATATAAGTATGTGAGCATATTTATATGGTCTCACTATTACTACTTATTTTGTAGACTTACGTGAAATAGGCTGACCCATAGGATCCTGCCCTAAGACAGAGTTTGATTGATTCGAAGGAACTGCAGAAGAGGTCAAGTTTCCGTAGCGTGCTATAGATAAGAATAAAGATTAGCCCCTCCAATCTTGTTCACTTCTATAACGACGTAAGGTCGTTTTATTAGCTCTGAGATGAACTCCCCTGTGAACGATTGTGCAAGCATTTTGAACTTCCAGTAATTATACTCCAAAAATGGGGTCGTCGGTATACAGATCCACCCGTACGATTTAACGGTTCATAGCATATTCAAAAAAAATTGAAACAAAGTATTCGGCAATACTGTGTTGTATGGAAAATTATACCCCATCCCCACTACTTTAGTACATCGTGAAATGAAACACGACGACCCTTGGGATTTAATCTGGCAGTTCAATATTTCCCCAATGCTTGCATAACCAGCTTAAAATTAGTAGAAGTGAGCTAATCGGCGGAATCCTGTAAGAAAAGAGAGAAATCTTTTCGTTGTGTACATTGTGTAGTTTGTGTTTTCTATGGTGTAATAAACGTCCAGCTATACAACTTCTATCTTCATCCTAATTCCAAGATGTTCCCCAATAAACAAGCGTTCTAAATGCCATCATCGAATGGATGACATAAAAATGGCGTCCCTTCCTTCGCGTACGTTGAGGATGACGAACACTGATTTCGTCACACCCCAAGTTTACCTATCACTACAGCTATCCTAACCTTCCAATACTTGTATTTATACTTTGATTTCAAAGTCTACCGATGACATTGCGAATTATTATCACAATACTACGGGTTTCCCTGGCTCTAATCTACCTGTTGCTTCTTCCGACGATCCTACGAAGATACACACGTGGTACGAATTTTTCGTTTCGTCAAAACGTCCACCCACCCAGTCATGTATTATATTATGTTGTGCATGGATTGAAAATAAAGTTGAGAACAAAACGATAATTTTGTATGATTTTGTGAGGATTTGTTCTGAGTGACAAAAAAATGTGAATGTGGTTTTAAAGAACATTTGAAATATGTGTTTGTGTTATTTATTGAAGAGAATGAAGAAGAGTGAGAAGTAAGTGAGAAAATTGATTTAATTGGATTTAAAGTTTTTTAGTTAGGAATTATTAAGTGTGTAGTGCGTGCATTAAGTGCTTGTTCTGGATGTGTTTGAAAAAAGTATTGTTTTTTGAAATGCAAAACCTGCGGCACAAGGGCCAGGGTCAGAGGTCACGAGGTCACGCCAAACAAGTGCCTGGCTGTACGATGCGGAGATGAACTATCCTGATCAGATTGAAATTTTTGCTAAGGGCAAAAAAATGCAACAAAGTCAGCTCAGGATCAGTCTGACAATTTACTCACCTTTAGAACCTTTTAGTTCCCCAGCTTTGCATATTATCACAATTTATGGATAAGTAAAATAAATAAAAATAACTACTTTTAGCTTTTCTCGTGAGAGAAATTTAGCGTTTTACAGAAATTTATGTATATATAATGAACATCAGTAATATATATGCACTGGGGAACAGAAAGGTAGGTCAAGACCAGTGTTCACATAAGTTTTTTTAAGATAATTGACAAGTACAAGTGAAATTACATGAATTACATAAAACAGCAAGATAACAACGACAAAATTTTTAAACTGTTTAAATTAAAAATTGCAAATACTAAAAATTTAATTTTATATGTGAAACATCTTTTTCAAAGTCAAAGATAATTTACTAAAAATTGATATTTTAAAAATAGTAATGATATTGAGAAACTACAAAAATTTGAGAAAAAACACTGGTCTTGAACCAAAAATTGCATTTCAATCGCCCTTCATATAGCCAAAAAGCAATCAACATTCATTCCATTCTCATTTATTCGACCCATACATTATGTCTCATTTATCATTCTGCCAGTGTCACCTATCAACATCCATAAGTAAAAATTGCATCAAATTCTGATTTGTGTCGATTTTATCTTATCATTAATTAGTATAAGTTCCTTTTGCTGTCATGTGTGGACAGCGCTTTTCGACTATTTGAGATGTTATGTATGTACAAGTTGAAAACTCCAGGAAATCATCACGGCAGTGCCGGAATAAATACTTATTAATATCTAATTTTAATTAAATATCATTCGCAAACTTGACACTGGCAGAAAATACCATTCATACAACTCAAATCATACATGTTAGATGCTGACCATGACTAGTAAGTAAAACTGCTGTACAACTGCATTTTCAAAAACAGTTTAAAAATATAATGAAAAGACTCAAAATTTAAGAAAATAACGTAAAAAGACAGAAGCAAGTTTCAAATCTCAGTTTCAGTAAATTAATTTTTTTCGTGGCAACTAAAGGAAAGTACAGAAAATTTGGAATTGCAATATTTGATTTTGATACTTTCTTATAAACGGGAATAAAATAAAGAGATTGAGTCATATGCATGGTCAACCTCTTAAGCATTAACTACAAAGCCATGATAAAACAGTGGCATTGTTCTATCTTACCAGTCGCCGGCATATTTGGTAAGTACGTGAAGCGGTGTGGTTCGCTTTGCTTGCCCCCAGAGACTATCGTCACCTGAGAATTTACGGTTTTTATTCATTTAGTGCAACATTTATATTTGGATCAACTATTTTCAGATTTGAATACGTACTTTGCATTCCAATGGGCTCGTAATGTGTTGATTCTTGTATGGAGGAATTACGCAAATCAAATGGTTCTGAAATTAACAAGCACACATATAAATAGCATTGTATCACAAATTATGTAGTTTTCCACAAGGTGTGTGAGTACCTGTTGCAAATAATCTTTCAACGGTTCCGACATGACCTCCCACAGAATCCGTTCGTCTGAATCTTCCTCTTGAAAGTAAATCCTGGTATCCTTCAGAAAGTTCTTTCCGATAACAAACAGCTCGTTGCCTCCTTTGGCTGCACTCTCTTGTGTCGACTGCTTACAGATCTCAGGATGTCCAGGTGGTTGGGCTGTTTTGCCAAGAAACATCAAGAATAGGTAAACGTATGTATATTTTCCGTAATAATCAAAATATTTTTTTTGCTTACTACAAAGAATGGGACTCGAGGACAACTGTAACGTTTCCTCCATTCCCTGTGCATTGATGATCGTGGTCCTGTAAACCATTCTGCATTTTGTTGATTTCTTTCTGCTTTGTGCTGCATGATGAAAAGGAAACCGTTGTTCAACGTCCACATTGCGTTCTTTTAAAATTCCTACGCAGTCACAACTGCACAAGTATCGCAATAAAAATGTTACACATGTATCATACACAATTATCGTGGCAGCGTCTGCCACCACGAACAAACAGTATGAATTCGATGTATTACCTTATCACCATATCTTTCGATGGTTCAAACTCAATTTCAATGACCTGTAATTGAGTAAAAGGCTAGATTAGGTCATATTTATTCTGCAAATATTTGCATGCAGCAAATTGGATGAAATACTTACGATGGTGCCTTCAACTTTCTTTTCTATGCATGGTGTAGAACTTTTCCCCGTAACTTTGCAAGCTTTAAATAAACAATCACAACATTTTACATTTGCTGCATTTACAATTTTATAGTCGTAAATTTCACTGGAATATATATTTACCTTGATAAAACATGTGAGGACTGAGCTTCCCTTGATCTGTGCCAATGAATATTTGAAGTGTTGCAGGTTTATCGTATCCCACAAGTTTAACAGTAGGAAACCCATTTCCTTTACGATCCTTGATTGCACCACGGGAACCTTCAGTCTGTTAAGGTCATATTACATCTTACTTCTTGCATACAAATTAAACTTCGCAAATAATGTCAACTTATTTCAGTCAACCTGGTACCGAGCACCTGGTGTTAATTCAAATGAACTCACTTGGTATCGAGCGCGATGCTGTTCTTCGGGTTGGGAAACGATTTGTAGTTGGACTCGACCATCTCTGGAAACAGAGGACAGGGCGGAGGACAGCGTGGGAGTCGTTCCTGGTGGGAGACGTTTCCCAATGCTTCCACGATTGGCTTGATTCTGATTTCGGAGTTTTAGTCCAGTTCCCTTCCCACAGTTGGGTTGTGGAAGGTAGCTGAATCGCGGTCGCTTTATGGGTGGAGAAAGTGTGGAAGAGGTGGGCGAGTTGCTGTTGGGCGAGTGGGACCCCAGGCCCAGGAGTGGACTTTGCGTCACCATGTTGACAACTTGGTCAGAAGAATCTGGAGACCTGTTGAGAAAGTTTGTCAACAAAAACAAAATTGAGACTAATTTCCCAACTTCATAAGGTGTGCCTGTCTTAGACACATGTTAGACTTTGTATTAAGGCTAGTCGGCGGCACATGCTTAATCCAGATTTACGATCTGTCTACATGTTTACTACATAAATACTTTCAGACAGGAGGAAGTGAAATGGAAATTCCAAGATAATTAGGGCCATGCCAGCATTTTATTCACCTTCCTCATGAATTTCAATAATGACAATAAGGAGAAGTTGCTGATAAGAAAAAAAACATCCCTCATTTTCCAACAGCACGAAGATAATAGACTTATGCCTACTTCGAGCCTACTTTTACATAGTCCTGTTTTCCATATAATGCTGAGATTGATTTGTTATTCTGGGTTACAATTTGACATGATACGACATACTGCGTAGTAGTGCCGATGTCGTTCGATGAACTTGTAATTTGGACTGCTAATCACCACCACTCGCAGTAGCGAATATTTGTATAAGTAATTCAACAAATTTTTGTGCATGCCATATATTAACTTACATTCTCATGCTTTGCGGCACGATCTGAGCTTTCTCTGGCATCAGCAAACGAGCAGTGTTACTGATGTCGAGTAGATTTACGATGGATCCCTCGTTGCCCAAGTTGTTTATTGGTTCCAATTTGGTTTCCGTCTTCAATACCAATTCCTACAGAGACAATGAGAGTAATCAAATAAAATTGGCTACCTGCGTCAATCTCTTAGCTCATAAAACTATACACAAAGACGCAATTGCAATTTACATATAATTTAAGGTAATGTAAAATCCAATAGAATTGAGAATTTAGAGAAACACTTTGAGGTGCTTTGATCTTCAAACTTTATAGCACGTGAATAATTTGCCATAATTATTAACATGGCTCTGTTTAGTAAACATTTTCGGGGTGTGTACAGGTTTTAAAATAAGGAGCTTTATCCGTACACACGATGCGAAAGGCAGTGCAATTCACAGTTACTCTTAGTTTTTTAGCACCAATATTGATTATTTTACCTTGATTCGACCTTGGATTGCAAAAAGGCATATGAAAAATTAAATGCAAAAGTATGGTAGCAACGGTACAGAGCAACTTGCAATGCATGCAGTAAGACAAATTCCAATGAATTTGGACACACTGAATTTCAATTATCATTTAAATCTGTACATAATATTTGTGTCTTTCATAAACCGGACAATGCCTTTCTGACCATACTGAAATACACGTTTAGAGAACATTTTCATGTCACAGATATCAAGAAACAGGTTTTTGATAACAAACTTAAATTGTGCAGCTGGCAATCTGGATTTCCAGTTTGTCCCCAAGCTACCTATAATCCCAAGCTTTATTACATAAGCTATAAATGAATGCACATTTTGAACCACAAAAATGCTAAAATCTGCATAAATCCAGTATACTCATCAACCCATGATTATCTAACTTAGTCATGGACATTGGTTGTTCGTAATGACTCATCATATATGCATACGAGTTGGCAGTAAATGAATTGATATATACTTTGGTAAGGCTAATAAAAATTATAAATTTCCGAGTCTATAGAATAACTTACCTTTTTGGCGTAAGGGTTCACAAACTGGGGAGGAAGGCTGTTGCTGGCAGACGATAGATTTGAGATGGATGACGATCTCCCGAGATGAGCGTCTTCGCTGCACCAACTTAATTGAGATTCGTACGAATTGAAATCAATCCCCGAATCGCTTGAATTTGAAGTACTGTCGTTGGAGTAGCCGTTCTGGTCAACTGCGAATGACAATGGTCTCTTACCAAATCGGCCTTTCCCTAAAAAAATAAATAATTTTGTAAAAAATTATTATAGAAAAGTGTGATATTTGTTTACTCGCAACACGATTTTTTTCTGATACTAGAAATGGGTACTTTGAAAACTTACAATATTCAACAAAGAATTTTTTAAACATTTGTTTTGAAGTGATACATGTTTTGCTCGTGGTTTGTAAACAGTTAAAACTGCATATAACTAGTACGATAAATAAATTATCTTTGCATGTAGGTATGACGCGAGAACTAATAATGCCATAAACTGGCATAATCCAGAAATATCCGGTAATTTCCAGTTTGCTAAAAGAAGTAAGTACTTGTAATGTACCAAATAAATGATATGCAATTTTCGAACGTAAATTACTCTAAAACTGACCAAACAATTACGCCAAGCTCCCAAAACTCACATAAGCATAGCACATATTGCGATTAGTATTGCATGGGCTATAGGACACTGGGCACCGTACGCGTAGTGACCCATTTCATAATGTGCAGCCAATGAAGATTGAAAAATAACGCATTAAAGTGGACTGTATGCACATGAATTATCAAATACCCGGAAGTATTCTGGTGGATGGATTATGTATTTCTGTCGAAAGGAGGCCAGGTCAGACTTATGTTTTGTCCTCCAGCAAACCCCCAGGAAAACTGTGGACTTTGGGTAATTACTCTAACTTATTGGAGACATTGTTGCAATTGCCAATTTCCAACCCGTCTCCTGAGAATATCATTGGACTATTCTGGAGAAAATCTATTTCGCCAAAATAGTGTAATTACGCCGAGGAAACCATAATGAAAACGCCACCGATTACGATTCCGTATGTATCAATAGCCAAAATAATTTGATTGTGCAGAAAGGGAACTTAATTAAATGTGTGTTCGGGTGTTTTGATTAACGTATTGTTATAGCCGTTTAAATGGAGCATCGAATACGTATCAGGGAAGTTATTATTGTATTACATGCACATCCAGCAGATACAGAATCGAGAGAACCAGAGTACGAAGTCCAATCAGAGTAGTAGCGCAAAGTGGTGTCAGCCGTGCATGCATATGGGTGCGATGGACTAATTGAGCCTCAGAATAAATCCGTCAAGCTTGGTCATTCGTTATTAACCAAGCCAATACACCATTCATTTAAGTAGTTCTAATCTTTATAGTATGCATATCATTGCAAGAAAACTGTGCCCAGGAGCGTTGAGTTTCTATGTAAAAAAGCACTGGGAATAATGCAAAGATCGCGTCATTTTACCTGAAGGACGAGAATAGTAAGCTTTCAGTTCCAAAAATCTTGCATCCTCCGATCCGAAATTGGAGGAGGAATCAAAATTCCAAAATGCAGGTTTTGTTTTCTGTTGGGCCGCCGATTTAAAATTTGTAATGGGCCTGCGAAGTTTCATTCTACTTGGCGTTGTTGTCTTTGTGGTCACTTTTCTTAACAGAAAGGTCGATCGGTTCACGGTAGTACACGGTGTAGTAAATATGGGAATGCAGTGTCTATTGATGATTTTTCAGTCAGAGGTACCGCAAAAGGTAGGTTAGGTACACAGGTAAGATCAGTCAGTATACTGGATCACTTGGTCACCTCCTTTGTTGAGAGACGAGTATATGTATATTTTGCCTTATAACGTGCTACTCAATTTTCATAACGCCTAAAACGACGACTGCTACTTTTTTCTCATGAGCACAACGGACAAGAAATATATAAAGTTCAGCTTGACAATTGCACGTCTCATGTGACTGCTGGTAAGAAGACACGGAATGATGATGATGATAAGACGAGGAGAGAAATGGTGATGGCGATGATGGTACGATATAGGAGTAAGATGCTGATTAAACGGGAGCTATGCAAGCAGTGAGCATCGCAGGCGGTGCAGAGGCGTTGATAAGGCCTATTCGCTCTCTGGCCAATTCACAATCCAGCCCATTTCATATGTCGACTAAGCATTGGGAGATAGCTGCCACTTTGGTATTATTATTTTTACATAGTGCTAAGCTGGCAGCAAGCAACAAGTGCTTGTGTATCCTCTCTCTTAAGCGTCTGAGAGTTAAATTTTGGGATTTAATAACTCTCTGGTTTCTTCTTTGGGTTAAAGTTAACTGTGATGATAGTTGTTGTCCATCATCCCATTTATTTGAGAGTGGTATTAAAAGTATCATGCGATGAGGAGTATCAAGGTCCTCTTTGTACGATGGTGATGTGATGCATATGTACTTACTGGAGATCTAATCCAACCTTACATACATTCATAATATGCATTGCCAAGACTATGCTTCGAAAAGGAGAAGTTGTGCGGATTTGAATAGCTGAAGAACTGTATTTCTGTAATGAATACTGTTGTTGATTAACTTTCTGTGCAGAGAGAGAACTGTTAATGAAGCCCAAGTTGAAAAACACATTAATACTCACGGAGAGCAGTTGCAAAAGTCTGTGCCATGTACATATCCAGCCAGTAGTAAGTAATGCAAATGGTTGCATTATTTACTTGATGAAAGCTTACTTTACTTTGGGGCAAAGTATATGCGAAACTCAATAACACCAAATAGTTCTTACGAGCACGAGTTGTTGTTTACTTGAATTCTTTACTTTCAGCCTACATGTTTTTGCTGTATCCTCCAATACCTTTGCCCCATATGTCTGTATTTATGTCACAAAATATGCTATTTTGTGTGTAGCAAGAGGAGTCCTCTTAGAGGGCGACCTTTTCTCCTTCACGCACAAACGGTATAGTCAACGGCATTCAACTTCCTTCCGTTCGTAGAAGTTGTAATGTAATCAACATGTTGTCCATTTGCTAAATACAACCCTGCCCAGGAAGAACCAAAGTCGTATTAACTCTGGGTTTTCTGTGGGAAGTCTGTAAATAGGCTGGGAATCTTTTTTAGTGGGTTAACTACAAAATAAAATCTCGATATAATTATGGGGAACCGTATGATGGGATTTAGATGACATTTTACTAAGATAAATCAATAGGATTTCCCAAACATTTTATGCTTCATATATTACACCCTTATTATCATCGGGAAAACCAGTCGGTTTTATAGAGCAAAGGGAAAGCTCAATAATACTACTGGGTAGACCCTGCTTTGATAATATATTCGATGGGTTTTGTCCGGGTTGTCCCAGCGTCCATTTATATTTTTATATTGGGTTATTACTGGGAAACCCTTTCATTTCCCCGATTTTAAATCGAAGTGGACACTTTTCAGCGCAAGTTCTCTCTGTCTCCCTACTCGCATCGTCAGTATCATATTTGGTCTCCTTCAAAATCCATTAAATATTAAATCCTGTCCAGAATCTTAACTGTTTTCTGTAGTTAAATTTCCTGGTGAAAAATGTGTGCAATTTCTTCCCTCGTGTTGGATAAACCTGAATAAAAAAACTTGCAAGTTGCCAACAGAGTCTTGTAGAAAGATAAGCAACTTAAGCAGAGGAAACCAGCACTTTTGGAGTGGAAAGAACATAAAATATTTGTCCACAAACACGTGGTAAGTATATTTCCATGTTCATTTTGTATTTCCAATTTTAACTCATTTACTCAATAAAATAATATTTCATGAAATTTTGTTTATTACAAATTCCGTCTGAGGTAATTGGAGCAAAGTGCAGTTGACGACCCCGTGCTAAATTCGACAGATACTGAAGGAAGTAAGAAAAAGTACACCAAGGAAAACAAAAAAGCTAAGAGATAAACCCCTTCCGAAATGTGTCTAAAATATCTCCTCTGTGTCCCTATGTTAAGCAGGTATCCTTAGTTTACAATTTATTGTTAATTAATCTAAGCTTTAATAATTAATCACATCTTATTTTGTAACTTTTTTTGGAAATAAATAAAATGTGAATTGAAATGTGGAGTACGAGATACTGGGAAAAAAACATTTTATTGGAATAAAAGCACTGGGAAAAGAATGGGAAAAGCATGGGAAATCCCCGTAAATGCAGAGGGACAACCCCTCGGTAATATTGTCATAAAATGCTGGGGAAATATCTGGGTTTAAATTCAGTAAAACTTATGGGAAACGAGTGGGGGTAAACACGGGACAAAACTCGGGGTGGGGCGGCCAAAACCATGTATGTTTTACTGAAAATAACCCCAAGATAAAATTGAGATATCCCATAATCTGTTCTTCCTGGGTGCCTAAATGACGCTTTGGCCCTACTCCTCCTTTTTGTATGTACATACACGTATCGATCGGTAGTCGTCATTGTCGCTTGTGCCAAATAATAACCCATATCCCTTCAGTTATAATTTTTGTTACTTGTGCAGAGGGATTGAGATAGTGCAAGTCGTGATTTTTGTAGTAGGATGCGTTTAAAGTGCGTGTGCGTAAACTACTGTATCTCAATTTTACATTACTCCAGACTATCACTCGTTAACGTACACACTTTCGTCTCGCATGAATACCTGATATCTATGCGTCACATTATTATCTCAAAGTTCATCAAAGAGGCCATACAGACTTCTGCGTGGATCTGTCGTTGATAATTTCGCAGCCGTGATTGATTGGTGCATACAAAGCTGAAGGGTCAATCGAATTGAATATTTGATTCAATGTCCTTACAGCCAAGCAGGATAAGTAAAATGAAACGTTGAAATTCCAACATTCAATCCAGTGTACAAATAAGATGATCGTAAAGAGGCAGCACAGGTAAAAAAATAGGAAAAAGGCTAGTATGCATTTTATAGCGTACTGTTTTCAAGAAAATAATGCCCCATATAGTGAATGTCATTACGACGAATCTCTCCTTATCATCAAGGCTCTCTGACATGAACTGGTAAACAAGATTATTTTCCTTCCCACATATAGTTGGATACGCACATGATTCTGACTGCTCAAATCCAACCAAAATGTTGTTTTTCACGTGTGACCAACGTCTTTTACACAAACTGTTATTATTTTCGTATTCTCAACTTGATTTCTAGTTCGATTCTTTCAACTTATTGCACAAACAGGTAACTAGATATTGTCAAGCGTAACATGTAAACAGTTGGTATGGCATCTTAGATCCCAAATGAAACTTTGTTAGCAATTTCCAAACAAGAATGATAAACTACTTTGAGTAATTGAGCTACTTGTCCGTATACTTGTTGATCACAAACATATTTTTCTGCAGTCAACCATGCATGCATAACAATAATTAAAGATTCGGATCATGATGCATACGTACTTTCACCAGCTTCACCATGGATGCAAAGTATCGATTTGCTCGGTTACTTCGTATTTCAAGCCATTATATCTAACCCGATCTACATACATTATCTCCATAAAATAAGACATGCATGTGATTTGACGTCAAATTAGTGTCGCCTGTAATCAGAAACTTGTGTTATTTGTTACTGCCCAATTAATCTCAGCAAAATTTTAGCGAGCTATTGTACATGAAATCAATAGCTATTTTGTAGGACGAATTACCACGTATTACAAAGTTTGCTGTTATAAAATCTCTTACTCGAACAAGACATAATTCTCCATATGAAAACCACATTTACAAAATCCGACCATAAAATCGATATTGGTTTCAAGAAGTCATTTAATAATGACACATTACTTCTCCATCAGTCATGCATCCAACAGTGAAATCGATCACTTTTCAACAACTTTGACTTAAAACTCCAACTTCCACAGTAAACTTTTCTATTTAAATGTGATGTTAACTTGTGGTGAGTTTGAGTGAAGGGGAAGTGCATAAGTTCTGTCAATGAGATGTTTATAAGCAGTAAGTATGTAAATGGCAATTTGCTTATGTACAGTCAGTCATTACAATAATAGGTCCCAGGTCCAGCGGTAAAGAAATTATTCAAGTATAAGCACTTACTACGCAGTAGATAAATTGCTCGAGTTAGAAAATGCCCTCAACTTCCTAGAATTTGCGAACCATGAGTGTTTTGTTAAACAATGTCTCATGTTTATGTACTCGCACTTTGAGAAGAATGTGTGTGTATATATTTACATAGGGATTCATTAGAATTGAATTGAACTTGTTGTGGATAAGTAATAAGCAAGTAAAAAATGTTGAACCCTGATTTTACTACTGCACAACAACCGTGTAAAAATTAATGCAAGGACACATTACACATTAATGATAAACTTTAAAGGATAACAATGTTCAAATACAGTTTACAGTGTCAACAATTGCATTTAACAAAATTTGCATGCAATAAACTTATCGGCATTTCAAAAGATTTTAACCAAATAAAAAATGGCATGCAGAAATTTTTTTAACTCGACTTCAAAAGCGTCACTTGATGTTGTGACCGAGATGTTGTTTATGACTTTGTTTTCATGTGAGCTGGCAATTTCAAGCTTTAATCTGTCGTTGTTTTATATGAGGGATTGTGCATTTTTTCGTTTAATTCGTGGCCATTGAGGTTTCTTGTTTTTACTGCGCCCTGCGTTATACTTAAATACATTTACGTGCTTTTTATTTCTCCCCTTGTTTTGTGTTTTTATTACAAATTAAGTTATTATGAATCAATATTACGACCTTACAATTATGTAGGACAGAATTGAGTGATCAATCGAGTATTATTTGTAATGGCCACGTGCAAGTACTTTACGCTTCATACATACATACACACATATGTACATACTTAAGTACATATATGTATGTACATTATGTGCAATGTAAAACCAAATACCTATATGTATTATTAGTGTCGGTAGCCCCTTATTAATGCAAGTCGGAAGATTAACAAACTTTATAAAATGTCCACAACTTGGATCATCGGCTAATAACATGGAATTATAAAATGCACACAAAGTTTTGAATGAGCTATTGACTTTGCTGTTTATTATTCCACATGCGATTGAATCTTGGGTTGGATTGGCTTTGGTGAGAGGAGGCTAGTAAACAATTTCTCCACCCAATCAAATCACGAACAAATATTTTGCTTAGTTATCCATGCAACGCATCTAGTATTCAATGAATGTAGGCGCATTTGACATGGTTGTGGGGACACGCACCACGGGGGCAGAGCGTGATGTAAACACAAAAAATTGTACATGCTTGAGGATATCGATCTCTTACAAATATCATTAAGTCACAATTTCATTTGGAAAAATTACTGCCACACAGAAAGCCAGTGGCATATTTTATAAATCTGCCTCCTCCGAGGTGCTATATGCACATTTGGAAATTACGAACTAATTTGTACATATAGTAATCACTGTTTCAAAGCGAACTATAATATCGTACTTGTAAAAAACCAAATGTTTGTTTGACATTTGTTTGTAGGCTGGTTGCTCGTCGTCATACTTCGTATTCGGAACACAGGTCACGACAGACAGAAGACAAGGAAGAAGCCAAACCTGAAACTTTTCCGTTAATGACTTGACGGATCATTATTGACAGCAGCCGTATAAGAACATAAAGAGTTCAAACAAATAAAATCACCGTCACCAATAACTTGGTTTAAAGCAAACTTAAAAAGATTCGACTTTAGACTTTATTGGTGTACACCGAGATAAGAATAATGTCATTCTGGAGGATAATTGAGTTTCGTAGTTCCACAAGAATTTTTGTCACCTTTCCAACCACAATAGGATTCCATGTTTTAATAAATAGTGGACCAAAAAAATTACAGGATAAAGTTTTGTTATGCGCAAGTACTCATAACAATGATGACTTAAGTCATGTACAATTAAAAGTGTCCATAAGCGCACTTAAGATAATGCATGTGTCGCTTATACGGAATGGAACTGGTATTACATAGATAACAAGGATCGGTGACGACATAATGTGTTTATGTACGTATGATACAAATGTCGAAAAATATTTTTACGTGTTTACTCAAAAGCTTGCCAATTTGCATAAAACAATTCTATTTATAAGCTTAAGAGATATAAAGCGTTATTATTTGTGTACATTGGTGTGGTCTGTGTAGTTAGGACTAGATATTTGCATATGTCTAAATGATGATACTATTTTTATCTATGACCATAAACAAGCGTAAGTAAGGTCGTCGAGGAAAGCAAAATAAGTTCTCACCGGATGTCTCTCTGCGCGAAATATTTTCTGTCACTAGTCTGCAATACGCTGGTGGTGCCATGATGACGGTTTGTTAAATCAGGAGAATGAGCGAGCTAGACGGCGAGACGATCACTTTACACATTTCCGATGCTCCTGGAAAGAAAATCAACTTTCACCAAATAGTTCCACGAATCTATCCAACTCTACAAATCATCCTATATATACACATTTAAGTATTATGATCACACATTGTCATCATTGTTGACGGCATGTGCAAGATGAAAGTATGTAAATTGCGTGTAGACAGCAAATTGTACCAAATTGATATTACATTAAGTATTCATTACATGGATATTGTAAGTAAATACATCCATCTATGAAATATAGTGCACATGGTTTAAGGTGCTACATTTTACCTGTCCTACAGTTAGTAGATCCCGTGATGCATAAAACAATTTTGAATATTGTGAATTAGTTTAATATGCCAGCGTAGATTGGCATTTATCAATAGTGCTAATCGGACAATTGTAGCAACGGAGGTATATATCTGGCTCTGAAAAATGTATACAAGTACATATAATCAATTTCCCATAGTGAAGCACTTTCAATATGAAAATAAATACTTGTGCTGCTGAATTTTTGTTGTTATTGCGTTTCAGACATTATAATTAATGAATATATATTTATGATTGCATATGAAACATTAAAGTCCACATTGTGTCATTACCAAATTGTCCTTGACCTCGTGGTACGAAATAATTGTCGATCGATCGATAAATTTGCTTATTTCTCCGAAATGTTCACACATTAACATGTACACTGAGGTAGAAGGTTGGTTTTACGCGAGTACAATTGAACAGATACTGAAAGGGGAGAGTATATAAATTCTACTATGGTTGTTAAAAAATCCACCACGAAATGCTTTAGTCACCGTGTCACACACAAGCTTGCCAGTGGTGGGGAAATATATTATTAGTTGTTGGCTGGCTGTAAGATCATAGCTGGCACGAATGGTAATCGTGAGGCGATTAGGATTAAGAGTTCACATGTTGAGTGCGTGATCACTTATTGAAAATCCGTTCGTTTTAATACAATATGCCATGAAGCCTCATTTAAACAACTTTTAAACCAACACAACACCCAAGTTAAAGTTGATGAGGAGTACACAGAAGAGCTCTATGCATACATACAGCAACTTGTTTTCTGCAAGTCTAGTCCACGGGTGATGATACTACGACGGACGACTACTGGATGGTTAAATTTTAATATATTTAAGCTGCTTATTTCAACTTCATACATATGCATGGATAAAGTCACTTGGCTTTGCTGATAACAAAACTAAATCAAACTGTTTGTGCTGTGATGATACGGAATACCGTCATATAGATAGTCACTTGTAGAACTCAGTCATACATTTATACATATCTACCTACACGATATGTAGGTATATGTCTAGATGTACATATTTCTTTATGTATGTAAGTTCACCCTGTTATACGGAGTCATATGCAATAGAGAATTGGGGGAGTGTATGGTTTGGAATAATTTGGTTGGCTGTTGAAAATGTGTTGATAAGATGCCCATTGTGATAATGTCTGATGATTTGCTTGATACTTTTAGGTCTACTTGACTGTCGCGAATTCACCGAAAGTTGATAAAACAGTTGTATGAACAATTTATATGGTTCTGGGAATATGTGCTGCATCATAAATGTGACTGCTTATTAGGATGAGTTGGAATTGTTATCGTTAAAAACCTTCACCTTGAATACTCATGAATGAAAATCTGCTATGTAGATGGATATAAATGATTGTGTTATGTTGTTCAATAATTATTTCTCCGACATAATAAATGCACGGCAGACGGACATGAACTATGCGTTGTAAAGAGAAATACATACGCTCAATGCTGATGTTGCAAGGGGTTTTTGCACGCCATGAGTTTTAAATTGTATTTTGTTTTGAAGTGCAAAAAACCATTTGGCAAAAACATCAAGAAGCATGGTTGTGAATAAATTAGAGTTATAAATTTTTAACCACTTTGCAAAGTGTTGACTGTGAAAAGCAAGGCCATTTGTATCCCGACCAATTTTCTAGCATGGAGTCTTGCATGAATACTACAATAATCTATGCTGAATCGACCCCGGCCGGTACCATCACATGCTCCCAGACATCGTTGCTGCACATTTAGCAATACATATTTAAGTATATGCGTAATTAAGTATTAATTAATGGGCATTAATTAATGGAGAACTTTAAATGTTCTTAATGTTACATTTGGGACGATGCGATCATTTATTTTTACATCTTTAACCATCTCACTAGCCAAACATGAAGTGATGCTTGAGATCAAGAAGTAAATTTGATGGTATTATATCACACTCAATTATAAGGTGAATGAATGAACTCTGTCCTCAAGATTAAAATCTAGGTCTCTGTTTCAGAATACAGCAACCATTGATTTAGTTATTTAGTGACCTTGATCGAGACTTAACAAAATGCAAACACTGTATAATCAATAATATTTTTGTCCCCGATTCAATTTTTTTTGGGACAGGGCAGCCAGTCCACGAAGCCAATACAACCTTACGGAAAATTATGGAAAATGTCATATCAATCGATCGATTGCTTTGACAATTCAATCGATGGTTTATTCAAACTAAGCAAGTGGCTGGTTTTTTACCTTAACATTGAAAAACACTTTGACAGAGGTATTTGCATACTATTCTAATGGAGTCATTCAACTTATAGCGTTCGACATGCATAAATATATACATGATGATGGTCAGTATCTGTTAATAAATTTCGATGTACCCACATAATTATTAAATATGTAAATACAAATTGAAACGGTGAAGAAATAAAGAAAATGTATATGAATGAATATGTAGACAAGTCGAAAATATATATGCTGGATCATTTATACTCCAATTGTATCGGACTTCTTGTGGGCGGATTACACATGCGAAGAAAGAACTGAAAGAAAGAGGAGAAAGCGACACCCAAAGAACTTTCTAGAAAATTGTTCCAATCTTGGAATTTGAGGTGGCGCACGTTACCACAGATTCTAATGTCGCCTTGATGGCGGACTTAATTTTTTAAGATGCTCGCTCTATATATATATGTATTTCAGATTTATTCAACATACAAAAATCATCATGAAAGTATTTTATTAGCGCTAATTAATATTCTGCTCTGTTTCATCGGAAGTTTGAAAATCTGTCAAAAGTAGGTCGTCAAACTCGTTCAAACTTCCAGTCAATGGTTCCTTGGTGGTGTTCAGTGCCCTGTCCTGGCTCATCTTGTGCCTTAACTACGGACAGAATTAAGAATTGTGGTTGTAATTGGTTGCATTTCGTAAAATTCGTCAGTTAAATACTTAACTACACAAAGCATATTTTACTGTATTTTTGTATTACTTTACCTGGATATATGAAGCACATGCTTTGGCTCTAGCAGTTTGTAAGATAAGGTCTCTTGTGTCGCTATACTCTTGGTCCGATTGAAAAATCTCCTGATTCTTATTTGCACAGCATAATAATGGATCTTTTGAAGGTTGATTTTTCGAATTTTTCGAATTGCATGAACTGACAATATTGCACCCTGCATCTATTTGAGTGTTGCTTTTCTTTCCATCTTCATAAAAGTTGAACAAGTTGTGTGCGGCTGGTTTTCGAATCGGTTTAATACCGTTCGATAACTCATTCTCATCTTCGTTACAGCCGATATATTTGTGATTGATATTTTCGAAATTGATCGTCTTCAAGAGGTCGGTCTTGGACCCCTCACAGACCGACGGGTCAAAGTCACTCTCTTCGTCAGAGTCTTCAAACACTTTTAATTTAATTTCGTCCATTAAGCTCTCATCCTCACCTTTCGGAAGTGTCGGTGATGCGGATGTGGAAAGTCTCTCGGGTTGGGTGCAGCTAGGCTGCTGGTCATCCGTTATCAAGGGACGACTCGTGCTTTCCCTTGTGTATGTGTTTCCTATAAATTTCGGTATGCGTGGGTGTCGAATGACGTTGTGAAGTGCATGCTTCATTGCTCTATCAGAAGTCGCGTTCACTTTATCGCAAGTCAAGTGGTGGGAAGATGGATCCCAACCTTTTTCACCATGACCAATAATGTTAGTAGAAACTTGAGAAATATCTCGGGACATGTTGTTGATTTCTTGACCATGATGGTGCCACGGGGTATTCTGAAAATCTGTGAGCCAAGTCGTCCCTTGAATTTCGTCCTGCTTGATGGATTCAATCAACTGTCGCTTATCCATCCCCTTTTTTGATGCGATATATCGACATTGGTTAATTATGTCTATGAGACGTCGGTGTGCAACTTCCGAGTACATTGTGGTGACACCAAAACATCCTCGGATATTTAAGGTGTCGTAAGATCTGCATTTTTCTAAAATACTAATACTTGGGGCTTCTTCTACTTGTGGTGGTGGAGGTGAAAGGTGGTTCGCCCCATTATTCAGCAAGTCGTTCATGTATCCAACATGCTGCGCATTCTGGGAGTTTGCAACCAATAAAGTCATAGGCTCCTCATAGAACAGAATATCATCCATTGTGGGGGAGAATGCGAAATCGGCATTATCTGTGAACGAGAATGATTTTCCTTAACATTACGTATTCAATCGAACAGTAGATGCAAAAAAATTTGGGATATTTTGGGAAATGGTCGGTTACCATAATCGGTTACTTCCATGTGGAATCAATTAGTATTTTTATGCAAGCCTCAAGAAGTACAAAATTAGTAAACAAAATGTTTAAACAAGGTCCACTCTACTTACAAGTGCATGCGTTATCTGTCCAGATTATTTAACACTTTATCACTCTATAAAGGAGACTAACGTTTCTTAGATACTACAATTCAAGAAATTGGGTATCTGTAGTTGTGGCACTTATTTGCCTATTGACGTCTTAGAATAGCAAAAAACTAAATAATAATCTCAACAAATTTGAATGCTACATTATGGGGCTGGGACAGGTTGTACACTTCTGCAACAGAAAACCACGATTCACATTGCAAAATCTGCAATGTGAAAATATTAAAACCTTACGGTGCTCAGTTACAAACGGCCCTTAAGAGGCAAATTATGAATGCGGTATAATGCAACAAGTTAAAATCTCAAACATTGTCCATGCATATTTGTACACATCCAATCATCGAAGAACTGTGTCGGAGGGTTGCACCTCTGCTGTTGAGACAACTTGAGTCTCATTTTTTAATGATTCTGTCCCATAGTCTCCATACGAATTCGAGGATTGTGTTATGCGGGACAAAATTATTTATTATGTGTAAATTAGTCTATGGTTGTATTATTAATTTTTGTCCTCAAATTATGAGGAATAAGGTGCTATTTCAAAGAGTACAACTATTGCGAATCTATGTAGTCGTGTGTTGGTTACATTTCCGTCTCAAAGTTAGGATCACTTTGAAAGTTGGAGACGTAAATTGCATTCTGGGGAATCTTACGGTCACTCACTACCCCACACTCTGTGACATACTTATTTACTTAAATTAGTACTCTATCGGCTGTCAATATTGTGACCCACAACAATATAATTCTAAATAATGTCCTCCATACAAATCCAGAATTGGCAAACCTCCAGTGCAGAAATAGTGCAAATACATTCGCAACAAACTCAATCTGAGATTACAATCGCAACAACATGGTTTTTGTCGTGCCGAAGGAACACATACAACAGCAGCCTTTGTACTACTTTAAAGTTGTTGGACCCCATGTAATTCTTCATTGTTGGATGCCACATCCCTTGGGAAGCCGGATTTCATTGTATTTCTTAGATTCGATCATGTTTTCAATACATAAGAGCAATCTCCCATAATAAGATGAGTATTTGGTGGCGGTGGTCGGATCCGGAGGATGGTTCATAGAATTCAGTCAGTCGGAGATGTTGGAAAAGGAATCATCTTCTCAGATGCTGAATGATACTTGTTGAATGAGGGAAACAAAAGAAAGCGGACAAAGTTACCATTTCATTTCCCACAAAAAGCAGTGGGGCCACCAGCCAACGACGACGAGGAGACTGTGGAAAGAGAGGAGATAAGTCGTCCTCGAGGAGGAGGGCGGATTTCCTTTAGCTTTCACCCCATCGTCGTCATCCTTCTTCATCCCACGCGACTGGCACGCAGAGAGAACGAGAGGAGAAAGTAGTTCTCGATTTCACGTCTCAGTCGTGATTTCCCATTTCTGTCCCTGGTTCCACTCTTCTCGTTCATGGCGAAAGACGGAACGTTGTCTCAGTAGCGACTTCTCTCAGGAATCCATCCGCATCCCTCAGCCTGATTACTACATTTCTCTTACACAACAATCTTGTCAACATTAAATTAGAATCCGCTACGGTGGCTGAATCAGAAATCTTGATTCATCTTAACAACGCATCTTGACAAACATTTCTCCCATCGTAAAATCGGTCATCACGATTTCAATTACCTGACCTCACTACTTACTACCATCATTATTTGTGCATCAAGTATTGTTTCGTGATTTACTATTAACACTAGTCAATTTTTTTATGCAAATTCTAAGTATTTAATATATTTATGTACGCATTATTTTCCGATCAGTAATTTGGTCCAATTACCGCTATTGGCTTAATTTCAACCTGCAAGTTTTTACTACAAATGAATATACATTCTTGATTAAAACACTGAAATTCAGTGTTATCAAACGCATAGTACGGGAGACTTGTGCAATTGTGTCGGGGTAAAAAGTAAATCAGGGTTGAGAGGTGACTTGAGACAGAGTTCATTTAACTGTGAGAAGCAGTTTTTGACTGGAGAAAAAGACACTCACCCTTTTCCGTGAGAGGGTAAATGCAGACTTTTAATGGAACTATTTTGGTTTGATTTTGTTTAAGAGCTAATGAAGTGTGATCCTGAAGTAGTGGGGCTCAGTCAGACAAAGTTAATCGTTTATTTCGAGAGACAGGGAAGTGAAGTCTTAGACACGTTGTGTAATCCACAAGCCACAGCATTGTTTACATTTGACAGGGTTCTAATCCAATTATAAGTGTAGCCATAAAAATCCAGTGACCGGCTTGTGCAACCACGATAAGTATGGATGTGGAAGAGTATCGTCAGAGAGGTATTTTATTTTCACACTATTCTCGTCAAGTTGTTGCCTTTCCTTGCTCCCCCAGTTTTCTCACAAGTCTCAGATTGATTGGCGTGGGGAAACTGGGTAATGGAAGCTTGCGGAAATGAACGCCAGCCAGAGCAGATGTGAAACTTCTTACATGTTGAGTATTTCACTGATCCGTCTGATCAATTATGCAGGAAAGGAGCTGGTGGATTTTATTGCTGATTATTTGACTGGAATAAGAGCCCGGAGGGTATGGAAGAACAATTACATTTATTTTAATATTGATTTGTTGATACATCTGAAAATAATTTCATAGGTTTTCCCAGCAGTGCAACCTGGCTACATGCGACCAATGGTTCCTGATGAAGCTCCTCAAGAAGGGGAATCTTTCCAGGATATTTTTGAGGACTTTCAACGCATTGTTCTGCCTGGGGTAAGTATGGCCAGTTATCTAGTCTTGTAATCAAATTGAACATGTCTTCTCCTAATTTCATCTAAACTTAATGAGGAGTGAATGGTCTTTGATTTTGATTCCTTCACACCACTTCCGCAATTCCATGATACAAGTCCAATAATATATACATATATCTGTGCATCTCATATCTAAAAGTGTCCATTCGCTTAAACTATTTACTGCTGCCATGATTCATGCAAAGCTTCATTATTAAATTATGGCACAACTTTTTAGGTGACACATTGGCAAAGTCCGCATATGCATGCATACTTCCCGGCCCTGAACTCGTATGCTTCTCTGTTGGGTGATATGTTGGCTGACTCGATCAATTGCCTCGGGTTTACTTGGGTAATACATTTTTTGAATCATCTCACATGCTAATTAAACTTTGAAAGACGAGCTGCCCTGAAGGAATGAACTTCAGATTTAACTTACTCTTATGCGAAATGGTCTACTTATATGTAAATGTATAAGTATTTCTTAAACTGCATATACAATTTATTGTGCCTAATAGGCATCAAGTCCGGCCTGCACTGAACTTGAGATGGTAAGTTATATTTTATTTATTTAACTGGTCATTCATTTTTAAGAATATGCAAATGATTATCAGGGAATAAACCAGATTCATAAAATTGGAAATCGCTTTTTATAACTTAGGAATTAGTGAATATTAACCAATGTTTTCCAAATCCATCGTGAGGTTCCTTTGATTATTACTAAAGTGGACTTGACCTGTTCCCACAACAGATTGTGATGGATTGGTTGGCAAAAATGATAGGACTGCCAACTACATTTATGCATTCGTCAAAGGATAGTAAAGGTGGCGGTGTGATTCAAGTAAGAACAGACAATTACTACATAATACAAACACGAATTAAGCTGCAGTGCCACATGAGGAGGAGAAAGGAGGATAATTTAATGTGGATGACACTTTCTACACGCAGACTACGGCGAGTGAAGCCACTTTCATCTCCCTGATGGCTGGCAGAACAGAAGCGATTCGAACGAATAAGGCAGCCCATCCGAATCTCAACGCGTCTGAAATAAACGCTCGACTTGTTGCATACTGCTCAGATCAGGTTAGTGTACTTACATATTCTTCGAATAAGACAACCATACACACGGATCTGATTTCTATTACCGAAAATCTCGCTTTTATTGAGATATAAATGTGCATGTATAAAATATGCTGCTTTTACATCAACCAGTCCCTTCTGGAATATTAACCAACCGTTTTCCTTGCCCTTGTTGAATTCCAATTGAATAATAAAATACAATTTTGAGACGGCACGTATTGCTGGCTTATTATTGAACATTACTGAATGGTTGCATGACGTTACGCTTACGTACTTACAAGACAAAAATAGTGACGAACCTCAAAAACATGTTGTTTAAGTGAGAATATGTATGTACAATTATTTGGAGATGCAAAGTACCACTCGCGTCACTCACAATCAACAGTGTGTACATACATATTTTACATGTATAATAATATTATTAGACTGTCAAAATAAGCTACGTTAAGCATTATGCTTGATGTAATTGGTTGTGCAAAAACTAAAGGGAACAAAGTATAGGGGACAAACGTGATCGGGGAAAATGAGACGAGAGGGGAGAGTGAGAGAAAGTCGAAGTGAAAGTTATTTTCTGTGTGTGTTGAAACATCCATTCCTTTTGTCGAGGGTGAAGTTCTTGGTGCGGGCGAAGTTGGCAAAAAGGGGGATTTATACCTCGTCTCATCCTCAGTTGATACACAAACACATCCGTTCGTCTCAATCTCGTATTCGCTCCACTGCCTCACAACAAGATGGGCCAAAACCTCTGACTACTTGAGCTCTTTTTTGGAGAAACTCTCCGTCTCTAATCTGTTGAACATTCAATGCATGGAAAAGTAAGGGAATAAGGGAATGGACTATTATGACTTGTCAGCTCAATATACATGACTCTGTATTTCTATTCGATTTGAGTTTAGCCGAATTCGAATACAAATTGGGAATCCGACTTCTCCACAGGTTCTATATATGATACATCATGTTGATAATAAGCTGTTTTGTGTAAGGAGAATGAAAAAAACAAACTCATTTGTTAGAAAAGAAAGTATAATCGCACAAGAAATGAAATCGAGTGTTACGGATGTATATGTATATGCCGAAACCTACCTGATCTATATATGTATATATACTCGTAGTACAAGATTTATCAGTTACTAATATATTTTATGCAATATTAATTGATTTCTTATGATCAATAACTTGAAAAATGTAACAAACCCAAAATAAAAATGTCCAATCAAAGATAAACCAATTTCTACGGAACAGTAAGATATACTGATCTGTCATACAACGATTGATCTATGGATAATTAAATTGAAAGTATTTATATATTTACATAAGAAATATAAGTTTTGGCATGCACGTACATTGCACGCATGAACCATCGGAACAATTCAATTCTGTTCTTACATTTCTATAATAAATGTGGGATACTTTTTTAAGGCACATTCTAGTGTGGAGAAAGCAGGGTTGATCGGCCTCGTAAGGGTAAGTTATTTATATTATTATTTATGTATGTTATTTATATTGCTTGTACTATCAGACAGTATACTTATGTATCAATTATTGCTCTATAATCTATAATCTTAAAAACATCTATGGGGCAGTTTGAAAAATTTGCATGTCATGAATCTAGATGCACTACCTGGAAAGTGACTATGAAACGCTAGGCATTAACGGCGAAACGCTATCTCAAGCATTGAAATTGGACCGAGAAGCTGGGCTCATTCCGTTTTGGGTAAATGTCATATAAATTAAGCAGCTTCATTTCTTTTAACAAACATTTATTATTTATGCAATGTGAGACATTTATGTAGCCAAGCCTAATGATAGTGGTTGGTGGTGATGAGTGGTAGTAATGAGCGTGCCTACGACGTGACTGACTTATTGTGTCCCTGGGGAATGCATTTATATAACTTCATTTTCCAGGTTTGCGCTACGTTAGGAACTACCGGAAGCTGTTCTTTCGATAATCTGAAAGAGCTTGGCCAAGTCTGCTTGAAAGAAAGTGAGTCTGCTTATTAATTCGGTTGAGCAAAAAGTATTTAGTTGTCGCTTTCATCCGTAATGATTATGATTCAAGTGGTTTGTGCAGAGCTGTAACTTAACGAGAAGCTTTCATTTTAATATCTTTTTTTCTCATTGGGTAAAGTGTTGAGTTTCTCGTGTCTCTAAATATTTGTCTCTGTCTCATTCATTTCCACTCGTGCAATTTTTATCGTCAACCCACTCGGAGGAAAAAGTTGATGATGACTTTCTCTGAGTTTTTATTTCGGTTTCTCCAGTCTATCCAGGACACATAAATATGTCTTATTTAGGAGTCTGATGTAGGTGTAGTTATGTAAAATAATTCCAATCTATCATGTGAATATGCATAATATAATAGCACATATGCACGTGAGTCATGGATTCAATCAGTTGGCTACTTATATATGATCTCCATCAAAAATCACAATTTCCATTTCGTGCATGATTCTCTACAAGATGAAATGATTTGTAAGAGTCAGCATAAAAATAATAAGAAATAAAATGTGGTACAGATTTGTGGCTGCATGTCGACGCGGCTTATGCAGGTAATTTTAACCTTATCTTCATCTTTAATAAGTTTATAAATAAAATCTATTTAAACCTATCTAAAATCTATCTATCTATTTTAAGGGAGCGCTTTTATCTGCCCGGAGTTTAGACACTGGCTCGAAGGAGTTGAAATGGCAAATTCCATCGTAAGTACCCGAATCATTGACACTGTAGCAGGTAATTTATTTCACAAGTGGAATAATATTTTCAGGCTTTCAACCCCAGTAAATGGTTGATGGTCCATTTCGATTGCACAGCAATGTGGGCAAGTTATTCTTCATACACATCTCTAAAACATCTAGAGTCCATTGTTTAATTTAATAGCAGATTATCAGAGTCTAAATAAAATAATTTGATTGCCAATTGAACAGGTTCAAGATGCAGGAGCTCTCCATAGGACGTTCAACGTTGATCCGCTATATCTACAGCATGAGAATTCTGGAATGGCGATTGATTATATGGTTTAGTTCAAATTATTAGAAATTCGCTATTTACTAGTGCAAAACTGATAACAAGAAAAATTCAAATAGCTAATATATACATCTTGCTTGTTTAATTTTTTTATTTTAGCATTGGCAGATTGCTTTGTCCAAGCGATTTCGAGGTAAGTTAATATCAATTTTTTCTCATAAGTAATTCTAGAAATTTTAGCATGGATGTCAAGTAGTATGCGTCCGCCTAGACAGAGTAAATCGGTAAATGTGAAATATATATGCAACTGTTGCTTCTAATTTACTTTTTACATAGCACTAAAACTTTGGTTCGTATTGAGATCATTTGGGGTCACGGGACTCCAAGAACATATCAGAAAGGTACACATTTCAAAATAGATATCTCTGATACAAACAATTGGTTTAAACACTTTTAAATATTGTCAAGGGGGTGAGGTTAGCTGCCCGATTTGAAGCAATGGTCGCTTCTGACACAAGGTTTGAAATTCCAGCAAAACGCCACTTGGGAATGGTTGTTTTTCGACTTCGAGGAGACAATGAATTAACAGAAACGTATGTAATTAAAGAATCGAGATTCAGCAGAGATACATTGATTCTAAATAACATTTACCGGTTTAAGGGTTAGAAATATTTCCCATATTATTATCTAGGTTGCTAAAACGGGTCAACTCGTCTGGGAAGATACATTGCGTCCCAGCATCGTTAAAAGTACGCTACCTTATTAATGTGGCCCTATTTAAACGTTTCATTAATAACCAAGTGTTTTTATGTACTAAACACTTATAGGGACGCTACGTTATTCGGTTCACAATTACATCCCCCCAAACTACTGTGGAGGATATTTGCACAGACTTTCATTTTGTATGAAAATATTTTAATATTTTATTTATGAATTATAATTGTCGAGGAGAAAGCGGACCGTGGTTGAATATTTGTTTGCCCAAACACTTCTCATACCTGTCGCTATAAGATTAAGATTCAGTCTACTTTAAATCTTGTTGTCCATGCACTAACTATAAAAGCATTGCAACAAAAATGCCTATAATTTTCAAATTGTGGTCTTTTCACAATTATTCTCCCTTTCCCAAATAGATTAAAGAAACTGCACGTGCAATTTTGGCAAATGAGGAATTGAAGGATATCCCAATGGCACCCGCCAGAAAGGTCTTAAATTTTTATAAGTACACAAATAATTTGGCCAATAAAAGCGGAACCACTAAAATGAAATTAATTAAAGGTTCCACTGGGAGAGACTCGGTTACGAAATTCTCACTTTGGGACGTCCCTTCTTCTCGCCAATTCCCCAATGTCCCCCAAAATTGTCAACGGTATGGAACATTTTTTTAATTCTAACTTAGGTTAGGGTTTAATTCTTATGATCGATTTTTTAATCTGTTTAAATTACGTAGGTTCATTTGCTGCGATATTTGATTCCAATGAGCTTTTCAAAGAATTTACACGGCGTTTGAAGCTGAGCGAGGTGGATGAAAATTCACCCGGTATGATCCACATACATATAATCAGCTTTATTACAAGTAAGGGTTGTATTTTGACAAAGTGATTTTTAAAAATTTAATCCAGCCGTGGTAAGACGCCGACTCAAGGGGATGGTCATGTGCGGAAAGCAATTTTCGCTAGACTCGAGAATGGATGTCGTATCCACTATGAATTTGCAGGAAAAAGAGAAAACCGAATCCGATTCAGATTCCCAGAAGAGTTTGCCATGCATGCCCGAATCGCCGGAGCAAGAAAATAGTAGCAATTAAAGTCTCAGAAGGTTTTTTTAAAACCGTGAATGCAGTATTATGATAGACTACAATAAGTAGAAAAAAACAGGAAGTGTAAAAAACAGATAGATAAGTAAGTACTAGCGAAAGTAGTTTGAAGAAAAATGTATTATAGAAAGCAGTAGAAAACAGCCGCTGTAGGCAACTTGCAAATAAATAGTCTTCTTTTAGTGTTTTAAAATGATAAAATACTTTGTGATGATGTTTTTTGGTGCTGAGTGGTTGTCAAATTCTGAATAACAGAACATCACGCTCAAATTTAAGTCATTGTATCTCAGTTGTGATATTATATTATTTGAAAATCAATACAATAAACAAACATTGCTAAATCCAATAACTTGTTGCAACTTCTGTATTATTTAGCTCATTTTAATTTGACTTTCTGCGATCAATTCCATCTTTACAAGTGGAGAAAGTTGTTGCTCCATTTTCTCATGCATGCATGTGGAGAAAGAAGCTTGGAAATGTCAACACGTACGCATTGCTGACTCATTTTTTCATGGGTTTACTCATTTACTGACTTATTTGCATTTGAAGCCCAGTTCAGAGGTTTGCATCCTTGTAATCATCATTCTATTGCATTTTTTGAACTTTCCGAATTTAGATGGATTCTTTGTAGCCACAAAAGGCAATAAATATGCTGCAAATCATTAATTCCCTGATAACAAAACCATTTACGCAAGCAAAGTGAAGGTTCCACGTCACTGCCCCATCATGGCCTTTCGTCATACCGACTTGAGTGGAGGGGTCATCCGCACATATACTCTGACCCTATCTTGTAAGGGAGATGTGCCCCTTAATTAATTGTCACCATGTCCAGAATTCTTAAACTTATCACGGTTGACTGGTAGTTGCCATTTATTGTCGTCACATAATCCATGCAGGATACACGATTCGATGAAAAGAGAGCTGCTGTTTGTATAATTGCAGACTTTCTTTCTCCTCACGTCTCACTAACATATAACACTAAAACTACTGTCCCATTTTCACTTCCTACTTGACTTTGTCGTGTCAAAATTTATTTTAGTCAAGTTTTTCAGAAAACAACAAAATTCAAACAAAATTTTTAGACAGTCAGACTAGATTTTAGGTTTGATCAAGGAAGAAAGGTGTTAGTTTGATTAAGAAATTCAGCTTAATATTGAAACCGGATCTGTTTCCGTTCGTCAAACTTATCTCCATCATCTTCCACCGATTAAGTTTAATTTCATATTAAACTACCTACCACAACGTCAATGCAAGAATTTTTATTAAGTCTCAGTTGATTTTGTTAATCCGATCCATGATTTAATTGGGGTCGCAAGACTATCAAGTAGTGAATAGGCGAGCGCAAGTACTTGTCGAAGGGGTTATTTCATATTTAGTTTAATTGCCAAAGCACTTTGTGGTCCAATTACAAGTTAAACTTGTTGATATAATATGGCCAGTCCGAAAACAAGAAGGGTCCTTCAAGATATCCGACACAAGGATGACAATAACGTAAACACTGCACATTTAATAATTTGATTGGGAATAATTTATAAAATCTTCATAAAATTATTTTGTGTTTTAATATATGTAGCGATGTTTTGAGTGCGGAACGCCCAACCCCCAGTGGGTATCTGTTAATTATGGAATATGGATTTGGTAAGCAATTTTAAAATATTGTAGTGTTATAGATTTGAAATGTAAATTCAAAATTTAAAAAATCAAATTTCAAATTCATCTAGCTTGGAATGTAGTGGCAAACATAGGGGTTTAGGGGTCCATCTAAGCTTTGTCAGGTATTAAAGAACGATATATCAATATGTACTTCAAGTTATGTGTACAGTCAAGAGCAAAACTTTACGACATATGGAAGAGACTTTTGGGACATGTTATTCAAATGGGGAATTAAAGGCCGTAAAGTTTTGCACCGCGTACCTTTCCGAATAATTTTTTTAACGCTGTGATATAATTTTTATTGAATAAAGCGTGCAAAAGTAGGGGGTGACGTGGTAAATTATTTTTGTCGCCGAATTTTTTTCAAGGAACTACAAGGAATTGAAAGAATTAATTTTGGAAGAGACTTTTGGGACAACACATTGTGCTTATGGCTGTCCCAAAAGTCTCTTCCAAAATTAATTCTTTCAATTCCTTGTAGTTCCTTGAAAAAAATTCGGCGACAAAAATAATTTACCACGTCACCCCCTACTTTTGCACGCTTTATTCAATAAAAATTATATCACAGCGTTAAAAAAATTATTCGGAAAGGTACGCGGTGCAAAACTTTACGGCCTTTAATTCCCCATTTGAATAACATGTCCCAAAAGTCTCTTCCATATGTCGTAAAGTTTTGCTCTTGACTGTAACTCTCTACTGGGTGTTTCATATAAAAATATTGTCATTCTTGTATAGATCTGTGACGATGGATAAGTGGAAAGATATTGAATTAGAAAAGATGAAGGTAAGAAAATGATTGCAGTATTACAGTTTTAGATTATTTACGATTACTTTATCATATAATTGGTACAGGCTGGTGGCAACATAAAATTCAAGACATTTTTAGAATCCCAGCCGGATTGGGACAATAGCATGCCAATTCAACAAAAGTATAATTCCACCGCAGCTGCTTTGTACAGAGAAAAGGTATATTTCTGAACCCATACGTAGAGAATTACTTTAAAACATTTAATATTAGTGTCTGGCGTGGGCGACTTTGATTTATAATAAGAAACCTTTGACTTATCATTAGATTCAAACTGAAGCTCAAGGAGGCACTTGGGATGAAACTAAAGCCAAGAAAACTGTAAAACAAAGTCGAGCTGCAGCCAAGATGTCGACTAATAATAACAATTCATTGAAAGGATTTCCTAAAAGCACATCATCCCCCAGTTTTCAAAATAATGGAAGTGCCAACTGTGGTGCATATGCGGGTGGTGGTGGAGGTTACCAAAGTGGGGACGCAGGTGGCTATAACAGCTATGAATCTTCGGGAAGCAATGGATCCTATCAAAACGGGCCTCCGAGTGCAAATATGACATTTGCGGATAAGAAAAAAATGGAAAATTCTAGTAGACCTGCTGATTTGCGACCTAGCGAGGGTGGGCGGTATTCAGGATTTGGATACTCTGTGGACCCTCAACCGAAGGATAGTTCAAATGAAGTATTGGATCAAGCTTTGTCTTCTTTGACGAAAGGATGGTCCATGTTTTCATTAGCGGCCACAAAAATTGCTTCCAGGTAAATGACGACTTAATCAGTTCAACTCTTTCAACGTTATATGTTATGTTCATACGAATAAATATTGTTTTTTTTTCAGTGCTGGAGAAAATGCTGTAAAATTTGGTGAAATTGCCACTCAAAAAGCAGCCGAGCTTGGTGGTACTGTTTCTGATAAGGTATTTAGGCTTCTCCCATCATTATTAATATTCACTATACAGTATGTATGGTACATAATTCGTTTATTTTAAAATTATGCTACGCTAGGTTTCAGAAATTAGGACAAAGGGGCTCAAGGATGGATTGTCTGGAATTGTATCATCAGCTTCATCATTTAGTTTAAATCGATCTACCTCCGGGAGCTTTGGCGGACATGAAGCTATTCCAGAATACTCATCGGAACGTAGTTCTTTGCGGAATAATCGGTCTAACACGTAAGTTTAGAAAGTTTGAAACTTTTTTTTTAGATGATCCTAATATTCTGTTGAATAATGGTCCCTAATACTTTGTTCAATACTACTGAATTATTGTAATCACAGTGTTCCTGACGGTGGATGGGATGATTGGGGTGGTTCTTCAGACTATAATTCTGGAGGTGGGGGATATCAAAATCAGACTGACGGATCATCATCTTCTTCAAAATCTAAAAGTCGTGCATCAGGATCGAATAGTAAAGCAACACCAAGAAAAGCATCCGATGATTGGTCATGGGACGACTGATGAAATCTTATACTAGGCAACAAAATTAAGTTTTTAAACAAATTGATTAATCCTTCATTGTGTCTACTATGAAGAAGTCAAAAATTTGGAATACCAATTATGCAACATCATTGACCATTATAAAATTAATCGTCACTTTCAAATCATTAAATATTATTCTTATCGTACGAATAAGTCATCTCAACGGAACGCACCACACGCCTCGTAATTTTGTAAAGTCGACATATCCACATTGACATTTTTATTTTAGTTACTTTAAATTTAAACTATGGGTGAACGATGTATTTGATTCCATCATGCATGTTGAAGCTAACCACATTCCTTTTATATTATTGGGCTTCGAGATTTGTATTTGTTTAAACACTGAAAATCTACAGGATTAAATTATAGTTTTCCATTGTTTCTAGACTCGTCGCCATGTTATAGGAGCGTAATCTTGGTGCTATTATACTTACCACTGTATGTAATGAAATGTATGATGTAAAACAATTGTGCAAATCCCCAGGCTAATAAACAACTTAGTGAAAAGACATTTATATCTCATTGCTTAAATATGTAAATTCTAATATTTGCGTACAAAAGTAACAAACCGCATAGCACGACATAATATTTATAAAAATTATTCTAATTAAACACGCGATTGAATTATTTCTACGCTTGAAACAAAAAACTGGAATGTTAATTACCAATAAAACGAGCTGCGGACAAAATTGAGGGCTGAATTGAAAATTGAAGCCTCTGGATTCTTGTCTTGTAGTTTTTGCTTGCACATAGCATTATCTGCGACTGACGAGTTGGCATAATCATCTTCAGGTAGATAATCTGGCATGTTCTCTTTCGAAATTTCATTCTTCTCATCAGGCGAAATTGAAACCATAATCTATATTAAAAGAAAGTATCGTAAAGTCTGTTAAAATTTGTAACCAATATCATGTAATAATGCATACCTCTTCTTGGTGCTCATTTTTATAAACAAGGGACACATTAAATCCAAGATTGGCAACTACAATGATAACGAGAATTAGCAGGTTATGAATGATTTGATTGCTTCCTTAATCGGATAAGTAGCTAACCTGCAGATCCAAACACTTTTGATCCAATATTTTGTTTTCCTCTAATAATGCAGTAGTTCTTAGGAAGGTCGAAAGTCAAAGATATGATACCTTTAATTTTAATCAAAGCCCGTTCAATCATTAATCGATTCTGGTTCTACAAAGACAAAAGATATCCTTTAGTAAGTTCTTAGAAATTGCATGTACAAACAAAATGACTTTATGCATAATTGAATATACGCATTACATGTTGAAGTACTTCGGAACCAACTTTTAAAATCGTTTCTCGACCCCTCTGTTTAGCTCTGGTTAAAGTGGACGTCTTGGTATTTTGACCTTCTGGGCCCGCATTTTCTATATTCCTACTAGACATTGGTTGATCGCCCAAAGGTTTCTTCACCTGTTTCAATACACGTAGCATGTTGGCGCAATCCTGTCGAATATCTGATGTGTATTTTTTCTCTCTAAATTTTAAAGCCACATAAAAGTGTAAAACGTGCATTTTGCCAGACAGATATTGAAACTAATATTTTATTATTATTGGCTTTACCTGGAAATTCTTTCCAGCATAGGTAAAAAGCATGGGAGTTTCTGCAGAAGAGTATGGTTTCGCTGATTGGTCAAAAGAATTTCAAAAACATCCAGGGCTAGAATTATTATTTCAAATATTATTACATCAATTTCAAAGACCTCAATTATGCCATTCATAACTCCTATTTATAAAACCCTACCTGCGGTCGTTATCTTAATTGACGAATCCTCCATAAGAGACCAAACCAGCAAAGTACTCATTGTCTCATCCTACGTAATTAAAAGATACAAACTATAAACATCAATCTATAAACTTTACTCATCAAATTTCGAAATTTAAATTACCTTGAGAAGAGCAGAAGACTTACGACTTCCTTGTTCACTAACGGCGACACTCAAATATCTTGAAAGAACAAGCAAACTGGTTTCCTCCTTTATCTCAACATTTGGACTTTGTTCTTGTTCCTCCGCAAAACTTAGATGTTTAGTAGCGTCCGTTATAGCTGTAATTTCTTGTCCACTGCTACCATTGAACTCAGACTGCTCAGAGGAAATGAGAGTTGAATCATCTCCAGGTTCAGATACGGCTGAAGACGGTTCCATTTTAGTGATAAACCTGGATAAAAATTGTAATCAACAAAAAAATCGTAAATTTCTCGTGTCTCGACAATTATTCTTCCTTTAGAGCTGGAGAAATATAAAGAACTTACAATCCGGTCAGTGACACTATTTGTCGACGTTATCTGTTCGCAGATGATAAGATGACAAAGAACCAAGGAACAGCCACTCGTGTGTGTGTCGGCCGGTGGGAAAGATTTTGCAGACAAGAAAATCAAAGCATATGAGATGCAGAACACGCGAGTGCAAATGTAACGGTTTTTGTGGAGAAGTTGGCGCTAAACCCACCGCGATCCACTTTACTACACACTTTTTCACGCACTTCGTCTCGTCGTTGACACAAAAGCACACTATTTTTTCCGTTGCCTTGCCACAGTTCATGCGGAAAATTCAGTGATTTTTTTTATCTCGGTAGGAAATTAGGACAGCAGGTGAGTTGAAAGACACGATTAACTGACATCGTTTCTATGGGCGGTGCCCCATACGGTTGCGACAAATGAATTATTTTGAAAAAAAAATTTTCATTTTTAAATCTTTGGGCCCGAAGTCCCCTTGTCGGGCCCAACGACTTTAACCTTGAATAACTTTTGAACAGGCAGACATAGAGACTTAATTCCTGAGGATGAAATCATCCTAATTTTTAACTTGATTTTTTAAGCTAAAAATCTCGAGTGTACTATTTCGGAAAACTAAAACGTTTATTTTGAACAATATCTCCAAAATATAAGTTTTTCAGGAATTTCACAGCCAATTCTTATCTCACAAAATTCTATAATATACCAAAGTGATCGTACGATCTAGACCGATCTATTGACACCCCACTGGAGAGTGTGAGATCACCTGACCCGGATTTGACCTAGGGGGTCATCTCAATCTTCCAACTTAGCAACGGTCCACTCACACTATTTTTTCAGTACATAATAATTAAAATTTAATTTCTTCAAAAATGAAAATTTGTGTTAGAAACAATTCATTTGTCGTAACATGTATAGACTGATAAAGTGTCAAATAATATTGGTTGAAAGAATATCATTTCCTTCTGACAATAATTCAACATTTCAAAACTTTTTGGAATCAAAGATTACAGGATTGAAAGGAGAAAGAAGAAATTATGAGTGAGATTTGCAACAACTTGAAGCCAACCGGGTCAGGTCAGCCAAGAAATGCCACGACGGTTGACATCCACAGCGTGAACAGGGGAGTTCCCTTTTGGGTCGAATTTGGAGTTACTGCAGGTCTAGGCTTCGCAGTTTATCTAGCACCCGCAAGTTATGCAGCGTTACGGGAGTCGGTAAATCGGATACGAGTATTTCATCCATTTCACAAGTGTATTGTTTTTTAAATGTATTATTTCTCATTATTATTAGGCACAAGTCTGGTGGCCTCGAGTGTCCAAGTCTTTCAGTCTTCTTGTATGCAAAGTTCGACGAGGATTAGAGCCAATGATTCGCAGACGAAGAAATGGAAGTATCATTCGAGTTATTGCCGACTTGCTTCCAGATTTCGTTTTTGGACCGACGCCAAGAATTTTTATTTCTGGAGTTAGCGCCAGCAACTACGACGGTGATGTGGTTGGTCGTGGTCGTATGTTTAACCTTTCCAGTGTTTCTACTGCAATTGTTGGGGCTCGTTCTTCACATGATGATGCACTTGAAAATCCAGGTCAATCCCGTGTGGAGGGTATGATTGTTGCATTTGAATTGGACGAAGAAAGTGAATATGCTGAAACTATTGATGAAATTGATGTTGGAAAGTTTGAAGAAGAGGAGGTATCTAGCAATCCTGAAGGCTGGGATGCGTTTCCATTATTTCAACCATGGTAAGTTTGCATAATGTTTTAATGTGCTTAACGCAGTGTATACATGTTATACTCGTTATTAATATTTTGTTACATTTTAGTGCTCACAGTACTAGATTCAGGAGTTCAACTCCAGATTTCAGTCTTCCTGATTCCGAAATTACCGACTCTGGTGATAACATCAATGCTCAAGAGTTTGTGAGTTTGAAACAGACAGTTGAAATGTTAATGCTGCAAATTAGTCAACTGAACCTGAATATAACACAAAATCATGCTGCGGTTGGAGCTGTAAGAGGAGGCAATCCGCCATCGCCTTTGCCTGAAGTATCACGTCCATTGCCTCCAGTTTCTGAATCAAGCTCAAATAAGTGTGTGCCTACTGCTGGAGCTCCTCCACCCCCTCCACCTCCTCCTCCCCCAATGCCACCCACTGTGTTTAAAGGCTCTGCAGATCCAATTAAACTTACCAAATCATCACAGAAGCAAAAACCTGCGCCGATAAGCATGATGGATGTACTGAAAGACATGAAAACAGTCCAACTTAAGAAAGGAGTACCAACGTACATAGCTAGCTAACATATTTTTTAAATACGCATTGTCTTTTATTCGACATTCCTCATCATTTTTTTTTGTTTTATTATAGATCACCTGGAGGAACTCCTATAAAGAATCAAACGAAACCCAAAACTTCACTGGAAAATGTATTGTTTAAGCGATTCCATTCTATGAACCCTCCGTCACCTGTCCCAAGCGAGGACGTAAGCTTTTCAGATGATGATAAAGAAAATGAATTCAATGATTCTGCCCTTGTAACATCCAAAAGTCCGAGGGGTCGTGCGCTGCCCCGGACTCTTTTTGGAGAAAATAACTCGTCTAATCAACTGCCACTAGTAAGTAAATATTGCAGGCTATGGTACTCATTTACATATGCAAAGGAAATGTGTCTTACCAAATATTTATGCATAGTTTGGACCTCATTTACTCAAATCAAGACGCGATCAAAATTGATTCTCACTACATATCACATAGTCAACTATACTACTAAAATTGCTAAAAGTGAAATCGAAGACTGTTATGTTTCAAATTAGTTACTTGATATTATCACTAATATGCTATAGAATACTGAATGCTGAAGATTGTATATATTCTACACCTGTTTGTACATAAATAGATATTTAGTACTTTCCACTCGTTAAATTATTTTACCGTATAACAAGCATTGCCAGTAGCAAGCGCTATTATAAAAAATCGGGTATTTGTTAACTAAATATGTGTATAATTTATAAGTATATTGTTACTTGTGTCTCACCATTGCGCATTGATAATATTACCCTTGCCATATTTTTTAAAATGTTATAGCTAAAAGTTAAAAAATAATAATGCAGATTAGATCCGCTTTTAATTGAACAACACAGTTTAACCCTGAACAGATTTATTTAATTGTAATTCTGCATTTCATTTTTTTCACTACACAGTAATGGGGTCGTGTTGGAATATATAGTTAAAAATGATCAAAACTTTTCGGTTCCTTTATTGTTCAACTTGATTGAATGGCAGGGCTTACAGTACATTTTATATTGTAAGTAGTCCAATTTAATTTTTGAGCCAAAAGATTTTGTAGAAATGAAAGAGTCTGGAAGTGACATTCCCCATCAATGGTCCATCTTTGTAAACTTTCTTCAGATTTTCCTTTGCCATTTTTTCTACCCTTTGTATGCTCTATCATCAGTCTTTTTTTTATCACAGCAAGAGCAATGTCACCTCTTGAAGAATCTGTTGTCCTCTTTCAATTGGGTTCTTCTCAAGCTGTGTCCTCGACATTTTTCGATGGATTTATTCAACTTTTTTTATCAAATTCAAATTGTATATCTGTACGACTGATTGCTGTGCGTCCATACAATGAAAAACTGGGTGCATATAACATAGACTAGACTTTTCTTATTGGTCGTAAAATATTTTTGCATACAGATAATTTATATTCAATTACAAAACTACGGAATTTTGCAAGTTTTGCAAAGTCGAATTACTGTACTATGTACTTTTCACAAATGCTTGTGCAAAGAAAACTCACTGGAGACGTGTGTAATGTGATCCATCATCATCATCTCAATCTCAACTACTCCTCCGTGGTGTCGGCTTTGTGAGAAACTTTTCATCTCCTTCCATTGTTATGCATGATACAGAAGAGTCTTGTTGTGCATGAGACATAATGCCTTCCCACGAAGCACACAGTTTATATGATGGGCTCAACTTTCTCCCTCTCAGCTCCACGGTCTTCTACTCATCCTGCCAATCTACTTTCCCTCTCATATTCCGCAAGATTGGATAATATGCAAAGATGCACGAACGAATTCCTTCACATCACCAGCCATCCAGCCAAACTTGCTCGTCTCTCAAGACTTCCTCTCGATGTTCTCTCCGTGGGAGGTGGAACAAGTCGCTGTCGAGGAGGCAGTGTGTATCGCGAAACTGAATTATTTACCTACTTTTTCTTGTGTCTAATCTCCTAATGCATGTCTGATTTACTTGAATGGCTTGTCTTGTTTGTCCCATCATGTATCCCAACCAGTGCCCGATAAACTTTTGAACTAGCAAATAATATGCAACGAACGAATGATACATACATATTTCTAACTGGATACTGCCATGGAACGTGAGCTGCAAGAAAGAAGAATCAATTTGGTAATGTTGTAAAGTCTGAGATTTTGCCATCTATCCTTTCTGCCAATGAAACAATGTTTTGAAATACGGGTACAAAATTCGATGTTTACGTCATATTCAAATACAATATGCATATTTCGATGAGTATTATACATAGACATTCCCCCATTGATAGGCTTTATATTTAGAGATGAAATAGGAATTGTGTGATTTTTTCTTGAAGGATTTCTAAAAATTCCCAATCTGTGTGGACTGTTCCAAAATGGAATTCGAGTACTTTTTATTAAATAATTTCATTCCTACATACTCTTTTCCTAGGTTTGAGAGTATACATAAATATGGAATGATTTTGAGAATATCATGTTCAAATTAAATTAGAACCATTTATTTGAGTCATTTCTTTCGAACCGATTTGTAATTCATTTTTTGGACGTTCTATGTAAAAGACATTTCCGTCGTTTCGATGGCAAGTTGACTCTTGAATGACTAGCATTAAAGAGATGCCCAATCGTCGATAGCGTTGGCATTCATACATATATGTATGTAACTTTGGGCCGTCATACATACCAGGTATTATACGCCTGCAAATATGTATGTCCATGTGACTCCTTTAACATCCGTCCCAATGGGAATACTGAGAAATAGGACCGGAATTCCTAGAAGGCAATATCTGAATGGATGGAGGATTGGAATTACAATGAAGGGTTTAATTTCGACGAAAGGGGAAATACGAACCAAAAGATGTCTAGAGAGAAAGAAAGATCAATCTGTTCCATTGGAATTTCTGCACCCACGAGTCAATTCTCCTCCTTAATAACAGGCACACAGTTCTCTTCAGAGATGATGATCAATTCTATTTAGTTCCATTTCATCATCAGTTCATTTAAGAAGCTTACATTCTCACTCAATCTCTCTCTCTCTCGCCAATTCCATTCAATGGCCACCGAATTCAAGGGACTTTCTCTCTTTTCACATCTCTCCTGCAAACCAATCCAGCTCTGAATGCGTCAACTCAACACAATGTTGTTCGCGTGAGTGTATCGTCCTCTCATCCTCAGTAATTTCGGCAGCTGCCTCTGCTTTAATGCCAACCTTAGTGACTCTGAAAGATGAAAACACCGACGACCAAGACTTCCACAGTTTATGCTGAAAGAACATTCTTTCTCCTGCTCGCTTCTGTTTAAGCCTGTTGATGTGTGTTACCAGTCAGTAGCTTCCTGCTCCATTGATTTTGAGATTTAAAAGTTTGCACTAATTGTAAGTTTTCAATAATAAGGGGGCTAAAAATATACTGAATTTAATGATGGAAATCTAAAATTAGTATATGTATTCCCTATTCAAAAACTACGTCAATGCTATATTATGCCAAGTTTTAAATTTTAGTTACAATATGCGCATTTTACACTGTACTGTATATGAAAATGCGTACATAACAACTCTACCTAATAAGTAAGAAGATATTTCATGGATTTCTGATTTCCAGTGTTAAAATTCCTATGTAATGTAACACTCATCGATTATTCAGCGATCATTTACATAATTAATTACTCGATTAGAACACCAAACTTTTTCTTGCGTACTTGGCGTAACTTTGCTATTATTCACCTACGCCATTTGTTAATGAACCAGCTCAGGTGGACCATGATTTCTATACCACCTCATGAACCAGATAAACTTCGTATGTAAGTATATATGTACACAACTTTCTTTACGATAGACTTGTGATGTGCCAAATTGAACTAGTTATCGTTGCCCAATGTAAGGTTACAACTTTATATGGCCTAGATTTGGATCCAAAGCTTATACGTATACTTGAAACAGTAAAATCCCCAAACCATGTATGTATGTAGATAGATATATATTTTGTGCTTTAACTTAAAATTGATTCTATCGACCAAATATTAGCACAATAATGCCTGAAAACAACTAAACTTGGAGTTATTGTATTTCTCTCACAGCAAAATTATAATGACAATAATGGTAATAATTCTTCAAATAATAAATAATAATAATGGTTCCGTGCGACTAATTTTAGGCGATGATAGTGGCGGATACTGAAAACATATTAACTCAAAATCGACCCGTGAACGTAATGACATGACATTCAGAAATCAATATAAGCTATATTTAACCATGCGAAACGCACATTTGCGTGTGAGAATGGGCAGCGAAAAGTTGTGCGTAAGAAAGGAACGCGTACAAACAAATATCCTGACTGGCAGAAGATGCACGAGGAAAACGAGCAGTGACCCGTCTCCGCCCAAGAAGTTAGTAAACGTGCAAAATATTTTTAAGGGACACTGGTTTTCCTCTCATTTTGCCACAAACCCGGTCACGGCGGTCACGTCCTCCAGTTGTGTTGTTGATTCTATGGATTACATCGTTATTTAAAAATCTGTTCCCTCAGGAAGGATTTCCTGGACAATGCCCACACTACTCCTACGCAATAAGAAACCTTTTTTTGCTTCTCTATTCTCATTCTACAAAACTTGAACACTTATTGATTTAAAGAAAACTTGTTTCTTTTACATCTTTCCAACAAACTTTCCAAAAAAACTTGGCAGTGGCAGTTCCTTGTTCTCCCTTTCGCTGTATACATACATAAATAAGTACGAGACGACAAAGTACATTTTCCCGTATAAACCACTTTATTTTTGAAATTAGTAGAAAGGAAGGACTTTTCCTTCCTCGCCTAAATTGCGGAGGAGTACGAATCCATTTTTGTGAATCATCGTCGTTGACATGAGAAAATTGCAAAGGAGAGAATATTCAACATTCCCCTCGGTTATTCGTCCTACCATCCGATAAATGAAATGACATACTTTTGAGCCATAATACAATAAATAAATCGTCTATGGACGAATTCCATCACATTCTCACCAGATTGCATTGTACATCGTTTTGCGAAAAGGCTGTGGGCAAGATTGAAAATGAATAACACAATATAAAATAATGCTAGAGCATGCATGCCATGTAGAAGATTTTATTTTATTTCAGGGGACCAACGGGCGAAAGAGTATATAAATATGTACACTACACACACATCCATATGCATGCACGTAATAATATAGGCATGAGGCACGGCTGAAGCATTTTTGCACATATGCATATACCTCGAAACTGTGAGGCTGTGATGGTTTATAGTAGTGGTAGGACCTGCTTGTCGTGTCGTGTCGCTCAAAGTTCCAAGGCAAACTAATAAAGCTGGCGCTTTCACTTTCAGAACTCTCATCTGTGAGTACACATGGAACATCATATTGTGGGAAGTAAAATCTAATATGAAAAGGAAGAGTAAATCTAGGCCAATGTGCTATTACGACTGGCAGTGGAGGGAGGAGAAGGGAGTGCGTCCATACATTCAAGTCCACATACATACACAACCTTCCGAGAAAAGGGGCCTTAAGCAGGAGAAAGTTGGGGAAATTGAGGATTCTTCAACCAACAAGCCCAGCTATCCAGACCAATATCCAGATGTACATATGATGGGATCCGGAAACACTGCTTCAATCAGTCTTTTGCATTACCCTAACTCATTCCACTTTTCATGCCTTTCTCTCTCCTTCCACTTTCACTGCTTTCACTCTTCCAAACCAGACCAGGAAGGCCGGAGTGGAGGGCGAAGTGAATGTGATCCATGTGGTGGGCTTAGCTCAACTTCCTAATGTTTTGTCTGGAACAAGTGCGCGCAGAATCTCGCGTCTTCTTTCTTGATTCGGTGCTAGTAAGCATGCAGAATTAAAGAAATAATA